ATGCTTCAAACTTACCAAAGGCCGATAAACACGGCGTCGTCCATGCGATGATCTGCTGCTTGATCTGTGCCTCGCTGCAGTGGCGACCCGCCAAGCGATCTTCTGCCATCCCTAATAGCCAAGCCAAAAGACTGGCGCGACGCTGCTTGGAGGGCAGCTCAGTCTCGAGCAGCGCAGCATCAACTGGCAGACCAGCGCGGTCGGACCGCACGCATGACCAGATCCAACGCCAGCCGCGCTCAGGGAAAGCGTCGTCTGCAAGAACATCACGGCCAGCCGCTGACGCAGCCTACCACAACTGATAGACCGAAACCAAAGAAAACCTTGCCTCAGGCTGAGATTAGCCAACATGATGCTAGGCCTGTGAAATTTGATGATGTTCTGGGACTTCTAAGATGAGCTGGAGCTGCTAGCCCTGTAAAAGATGTCTGTGCGCAATCCCAGTGAGAACAGGTAAGCAACTGTCGACAAAAGCAAGTGTTTTAAAAAGCCATGCCTCTGCTCTGGAAGAAGGCGAACGCACAAAAGAATAAGGCGAACGCTCCAAAGCCTCTTACATTCAGGGAAACGCTGTTGACAAAAACATTCTTTTGAGCAAGCCCTCGTCTGTTCGCGCAAACACTGCTGACAAGAAACACATTCTTCACAATCCCCGGGAGAAAAGGTAAGCAACCGTCAACAAAAACAAGCGCTTTTCCTCTGTTCGCGCGAACACTGTTGACAAGAAACAAGTGCTTTGGAAAACCATGCCTCTGCGCTGGAAGGAGGACACAGAGATTCGACCAAGACAGCAAGCAGCTGGCCCTTGGTGCGCTGCTGGCCAGACGTGGGGTCCCTCTGCGCGAAACGCCTAGGCCGGCTCCAAAGGAGCGAAGCCTTGCCGCCGTCATGGAGCCATCCAGCTCGGCCCGGAGCCAGTCAGAACCTCGTGCTTCTGCTTCGGCTCGCAAGTGCTGTGCATCGGGAAGACCATGCCCAGAACTCGCTACAGCTGTCGAAGACGAAGTGGCCTGCGCTCTTATCACATAGTTCTTGAACACGCACAAAAGAGTAAGGCGACCAGCCTCTTACATTCAGGGAAACACTGTTGACAAAAACATTCTTTCGAGCAAGCCCTCCTCTGTCCGCTACGCGCGCTGAAAGACACGCTCCGGTATCTCAAGGCTTGTCGTGAACAAGTTGCGCATTGAGGGTGCCAAAAGAGCTAAGCCAAGAAACAAGTGCTTTGGAAAACCATGCCTCTGCGCTGGAAGGAGGACACAAAAAGTTGACCAAGGCATCAAGCAGCTGGCCCTTGGTGCGCTGCTGGCCAGAAGCGGGGTCCCTCTTCTGCACGCCAAGGCCGGCTCCAAAGGAGCGAAGCCTCTCCGCCGCCATGGAGCCGTCCAGCTCGGCCCGGAGCCAGTCAGACCCCCGTAGAGCTGCTTCGGCTCGCAGACGCTCTGCGTCAGGAAGGCCATCCCCAGAACTCGCAGCAGCTGTGGAAGACGAAGTTGCCTGCGCTCTTACAACATAGTTCTTACGTGTTTTAAAAAGCCATGCCTCTGCTCTGGAAGAAGGCGAACGCACAAAAGAATAAGGCGAACGCTCCAAAGCCTCTTACATTCAGGGAAACGCTGTTGACAAAAACATTCTTTTGAGCAAGCCCTCGTCTGTTCGCGCAAACACTGCTGACAAGAAACACATTCTTCACAATCCCCGGGAGAAAAGGTAAGCAACCGTCAACAAAAACAAGCGCTTTTCCTCTGTTCGCGCGAACACTGTTGACAAGAAACAAGTGCTTTGGAAAACCATGCCTCTGCGCTGGAAGGAGGACACAGAGATTCGACCAAGACAGCAAGCAGCTGGCCCTTGGTGCGCTGCTGGCCAGACGTGGGGTCCCTCTGCGAAACGCCTAGGCCGGCTCCAAAGGAGCGAAGCCTTGATGGAGCCATCCAGCTCGGCCCGGAGCCAGTCAGAACCTCGTGCTTCTGCTTCGGCTCGCAAGTGCTGTGCATCGGGAAGACCATGCCCAGAACTCGCTACAGCTGTCGAAGACGAAGTGCGCGCTCTTATCACATAGTTCTTGAACACGCACAAAAGAGTAAGGCGACCAGCCTCTTACATTCAGGGAAACACTGTTGACAAAAACATTCTTTCGAGCAAGCCCTCCTCTGTCCGCTACGCGCGCTGAAAGACACGCTCCGGTATCTCAAGGCTTGTCGTGAACAAGTGCCAAAAGAGCTAAGCAAGAAAACTAAACTTGTGGGGTCTACTTGTAACTGCGAAACCATGCCTCTGCGTCAGGTCGCGAACGTAGAGCTGCAACCACGGCTTCAAGCAGCTGGCTCTTGGAAAGCCGACTACCAGATGCGGGATCCCTCTGCTGCACGCCGAGGCCAGCTGCGAAGGCACGAAGCTTGTCCAGCTTCATCGAGCCATCCAGCTCAGCATGGAGCCAGTCTTGACCATGTACTGCTGCTTCAGCCCGTAAATGCTCAGCATCAGGAAGAGCATCCAAGGGATTCGCAGCCTGCTGCGCGCGCTGAAAGACACACGGTGGAAACCAACAGCGCAAGCCAAAAGTGGTAATTCCAAGAAACCAAGAGGGGTATGCGAAACAATCGTGCGCTCTCGCATGCCAACGTCCAGCCTGCGCACGTCGCTGGCGACCAGAATGCGACATGGCAACACGACACGTCGGAAATACCCGCCAGCGCCGCGCGACTCTGATATCTTCTGGCCACCCGCTGTGTGTAACTGCTTTGACAAGATTGGTGCGCCAAGGAAACGAATCCGCACTTCGGAAGATGCGATCTGAGCGATGACACCTTCTACAGTACTAACACGGAGGACTGCCTTGAGCATGAATGCACGTGCAAGCAGCAATGACAAGCGACAGCAACCTCATGGAGCACCCCTCCAAAAAATGAAGCATAACACCAACACAAAGAAGCCGTGTCGCCCTAATCAACTGTCGCCGCAAACATTCTCTGGGCAAGCTCCGCTACTGAGACACTCATGACATCCAAGCTTCGGCTACTATTGCTCTTGTCAGCTGCCTATCACTCCAAAATCCAACTGCGCATGTTTATTTTACAAGCCAATTACAAAAGCCAACTGCCCAATCTCACTTCACAAGCCAATGACAACTGCCAACTGCCCAATCTCACTTCACAAGCCAAATGCACTGTCCCAAAACACAAGCCAAATTTTCGAGTGTTACTTCACTATCCTAAAGCGCAAGCTAACTTCTCGGGCGTTTCTTCGGCATCGTAAAGCGCAAGTATTTTTTTTCAGGCGTTACATTGCAAGCCGACTTTTCCTTTTCTACCTTCTCTTCTCGATTCTGAGTTCTTTCTTCTTTTTCCGGCGGAGCTGGGGAGACGCTCTCCGCGCCGAGATAGGTCCGCAAGTGCTTTGTGCAAGTGCTCTGTGCAAGTTGCTCTGCGCAAGTTGCTCTGCGCAAGTTGCTCTGAGCAAGTGCTGCCGGAGCTGTGGGAATGTACTTCGCGTACTATTTTTTTGTACTTAAAAGTTGTGATTTTCCAGCCGGAGCTGCGGGAGTGTGCTCCGCGTACTACGTTTGTACTTAAAAGTTGCGATTTTCCAGCCGGAGCTGCGGGAATGTGCTCCGCGTACTATGTTTGTACTTAAAAGTTGCGATTTTCCAGCCGGAGCTGCGGGAGCACGCTCCGCATACTACGTCTGTACTTAAAAGTTGCGATTTGCCAGCCGGAGATGCAGGAGCACGCTCCGCGTACTACGTCTGTACTTAAAAGTTGCGATTTGCCAGCCGGAGCTGCAGGAGCACGCTCCGCGTACTACGTTTGTACTTAAAAGCTGCGATTTTCAAGCCGGAGCTGCCGCGGACCAGGGGGGAATCGAACCCGAGACCGCGGGATTGCGAAAGCAGGCGCGCAAACCACGAGACAACTTCCAAAGGCCGTTTCGCGAGCAAGAAAATCGCACGGCGCCACAGCGAGAGCGCTTCGACACGCACGATCTCCGCAGAGGGTTCATCGGGCTCAAGACAGATGCGCACGGCGCCACAGCGAGAGCGATCCGACACGCACGATCTCCGCAGAGGGCTCGCCGCGACCAAGACAAATTCGCACGGCGCCACAGCGAGAGCGCTTCGACGCGCAGGATCTCCGCAGAGGGTTCGCCAAGGTCAAGACAAATTCGCACGGCGCCACAGCGAGAGCGCTTCGACACGCACGATCTCCGCAGAGGGTTCGCCGCGCTCAAGACAAATTCGCACGGCGCCACAGCGAGAGCGCTTCGACACGCACGATCTCCGCAGAGGGTTCGCCGCGTCAAGACAAATTCGCACGGCGCCACAGCGAGAGCGCTTCGACACGCACGATCTCCGCAGAGGGTTCGCCGCGCTCAAGACAAATTCGCACGGCGCCACAGCGAGAGCGCTTCGACACGCACGATCTCCGCAGAGGGTACGTTTCGTAAGCTCCCGTCGGGCCTACCCCCGCCATAAAAAGAAGAAGAATTAAGAGTCGAGATGTGAAGGTAGAAAAGAAAAGTTAGCTTGTGTCTTTAGGATAATGAGATAACACCCGAAAAGTCGATATGAAGGTAGAGAAGAAAAGTTAGCTTGTGTTTTTAGGATAATGAGATAACACCCGAAAAGTTGACATGAGAAGTTGGCTGGTGAAGTAACTCTCGAAAAGCTGGCATGAGAAGTTGGCAGGTGAAGTAACTCTTGAAAAGTTGGCATGAGAAGTTGGCAGGTGAAGTAACTCTCGAAAAGTTGGCATGAGAAGTTGGCAGATGAAATAACTCTCGAAAAGTTGGCAAGAGAAGTTGGCAGGTGAAGTAACTCTCGAGAAGTTGGCATGAGAAGTTGGCAGGTGAAGTTGGCAGCCGCTTTTAGAAGAAGAACCCTTCGCAATGCTTCCGGGAAAAAGGGGTCATGGATGGAGACTCCAGGAACAAAGAATGGTTTCCCTGTCCATCCACAGTAGATTAAATCCGGTTGTGGCGGCTCCGATTCGCCCAGGCGCGCGCGTGGGTCTCCCCCAGCTCGAAGCGCGCCACCCGAAAGGCGGCGCTCAACAGCAGCGTGCGGCCCGCGGCCTGCGTCGTCTCCCCATGCCCCCCCCGATGGCCGGAAATTGGCGTCCCGGGTGAAGTGCCGGCAATTGACCAGCACTTGCTTCAAAATGGTCTTGTAGTCACATGGATGTCTTGCCATCAAAGTGCAGTGAAAGCTCGCTTTTGTTGAAGCGTCACTTCAGGATACCAGAGGGGATCCAGTTGAGGGGTTGGGCTACCATGTATGATCATTGCACATGCAACGCGCGAGCGAGGGGTGGGGGGCGACACGCTGGTGACACGCTCATATCCCAGAAAAGTGGCCGGCAATTGGCCACCCCCTGACACGCCGTGACACGCGCCTCGGTTCCTCCCAACCTCAAACTTGCCCCGCAAACCTCAAATTTGCCAGCCTCCCCTTTCCTCTGTAACCCCACCCCAAGCAGCCTGGAAGGTCACTTGTATCATTGCACAAATTGCACTAAGTACACATGAGTGATGCCTCATAGCAAATCAGGTAAACCGGGGCCCTCTGCTTCTATGAGGCTCCCCAGAAGCCAGTTTCGGGGAAACCAGCGAAGAATCTGGTGTGTTGAAAGGGGAAGTAATGGGAAACCCTTTGCCTGTTTGAGATGTTTAGGGTATGCCAATTTGAAGAATCCACCCACCACAAAAGCAACCAGTTTTGTGACTGCCCAGCGACATAGGCTCCAAGACAGCAGATAGGGCTAGCCAAGGCCTCTGTCCAAGACTCATGGAATAGAGTCCTCTTGAAAAGGCCCCCCTGAGCATGTCCAAGTCCCCAACCTTTTTGTTGGAAACTGGTAATTGAAAGCCTGGTAGGCCAACTGGAAAGGGAGGCGATGTCAATGACCCGGCCTTGCTTTCCATGCCGATGTGCAGGCCAGGTGGTTGGGGGCCGAAAAACCGTTCCATACAAGACGCAACGGAACCAGCTCCACGCTTGAGAGCTCTGCGAACAGGCCATAGCAGTAACGGTCGGAGAAACAAGTCTCCAAAAACAACGCATGCAGGCGTATCTTCGTTAGGGGACCCGCAGCATGGTGGTGTTGCTTTTGGTTTCCCTGTAAAACCACCAAAGAAGGGGGGGTCCCCCACAAAAAAAACAACGACGCCCCGTAGAACCGTCCCCTGGCACCCAAGTTCATAGCGCTGAGGCGCTGCCACCCCCGTGGGGTGAAAGAACATGGGCCATCCCTGCATTTCCAGCGAGACGCCTCAGACGTGACGAGACCCACCCCAAAGACAGTGTGAAAACACACAGGGAAATTGGAGTGCGGAAAAGCAACGTAATGCCATTTGTATCGCCATGAGTTTAGAATGGTTTTTGTGGCAGGATCAACATGTAGGTCAAGTTGCAGCACTCAGAGTTGTCGCAATTCACCCGCCATGGACAGCCACTTCTAGTTGAAATGTGCCAAACCCTGGCCGTCAACCGAGTTTGCTGGGCTAGTGTGCTGATACATGTACCCAGAGCGCCCATATTGATGATTCTCCCTGACATTCCCCACAATCATTCCTCCCCAATCCAGTCTCTGGCCGTGCCAATCTCAGCCGCTTTTCAATGGATGAAACCGCTGATGCCCTTGGCACCTCCAGGTGGAAGGTTCTTGCATCACAGGCCACAGTAGGTGCCCATGGCGAAACCTTTTTGGACTTCTGATTGCCACTTGAGATCCAAATCGTTCGTTCAGGCCACCCCTCTCTTTGGCTTGGGAGATTCTCGATTCACCACTATGGGCTGCGTGCCGTTTCCATACTGGAGATGGGAACGTTCGTGAGCCTCCCAGAACTGTATGAGAAAGTTCAACAATTTGAACAAATCACGATCATTTGTTCCCCAAGAGGACATTGCTGGGGAAATCGAGCGCGCCCCATGGCTTTTGTGGGAAACTTGGGTTCTCATCCCTGCTCGTCCTCCCCACACCAACAGTAGACTACCAATACCTAAATCCTCTGAGCAGGTTCTTTGACCAGACATTAACCACTTACCTGACGTATCTGAGTTTTGGGGGGGGCCGCCTGCCCTTTCTTCCCCGACCCCCTTTCCGTGATATCGTTTTGATTCACATCTTACGGGATGTTCTGGGGCACCAGAAACTTGGCAAGAGAAGTCAACAAACACATGTAATTGATTTTCTTGGCTCTGACCCAATTTTCCGCAAGTCAGAATCAATCCAAACACACCGCACCCAATCGATCGGCCCTCCAAGGCGGACCAGTCACCGCCCAACAGGAATGGCCCAATTCTCTGCTGAAATATGTTTAACCATTGTTTCAAAACACCAGTCGTTTCAGCATCCTCGCAAACAGGCTCCCCCCTTTTTGGGCTGTACATCCTCTCAACAAGCAGGTTCCCCCTTTTTGGGTTTGTTTTCTCCTGGCAAAGAGCCAGGTTCTGCTTTTTGTGGTGAGTCCAAGGCGCCCTTCAAGTACACCTCCGCGCTTTCGTGTGCGAGGTTGATGCTGGGAGCTGAAGCGTGCCACCACACCGTGGTCACCAGCAGGAAACCGCTGGACCTTCGGATGGAAAGGTGGGCAAAGACCGGAGCCCTCAAATTCCCCTCAAAAATGGAGCCATTGCCCTACATTTGGGTAGACCGAACACAGCCAGATTGTGGTTGTGGCTTGTGATCTTTCAGGAAACTACAAGTTGGACGGTTTGTACTGATCATTCCCTTTGAGAACCAGCAAGTTTGGTCAATCTTGCTACTTGCCAATCCGGTCGCATGGTCCCAAACAAGTCCAGTAACTGAGGGGAGCTGCATACTTTTTTCGAGAAAGAGATGCATTTTCGGCGGCCCATGTCCTGCCCCAAATTACCAGCAGAAGAGGCAGCGAGTAGTTTTTTTATCAGCTTCTCCCTACTTTGTGGTCTGAAATTTGTGGTTTGGAGGGGTTTCGGAGATGGCTTCCCAAATTTAGCCTCAAGAACCAGGGGTTCAAATCGTTGACTTGACTAGACGCTACGACCCCCTGCAAGCAGCTACACTTTTTGCTGGTTGAAAGGTAACATGATGGAAACCCAACAAAGGAAACAGTTAAACGGGCAAGTTGAGTCACAGCCAAACCCCGGTATTAGAAGGGTCTACCCAGAACGTTGTAAAGAAATGAAAAGGCGGATCTACGAACCCATTTATGGCTGGGACGGCCCCTTTCTCTCCAATTTGCTGGGTTTTTATTGTGACTCAGTTGAGCCTGGCAACGTTAAGGGTAAACTGGAGTCCCCTGCAAAAAAATACAAAAACATGTCCAGTAGTGAAATCGATGCCCTTTCAAACCAACAAGGGAAAATAACAAATCTTCATTCCAGCAAAACCAAGAAAAGGTGAGCTACCTCTGGGGCTATACTTTTTGCTGCTTGAAAGGTAACATGATGAAAACCCAACAAGGCAAACAACTAAACAGGCTTTAAGTCTGGCCCACTGGCAATGTTCAGGTAAGCTGAAAATTCCCACCATCATGGACTCCTAGGGGGGGCTATCCCTGGATAAGCCTAGGATAAGCCACGGATAAGTCAAGGATACGCCCTTAATAAGGCCTTAAGGGGTCCATAAGGGATAGCCCCCCCTTCCCCATAGCCCCCTCCCCCTTAGTGGTCCATGACACCAAACGGTGATACCTTCACGCGCTCCCCGCCGAGCGGCAGGAAGAAGCAGAGCAGCGCTAAACTCTGCGCAGCCAGCGTGGATCGGATGGGGTTCCTCAGAAAAAGCCGGGGGTGCCGATCAGAAACGCGCGCCGTGGGTGAAAACATAGAGAAGGGCCCCTCATGGGAAAAGGGGGGGAGTTGAAACATAGGGTTTTGGTAGTTTTCTTCTCATGTACTTTGGGCTGGACATGTGTTTGGCTCCTTCTATTTTTCAAGTGGACATGGTATCCCAGCTGGACTCTCAAACTGGCCTTAAGGCCTAGAACTCACTCCATGAATTGACCAGGCAGAGATATCTACAGGGCGCTACAGGGCTAGGCGGCGCCAGGCATCCCTTGTGGCGTCTGGGGAAATTGCAAGCAACATGTAGCTTGAGCTAAGGCTCAGAAACCCAAAGGGTGCATAAGGCTTTGTGAAGATTCATGAACAAATCGGTGGAGTACTTTCACTTGAAAGCACACCAACAAGGGGCAACCCCAAAGACTCACCAAAAGGATACCGAACCCAATTTCACTTCTCCAATGGCATGCCCCCTGGCGGTCTTCAAGCGCAGCTCAGATTCGCATTCTTGCGCAGCAGCAAGGTGAACATGGCAGACACGAAGGGTGGCAGAAAAATACCTGCCGGGTGCTGTCTGGAAGCAGCAACTTGCAATCAACCAGCGTCTTGGGAAAGCATGTGGAAGAAATGCAAACACGTCGAAAAGGGGATGTGTCAATACAGGGGGACTCCGAAAAATGTGGTTTTCTTTTTGGCATCCCTTCATATCAAGGTGAAACGGGTACCCTTAACAAGACAAACTTTCCAAGAAGTTGCTGTGGAAACCGTCGCCGAGTCGATAGCACTCTGGCCCGCGCCTAGCCGTATGAGCACATCTGAGGATCCTTCACCTGAGTCCGTCTGGCATCCCAGCTGGGTGTCCCTTCCTTTTTGCAGGTTGGGCAAAAGAAGACAAGGCGCACCCCTGGACTTGGCCCATTAGCTCCACAAAGCCAAAGCTCACAGACAGGCTGCTCAACGAATGGCAAAGGATTCACACATGCACCCCGTAGAGTGACATCGGGAAACTATCGAGAAACTGGGCAGACCTCCGGTGTTTTGCGTCACATTAGTGTGAGCCTCTGTTCCACAACCGCTTTCTTTTTGTCTCGAACTAGTCTCAAGGCAGGGCGCCGTGCTTGCTGCCCCTTCTCATGCAGAGCTGGCCGTAGATGAGGCCAGCCAGGCAGATCAGCGTGAAAAGGCTGCCGATGGTGGTGAACTGCTTCGCCTCTTTTCGGGGATAAAGGCTTCCATCCATACGCCTCTTTTCGCAAAATCGACTCGTTTTGTTGTATGACGGATGTACAAATGAGGGTGACATGGCGGTGTGAAGTCAGGATTCCAACGAAGTGATCCCAACACATGCCTGGCATCAAACACATCCTGAGCTTGTAGGGTTTGTGAAGGCTGTGGCATGTGCGATCTGAAAAGCAGAGGAAATGCCCGGCCGACTTGCATATTGGCAGTGAGTGAACGCAACTTCTCTCAAGCGAATCTAGACTTTAGGCTCCACCAAATGGAGAGCAAAGGACACCGAAGCATATCTGTACCTTTGAGGCTTGGACAACTGCAACTTGGATCCAAAGCAAACTACTTGGCTGTGAGTTTTGCTCGGGGGGCTTTTTGGTGGACATGACTTAGGCAAAAAATGCCCGCCACTGTTTTGGGTGTGAAACAAAAAACAACGGGAAAATGACACGACCCATCGCCTCGTGGCCTCCTTTCGAAAAAAAAAAATGGGATATGCGGCACGTATTGCGCATTCCCTGAGCCTGGCCTGTTTGCGGTACAGCAAACGCTTAGGATCCGAGACGTTCAGCGATGGCACCTCATTCGAAGGCTCCTGGACGTTGGCGGCAAAAATCGGGCGGCATTACTTGAAATTTCCTCGAAAAAGGGAGGGGGGATTGGTTTCCTGTTGACATTCCTTCAAACACCAACCGCGATTGGGTCCACCTTCTTGAGAAATTACCATACTTCCCAGCTGACATGAAAACAACAGGTCAACGACATGGTACAGAAACCACTGCGGTCCCCCCCCATCCCAAGAAAACAAACACAAACACACACACACACACAGTCACACACACACATATCAAAACAGAACAATCACGTGACGCACGGTTATCCCCCCCCCCCAAAACCACAAACAAAAGCAGCACACACCCAGAAAAAAAAAAGGAACCCAGCATTTGGTAACCAAAAAGGGTCAACGACATGGCAACCACTGTTATTTTCATGGGACCCAGCAAAATACCATGAGATTTGGTCACCAAAAGGGTCAACGACATGGCAACCACTGTTCTTCCCATGGGAACAATTGAACAACCACCTCAAGATGTGGTAGCCGGGTAGCCACGTGTCTTGGATTCGCAATTTGGACTCGACTTGAGTCCTGGGTGCTTCTTGTGCCCCAGGAGTTGGCGTCCGGCTCGCTCTTCGAGTGCCTGGCTCAGGCGAGCCACCGACCGCCTTCGTGGAGTCCCAAAACGCCCAAGGGACGCACTTCCGATCGAGCGCACGCGACAAAAAAAGCATCCAGACTTTTGCTTTGCAACTAGAATGGTCCAAACCCCAAAAGTGCAAAAGTGACTAAAGTCCAGGGCGAAGTGGCTTGGTCACCAGATCAGCTCCTGAAAAGGAAACCCCAACAGCTTTGCTTCTCTTTGAACACCGAACGAGCTGCAAATGTGCGATGCCAGCTTCCAGCTTCCCTGGACCATGTGCGAAACATGGAGCTCAATTCGAGGCATGTGCCCTCCAGTGGCAGAGCAAAAGTGAGCCAGAAGCAAAGAGGAATGTACCGAGCACTTCGGACATCACAAGACGAATAGTAATGATCACAACACTTAATACCGATTATGCCACGAACACAACTTCGCATGGATGTCGCTCCGTCTTTCCACCTCTCTCGCTCTCTCTCTCTCTCTCTCTCTCTCTCTCTCTATATATATATATATGCATGCATACGGACACCGTAACATACAGGTCAGACACAACAGGAGCCAAAACACATCTCCGAAATGTCCTTATGTACATAGTTTGTCACATGCTATAAACAAATCAGACATATCTTGGCTGCTGTTGACCCCTTTGCTGAAAAAAGGTTTGTCACTTTCCATGGGTCCAACTGGGCTTTCCATCCGGCTTGTTTCAAGCAACAAGTTGTCCAAAGATTCGTCAAGTAGCAACCAAGACTTCCATTGCTTTATGTTCCCTGGAACAAATAATATATATTCCCAGTGAAATTGATTCCCTTCCAAACCAACAGTGGAAAAACAAAAACACATACCCATTTCAGGCAACAATATGACCGCTCCAATCGTCTCCGGCCAGGCTCCCCGCGCGCTTTCGAGCCTCGCGCCTCGGCAACACCTCCGAGTCGAAGCTCTTCTGGGTCCGCGGGTGCAGGAGGCTGTAGGGCCGGCCCGGCCTCAAGGACGATTTCGGAACCCAGACTCAGACACAGCTCTTGAAACCGAGCCGAAAAACCATCGGATCTGCAGAGTAGAACATGGTTCCAAAAGAACGCAAGCTACTGTAGAAGCAAAAACCAAACACCAAATTCCCACAGAACCCCACGTTCGCCCACCGGCCGCAAGGGGTGGGCTTGTGAGGTTTTGAGACCCAGAAGGTCTGAAAGTGCGGTTGGGGGCGATACTTTCTGCTCCCTCAAACATGCTCCCTTCTATACAGCCTCACCAACGCCACTGCCTGGTAGGCTGGGGCGCTTTGGGTTTCTGGGAGGGGGGGGGGGCACCACCGCTGACTCTTTAGGTTTGGGGGGGTTTCGGGTTTCGGAGGGGGGGCACCAGGTTTCGGATTTCGAAGTGCCGCGTCGGGGTTCGGAGCTCGTTTTCCCGCACGGGCGTGGGGCGCGGGCAAACGTCGGGCGCTGAGAGACAACAAATGCTGAAGGTTCCGGAGCAGAAACAGGCCGTAAAGCAGACTCAGGTTTTGTGCTATTGACCTGCATTGAGTCCCAAACCGGAAGACTTTTGGATGAAGTTCGAAGGGGCGTGTTTTGAGGGCCGCATTACAGCACTCTTTGGGGGCAACACGCTGTATCCTGAACAACTTCAGTGCACTCATTCAACTTAGTCAAACTGATCCAAGGATTCTGCGACTTGGGATTTCAGAATCCTGCGAAACTAACCTATTTCAGGCTCAATTCAATGGACAATTCGTATCTTTGGGTAACTTCGCAATGAAATCCCAGGCAGTAGAAAGAAGCTTGCTTGAAACCTGGCTAAATCACGAAGGAATCCGCTTCATGCGTACGGCTCGTTATACTTGCCTGTCTGAAGTGCTTCAAGTGAGACCCAACGTGCGATCGACATCTGCGCTCTGACCTGCAGATTGCCATAAAACACACGCAAGCCATCGGTATGCAAAGGAATCTCCTTTACCGGCGCTTGTCAGCAGTTCCTTTTGCTGGCTAGATTCCAGACATTTCCTTGAGGTTTTGGGAATTACTTCCTAAGTGGATTGGCCCAAAAAAGTCTGAACATTTAACTTACCGTTAACATGGTCTTTCCAACAAGCTCAAAGTCCATGAACTCAGGGATCTGATGGAAACCAGTTAGAAAATACCCGACAAACTCCTTCCACTGACAGCGCCGTCGCCGTTTTGCTCGCAAAGCAAAACAAATCAGCCCCGGGCCCCCGGCCGTGCTGCTCGTCGAGTCGGCTCCCAGCTGTCCAGCGAGGAGAAGCCGCTTTCCTGCGTAGAACTTTTCCGTTGGGACCCTCCCAACACGCGGCTGTGGGTCAAAAATAGGTACCCAAACTGGAACCCTGGTAAAAGGGAAACATGGACTAAAACCTGCGGTCCCTGGTGGTTCAATTTGACCCACAGCCACATCTCTCCCGCAAACACACCACCAAAACTGGCCCTTTTTAGTTTTTGTTCAAGGGGGCGAGTTTGGGGGGGGGGGCTTTGGTTTTGGGGGTCCCCTTCACGGGAGGGTGAACCAGAGGGTCACTGGAGATACTGGAGTTCCCCAAAGCAACAGTTCAGCCAATGCACTGCTGGTTTCCATTCAACCGATCGCCAGTTTTGGAGGCTCCAAAAACGGAAACGGAGGGGAGCCCATTTCCCAGCGACTCAAGGAGATCCATTTCCCTTTCGGTTGAAGTCCTTGGGGTAATCCAACAACGGAACCTGCTACCTAGAGTCTCCATGACCCTAGGTAAATGGGGTCATTACCCAAAATAAAGGGATCATGAACCCATTTTTAAAGGGTCATGGAGACTCCAGGTACACCTTTGCTTTTAGAGGTTGCTGGAAGTGGGAAAGAACACCGTGCTCTGTCTACAAGCTGCTCCAGCAAAACATCAGATGTGAGGTTTTTGGGGAGTCAATGACACATCTGGGATACAGCAGATGACAATCGTTTGGTTGATACATCCCAAGCATCACGGCGAAGCTCTGAAATGGCAACCAACATGTGATGCTTGAGCTCGCAGAAATGGGTGAACGTGAGCTGGAATCCGAACAAAACCCCGAAACTTGGGATCTTGCAAAGATTCTGAGGGGATTTTGGAGCCTTTCAGAGGGTCCAGGTGTGAGAAAGCAAACAAAAAAACAAGCGGAGGCCACCAGGCTGCAGTGGAATACGGCAGTCCCTCCTTTTCCTTCGCTGGACGTGCACCCAGCGGATTTCCGTATGGGTAATCAACATAAGGTGAATCATGAGCAACTTGGAGCCTATGGTTGTCAGGGGCAATTCCCCCCAATAGAACCCGACTCCCCAATCCCAGTAAGGGCGAGACACATGCGACAAACAAGGCCGAAAAGGGGGCATTAAGCGTTGAATTTTGGGTCCCACAACAATCTCAGAAACGCCACATAACACAAGGATTCTTGCAAACAAATCTTTCACAGGCAGAGCCAGCCATGTCACCGCACTTGATGTTTGGGGTCCCAAAAAGTAAAAGCGAACGTCCAATTTGAGTGAGCCGTCCTCTGGACTGACCCGTCCCCGACTAAGAAGCGAGACATGGCAGTGCGTCAAACCCAAAATGGGAACCCTGGTAAATGGAAACATGGATTAAACCTGTGGTCCCATGGTGGTTTAATTTTGACCCACAGCCACATGTCGCGCTGTCACATGTCCTATCGCAGCCAAGTTGCCAGAGTGCTGGAGCGTCGCAGCTCTCCCGAACCCGGGGAGGCCGACGCCTGACCGCTTGCCCCAGAAACCCTGCGATGGCTGGGTCGGATCAACAAACTTCACCTGGTCAGAGAGGGGTCAGCGTATTTCCTGAGGTTCCGAGCGATTCTCATCCCGGCTGAAATCCAGTTGTGGAAGAAACGGATCACTCAGAAAGGGGGTCATTCAGTCAACATGATTGACATGTAAAGATTCTAACCAACAACATGTGCTGGCGAAGGAAAAACATGGAGAGTACCCCTGAAATTTTGTGGAAAACCTCAATTTTCCGATGAGCGTGATTTTCTGCTCGTGCAGATTACCGCGCGTTTGTCTGAAAAGCGCTCGGTTCAAGAAAAAGTGCTCGGATGCGGATATCGGAAAAGAAGAAACTGTTCAGCGTGTGGGCTCAGTCCTTCTGCTACTCATGTGCAAGATTTGCAGCGGGCGCCGAACGTGGCAAAACTAGCACTGTTTGAAGTGCGCTCGTGTGGCGGGCAATTGCGCTTTTGTAGCGGGAATGTGCGCTCGTTGTGCAGCCTGGCCCGTTTCGTCCAGGAAAGCTGCTGCTCGGTTCAAAAAATTGACCGCATTGCGCAACGTGTTCTCCAACGGAGCCTCAATTCCTTTGCGAAGCAGCCTTCCAGTTGGCTGAGTTAACGCTCAAAGACTAAATAGCGCTCGTTTGCCCAAAAAACGCTCGCAAGCACAAAAAGCGTATCAAATAGCAGCTTGAGCAGAAAATAACGCTCGTTGGAAGATACAGGAATCTAAAGAGTCCCCCACCAGAACCCCTCCGCAACTGCCTCTGGCATGTTCAACATCCCAAGTACCATCCAACAACAATTTCGGTTTCTAAACGGGTTGAAGGCGAAGAGCAGCGGTTCCTTGGAGGGTGCTGGCATGTTCCTCCTCACAATGACAGCATTTGTACAGTCCGAAAGATGGTTTGCCACAAATGGAGACCTCCAGGTTGGAATCGGCGGGAATGAACATCTAAGAATTGCCTAAATTGGTTTCATCAGCTTTTTCGTGTTTGCATGCATGCACAATTCGGTGGTCGCTTTCATCCCAGGTCCTTTTGACAGCTTGGGAAAAAGTTTGGCACAATCTCTAAGAGGAAACATACACTTGTAGGCGGCCCTGTATGTTGGTTTCCATTAAGGCCCTCACAATGGTGGAGCAATGACCCATTTAGGGGTAGTTTGAGGGTCCAGGTAGTCTAGGATTGGGCAACTAGGATTTACATCTTTACTAGCATCATCGTAGTAACGGGCAAAGAGATACGATACCAAATCTCTTCCCAGGAAACCCACAACCAGCCAACTTGGAGATAATTTAACCACCACAAGACACCCATTTTCTGTAAACCCGATTGAGTCACAATCAAAACTATACGGTCTAGGCAGAATGCAAGGAATTAAACAGGCGGATATCCGCACACACCTATGGCCGAGACTGTTCCTAGGTTTTGATTGGGCACTCGTTTTTGTTGTTTGTTTTCTCCGAGAGTTGACTTTAAAGGGAAGCCCCCTCCAACAAAGAGTTGAACAAACTTGGTTGCAGCTGACCCCTCTGCAAACAGTGTTTCACCTTTTCGTGGCTCCACTTCAGAGAAATTCCGGCCTGTTTCAAGCAAGAAGCTTTCCAGTCCAAAGATCCGTTTCCCAAGTTTGGCCAAAAAACGCCAGCGCCATCCCACTCTCCCACTTGGGAGGAGCGGATCCTAAAACCTCCAGAAAGCGGCCTGCAGGCTGCGAATCATCTCCCGCAGGGCGCGTGTCTGAACCATCTGGTAGAGCCCCGCCAGGACGATGGACCTGACTCGGGACTCGGCGGACCCGAGAAGTCGGGTGGAGTCCAATCCTTGCGCCGCGCGATTTTGCTTTTCTGGCTGCTTTTTCGAAAGCTTGGGGGCGATAGGCCCAAACCAGGGCTTTTGTTTCGGATGGCGGGGGGTTGGGTTGCTTTAGCAGGTGGGGATGACTCAAAGGAAACCGCGGGCTTATCCTGGGCTTGTCCGCAAGGCACTCATGGTTGTAACTTGTAAGCTTCGAAGAATTTGCCTCAAACCTCCAGTGGCCACGGGAACAAACCGCCACTTCTTTCAGTACTTGAATCTAATTTCCAAGAACCCTCTGAAAAAAGACTTCGTTGGTTGGCTGGTTGTTTTGTTGGTTGGTCGCTTGGTTTGTTGGTTGGTTGGTCGCCTCGCCAAGCCTGAGGTTCCGGCCAACAAGTTGCCCTGTTTCAGGTCGGGATCCAAACAGTTGAAGACAGCAACGTGACAAACTTCGGCTCACAGTCTGGGCTGCTATGCGACATACCTTTCTCTACCAAAGCTGTTGCCTTTCCCACGACTTAATTACTCTGAAGGGTCTTGTCTCACAGAAACTGCCTCTAGGCCTTTGATTTCCATCGACCGCAACAAACTTCTTGGGACCCCAGGGTGGCATTAAAACCACTTTCTTGCCACCATCATCTTGTCAGCCGGGTTTCCGTTTCAGTCACCGGGTTTCCATTTCACCCCAAAAGACACCCAAAAAAGAGGGGTGTCATTAAACAACTACTCACCCAAATTGACCTTTCTGGGTCATTTGGGCGCCTTAACCCTCTCCGCGTTGGGCCCCGCCCCCTCCTTATGATGGAGTGGTCTATTTTGACACCTCCTTCATTTCGGGTATTGGTCTTTTAGCTTCCCCCCCCAAGGTTCCCCAAGTTCCAATCCCCAAATCCCTTTTGAGCCTAACCACTTCGAAAGAAAAGAAACAAATCAGAATGCGAGACGGTTGCCCATCTAATCCAGTGCCATCTATTCTTCACCAGGCTGACCTAAAAAGGACACCTATGCACGGGCCCCCGGCTCGAAGAGGAGGCAGATGGCCCAGGACACCGAGAAGATGAAGATGTCGATGTACCGCTCGTTGGAGTTCTCCGCAGAAGGGAAGCCCTCCACAAGCACCGCCACCTGAAAAACGCAAAACGCGCGCGACCGCGCGAGCAACCAAAAACCAGAGATCGGGTGATCTCAACACAAAACCGCAACCGCGCGACCGACCAAAAAATAATAATAATCAGGTGATCCACCTAAAAAGCGCGACCAACCCAACCAAAACAACAAATCGGGTGGTCCCAACACAAAAACACCTAGAACCGGATTGTTGTTCGTTGTTCCTTTTTTTGGAAGGGTTCCCTGGATTTGCTTCCCTGAGCGACCAACAAAAAATCAGCTCAGGTGATCCCCAACAAATATTTCAACCAACCAAACAGCTCAGGTGATCCATCTCGACCACCGGATTGATTTCTCCCTTTTTGTTGCGGACGTCCTACATTTGCTCATTTGGTCTTGAAGGTCACCTTTGGGCCAACTTGAAGCGAGTCTCCTTTTGGTGTGATGTTTAAAGAGAATTATAGGGAGCCCTGATCATCTGTCAGAATCTTTCTAGAAGTTCAACCGGTTTTTTTCTGGCCTTACGCAAACACCAAACCCATTGACTCGAAATTCTGCCAACCTCGGATTTCCGCCGAGGTTCGAGGTACCCCGAGAGGATAATGATCCGTGAGGCAAGTAAGTCACCAGATGAGTTCCCATGGACTTTGTTTTTGCGCGGGGATGTCTCGAAACATGGGGGGCACCCGCAAAAAGGCTTCCTGTTGGCTTGTCCCGCAAATGCACATGCAACCCTAGGATGGGAACTTGTGCGATGGGGAGATTGACTACTTACCTGACGTGGGGAGGTCATCCATGAGCCAACGTGTCGTCTAAACACCGCGAGCCCGACAAGTGTGGAGTCCCTAGCCTTTGGAAACTCCAAAGGAAATCATCCAAGCAAGAAATATGGCTTGATGCAGGATGTGTACATTCTGCTTGGAAAGGGTTTGGCGTGAGCGAATGTTGGCAAACCAACGTGCTGGATTGTCTGTGGACTTCCATGTTGGCTCGTGTGAGTGGCTGTGACATCTCAAAATAAGACCCTGACAGACCATCGCAATTAGGAGCTTACTTGTCGCTCAGGCCTCTCCCCGGTGTCTCTAGTGATGGTTGCAATCTGCTCACGCCTAAATCCCGTAAAGTCGCAAGACTTGAGGCCATGGTTTCCTCGTTTTGGAGGGATGGAACTTTTTTGCCCCATGTAGTGACATCCTCAAACTGTGGTTCAAAGGGAAATATCTCAAAGTAGGCCACACAGACCCCCAACAAAAGCCTGCACGCTCCAATACACCCAGCAAGGCTATGCTTGATTCTGGTCCGCATTTACAATGAACAGTTTGGGTAACCGGTTAAGTCTCTTACGAGATCCCAGAAAGGGACAAAGCATAATGCTAAGTTTGGGAGCAACCCTGTCCTGTTCAAATAATCTGTACCTAACCTTGTTTCCCTGGACCCCCCAGTTTGCAAGACATACCTGTCGGAGATGGGAAAGCTTTTCTTGGACTGGGCTGATCTTTCAACCGCTGCCCGGAAACAAGGATCGGTTCAGAATGCTTGGAAGTTGCCCTGCGCCCAAACAACTCGATGTTTGACTTCCTGATGCCAAGGCCGAGCAAAACAACGGCGGCACAAAGCTGCATAGTTATCTTACTCGTCTAAAACCCTTCGGAGGTTGATGACCATTCAACTCCCAAAACCTGTTGACATCATTGACCTTTCAAAGGGACATCAAAAAGAACGGGGCTTCCCTGTTCGACACATAGAGCTTGCGTGGGCAAATCACATGCGGTTTCCGTAGCTAGCAGGACTTGCTGGCTTCCTGTTTTCTGGAACCGCACCAATCTGGGGAGTTACCCACCATTTTGGGGGATTTCAATAAGCAACCCAATCTTTCATAAGACTTGTTTTTCGCCCAAAAAGCAAAAAAAACACAGCACGCCAAACTGGTTTCTACACCGCACCCACTGCCCACTGACTCCCCACTGAGCCGCTTGGAAGGATACGATTCCGAGGCACCACGAAGCCGAAGAGCAGCGTGGACTTCAGCACGGTGCTCTGGGCCTCGTCCAAGGTCTCGCTCAGCAAATCCCGGAGATTCTCGCGCCTCACGAAAAACCCCCGCCGCAAACCGCCCACGGTATGGATCTCCGCGCGGGCCTTCGGTTCAGTCCCTGAGCTTCCCTTGGTTTCCCAAACCTGTAGCTTTCAAACGCCCGGGCGCTGGACTGAATTTCCAAGGCCCGCTGGCGCCCAAGCCTAACCGGAAAGGAATGTCAGGTCGTGCCTTTCGAACTATGTGCACCTGACAACCTTGACCGTCACAAGAGAAAACATGTTTGTCACTCAGCCGCTTGGATTAATCATACGGTGGGTGGACGCACCACCTAAGAAACCCTAAAAAGATGATCCCCCTCCTGTAAATACCAACAACAAGTGGTTTCCCACGGTTTCCAAGTGCGAAATGGACTTTGTCTACCCACAGTATGAGGGGCAGGTGCCGAAATTGGGAAATTCCAACGCCACAACGCCGGACGCACCTTGTCTCCATGTAGGAGTGCTTCATCTGTTCCTCGTGCTGCGACTTGGCCGTACCTGGAGGCAAAGGCTGCCGAACGGATGGAATTTGCGCAAAACTCTAGGGGTTGATTCCTCTTCCATTCTTTTCAACCATCGGTTTCTCAAAATCCAGCTGTTTCCCCTTGGTTTTTTGGTTTCCTGAAAAGAAGGATCCCTGGAAAGAATGGACAAGGTACCCCTGGAACAGCATGTTGGCGGCGTTCACAGGTCTCATGAATTCTTTTGGAGAACATGATCAATCCAAAGAACCTTTGCATAATTTTGTGATATGTCCTTTGTCATATTGCGTTTTTGCCGGGACTTGTTTGCAGCCATCGTGAATCAAACGGCACAAAAGGAGGGACGTGTCCTTAGGTGAACTTTTGCAAATGGATGGCCCAGCAAAAATGAAAACCGGTCTAAACCAGTGGAACCCCTGTATGTCTATAACCAAACTAACCGATGAAAAGGACACCTTTGGTAGGACATCCAGCTCAAGCACCAGGGCACTAATGGCTTCATCATGCAGCACCCGATTGATTTGCAAGGACTGGTCGTGCTGGTCCTTGCTGATGAAGACAGACTCCTGGGCAACATTCAACCTTTGCATGGGTTTGTCTCTAAGGGAAGGGACAATAAAAACGGCTGCATTCGTTTGGATTCTCTTTAAAGGCAACCAAAAAGGGGGGGTGCTCCAAAAACCCTTCCGTGGCCAAAGGCGACATCGTCGCTCATGCAAGGCCAAGAGTTCAAGTGCAATTGGCTGCGCTATTGCCAGCGATCCCCCCCCATTCAACCTCGGATTGCAAAGAGCGCGGCCCGCAGGACACCCACCATTGGGTTTGTCTTTTGGTTCAGCTGGTTTTACAGGAAACCCACAAGCACACCCCACTATTTAGAGGGCGCTCGGCCCCAAAAAAAGGAGGGACACGCCCACCGCGTCTTCGGCTCGGAGCCGTCTTCTTGTCGGCGGGTCCTGGTGCTGATGCGCGGTTCGCTGCTGGGACTCCACGTGCTGTTGCTCCGTGATCTTCAAGGCCTCCAAGTGGTGCCTGGCTTCGTAGAACGACCCCGCTGCCGGTAAGAAGCTCCAAGCATCGCTGGCGGTGGTTGTCAGAACCATCCCCTTAGCTTCTTGGCTTTCTTGGGTTTGGTGGCAGTCTCCATTGAAACCACTAAAAGTGAGTCACTTTTCGCAGGGGATCAGAGGGCAGCCCAGTGAGGGAAGATGGCTGTGGTTGTCAAAATCGTTTTGGGATCCCATTTTGGTGGTTAGGTGAATTCACCCATTTTAGAACCTATTTTCGTGGTTAACCCGGGTTTGCGTTGAAAGGGGATCTCCAATTGTTCCACTTCCAGGTGGCCTGTTGGGCAAAAATCGATGGGTTTCCCTGATGGATGGCACAAAGCCCCACGCAAGCCAGTGGAACCCATCTACTTTTAGTAAAAACCAATCAAACGGACACCTATGTCTCCAAAGTTGGCCATCCCCACTCGCCTGTGGCTCAAAAATAGGTACTCAAAATGGAACCCTGCAAAAATAACGAGTAGACTATAACCTGCGCTGCGGCACTTAGAAAGGTTCAGCCGCATGGTGAGATCAACCACCTAACAACGGAGCTGGGCACATGACGGATCATGTTTAAACCTCTTAGAAACATTCAAAAACCTAAAGTCTTCCCAAAGCCATGAACATAATTTCAAGCCGCACCTATTTCTGGCGGGGACTATCCCCTAACCCTCACTTGCGAAAAATACAGCTCATTCAACTTCCCTCTCATTTGCTATGGCCTGCTCAGCGCACAACGCCACCCGAATGCCTACCCATTCGAGCAGCTGCCAAGTTTGACACGCGCTAAGGGCACTCTCTTTGTTTTTTTTGCTTGAGGGTGGTCTGGGCTCCGAAGCCAGTAGAGGGAAAATTGGTTGACATGAATGAAGATCTCCAGTCGGAGTCCCCCAAATTCAAGGGGGGCAAACCACGATTTGGTTGGTCTTCCTTTCTACCACCCCTTTTTTGGGCGTACCCTCCAGGCAATTACTGTAACATGAAGCTACCGAGCCAGCAAAACGAGCGTGCTTTTCTTGAGTTTTCCGCGGGCCTTTCGCCAGATTCCAAGGCTTGTTGGTGCTGACGCCAGCTGTCCCGCACACCCAAGATGCTGACGCCCATGTCCAGCATGGGCAACGGATCCACCAGCACTTCCTTGCATGATTTGTTTTTCTCCTCTTTTTCTCGTGCAAAATGCGAGATCAGAAATCAACACGAGCAAAATTTACGAAAGCCTCGTGACTTGGTGCAGCGCTCTAAGACGCCAGCCCTTGTGGCTCCTTGGCCAACTTCTAGCTGGTTTAAGAAGAGTTGGTGTTGGCTCAGCACGCCGAAATCCAGTCACAATCAAAACCCCTTACTGAAGGGCTGTACACGAAACCAAGCAAAAAGTCAAAAGGGTGGATATCATCAGCTATTCATTGCTACAGTCTACAGTCCCTGCACCTTGCTTACCCATGTGTTGATCGGCTCGCATGAATTTTAGACATGCAACATTGGTGAGCCCCTGAGGCCCCCCCCTTCGGAAAACTATGTTACTACTGCGGGTGGACGAAATCCTGCACCACCTAACAAACCCTAAAATGATTCGATTCCCCTTGTAAACACCGACAACAAGTGATTTCAACCATGGTTTCAAATGATGCAGGATGGGATTTTGTCCATCCACAGTATGTCCCTGGATTTCCCAGTGCACGATGGAAGAATCGTGCGGCATCCTGTGTTTGGTGCTTGATTTCCAACCCCGGAGGGTTCAAGTAACTTTTAAGGAGGTACTGAACGACCCCTTTTTGCCCCCCAAAAGCCATCCTGAGGAGGTACTTGGACCCTCTGGGAACGGAAACCCTCGCAAAAAAAGAGGAAACAAACGGCCGCTGGATGAGAGGGCCATATGGTTATGGGTCAAAAGCCCGGTTAGTTCTTAGTGAACATCCCAATCCCCACTAAAAAAGGCTAGACTGGGTGGTGCACCTACCCCAAAATGGTACCATTGGTTTTGATCCACAGCTAAATGTTCTCTGTGGAGTCGCGCCTTTGTGCAACCAAGCAGCAAGGATGGCACTGAGGGCATTCATCATAGCTGCGCGCTCGATTTCCCTCTAGTGAGAACACTCTGCGATGAAGGCGTGCTATGAGGGTCACGCTTGTGTGGCTTGTCGAGTATATGTGGTGAACCACACATGCGGTTATAGAGTTATCTTTGTGTCGTGTGAGTGACCGAAGCTTGTTTGGAGATGATCTGGTTCAGCCGTTCTTGTGGCATTGTCCCGCATCCAATAGGATTCCCTGGCCGCACTTCGCAGGTGAAGATGCGTTGTTTTATTCCATAGGCTCATGGCTCAGTCCACCCGTGAGCTTGAGCACAAAAGCACCATGACGCCCACTGGCTCCCTTTCAGCGACATTTTCCTTCTTGTCCTCGTGGTTCAAAGCAACCCCCCCAAAAGCAACTTGGAGAACCCCTATGATATGCTCACTTTCTTGCTGGTGCGATAGGTAGGGAATGGATTCCTTGAAAGGAAAATATAACTTGCATGGTTTATAAGGGTCATTTCACTTCCCATTCCCTGCATCTCTCGCACTAAGCTTTGGATCCGGAGAACGGAAGGTCTCCTTCTCCTTCTCGTCCGTGGCACTCAGCTTCAGCATTTCCTGGCAACAGATCCATGCGCCTCACATGCTCCATCTATCAGGTAAGAATTTCTGCACAACTAAATGCATGTGTATACATACTCATGAACATATACATACACAACTATGCACAGAATCAACAACCAACATGTTATATATATATATATATACCTGGAGTCTCCATGACCCTTTAAAAATGGTTGGTCATTACCCAAAATAAAGGGGTCATGCACCCATTTTTACAGGGTCATGGAGACTCCAGGTATGTAAATACTAGACTTGTATACATCATACATGCTCATGTCCATCCCAAATGCTTCAAACCGGCGCTGCGAGGCTTCGAGCCGGGCGGCGTAGAAGCGGCGCTTGGGCCATCCGGCGATGTCCAGCACCTGGGTCAGCAGCGTGCGCGCCTCGGACGTGGTACGAGGCTTGGAACCTCAAGGGGGTGGCTTTTCCTCGATTAATATGTTTCCTCAGCTGATTTATTTTTCCCAACTGCTGAAAGCTTTGGGGTCTCAGCGTATAGGCTCCGGGGTGGTCCGGGGCGGCCCTGAGGTAAGGTTCCACCAGGGTTCCACGAGGTTCTGCGAGGGCTGCGGGGTGGTGAGAGCACCCGCATGCTGTTGGGGATATCACCTGAGCATATATATTTTTTGGGGGGGAACCAATCCCTGTTGTGGGTGGCAAAGGAAAACCCAAAGGACACATCGCGTCTTTCATTGGGTTTGGCCCAGTTGTTTCGGAAACCCCCCTTTTTGGTGGTCTCGTAAATAAATAACTAAATAAATATATAAACACATAAATACATAAATACATAAATAAATAAATACATACATAATATACATATATCAAAGGACATGTCACGGTCCTCAAGGCACTTTAAAACCCAAAGTGTTGGAATCTTGTGCAAAAGAAACACACCCCAACGTAAATAATGGCAAATCCAGAGTTTGGTGAGTGCCCCTCTCAGCGACCTCTCGCTGCAGTAAACCCTCCGCCGGAAACAAGCTCAAGGGATGGGGCAGCTGGTGCCCGCTCGCTGGGCTCGCTTGGAAGAAACCAGGCAGGGCGCAAGGCTCCTGTGGGATGGGGGGGTGCACTCGCTGGCTTTCTTCCTTCGGGGCTGGGGCAACTCATAGAGCTCGCTTCATGGATTGCTTCCTTGTGCCGTTCCTGCAGACGATCGACCAGCCCAAGGCAAACTTTCAACCCACGAAGAGGCAAATCGTGCACCATTCGCGCACCATTCTCAACATGAGTCTAGCTGAAGCCAGAGGATTTCTCCTCCCATCAGCATGGAAGCTTGCTGGAGGTTTTGTTGGAAAGCGTAAAGTGAACTTGTCCGCTTCCAGTGAAGGGAGGTGTAGTTTGCGGGAAAGGCCGCTCGAAGCAAGCGAGACCCAACGACTGACGTGTTGTGGAAAATGAGCTTCTCAAATTATGGGTTGAGCTTTGCTCAACATAGATGAGCGATATGTTGCGTTAAATTAGTGTTTTTCACAAAAATAAGCTCACAGCACGCTGTGCTGTCTCAGTCATTTAGTTCTACAGCCAATATTTTCGATAAAATATCCTCTCCCAAGTCTTTTTCTAAGGAAACGCTAAAACACCAAAAGTGCCAAATGTGTGTCGGAACACACGTTTATCGATTCTTTGTGCCACAAAACCAAAAAAAAAGCACACGCAGCTCGGGCACACGGTGCCCAACCAAGGATACACACCAGATTCCTTTCCCAGATCCAGACTTCCAAAGTTCAAAGCTGTGGGGCCTCTTTTGACCATGGACCCAGTCCTGTGAATGGTGTCAGAAAAAGGGGGGGTGCCTTTTGGAGACATGTTTCAGCCAATGTTGATTTGGGTGCCTCTGCTGTTAGGGGGCCCCTCCTATTTTTCCCCTACAACCGGGGGGGGCACTGATCTTTTCGTCTTTTCTGGAGGGTATCGCTGTTTGTGGGTTTTAGGGGGCAATTGGGAGTTGCTGGGGGCTGGTTTAAGTTGCGGGGGCTTTTGGCTGGCTTGGTTGATTTAGGCAAAGCGAAGGGCTGACATCCAGGCTGCTGTTGGGCGGGTTTAGGGTTGACTTTGAGTGAGTTGTGGGCGAGTTTTGGTGGTTTGGGGCAACGCTCCAAAACCGATCCTAAACAACCAAAACTCACTTAATCACACCTTAAAGCAACCCTAAAGCTGCTGCCAAACCAGCGGCACAGCTAACACAAATCAGCTCCAAACCAACCCAAACCCACTCTCAAAGTCAACCCTAAACCCGCCCAACAGCAGCCTGGATGTCAGCCCTTCGCTTTGCCTAAATCAACCAAGCCAGCCACAAGCCCCCCTAACTTAAACCAGCCCCCAGCAGCTCCCAACTGCCACGAAATCAGACCCAAGAGACGGTCAAGTGAGGCTGGTGCCGGGGATGCGGCCAGCCAGCCAACCAGCCAGCCAACCCAACCAGGGGACTGGCCCGAGGAAGAAACAAAAACGGATCCTCCCCAAACCGATCAAAAGGACACGTGTGGTTTCAAAGGGAAACCACAATTGGAAGCCACAAGTTGAAAACCCAGGCCTTTGAAAAAGACACTCCTAGCTATATAGAAATATATATATATATGTCTGCTATATGTGTATATATCTACATGAGGCACCTTTCGGTTTGTTGGTTCCTGTTCGGGACTTGAGCCCTAAACCCAAGAGAAACCAACCTCTTCTTTTGGGTTCTTGAGGCAAGTGGTGGATTTTGGTGTGGCTCCCATTTTTTGGAGTTGGCACCCCTTCTTGGCGCTTGTTAAAGCGAAACCAAAGGAGAAGACAAACAGTTGTAAGCGTATACATGCACAAATATACATGTCCTGGCTTGGGCTTTGAAAAAAAAGGAACCACACCCAACCCCTTTAAAAAGACACGCCCATATTTGTATTCACACACACGCATCTATATGTTGTTTATCTTGCTGCTGCTCAGCAGGGAATGAGAAATGGAATGACCCTATAAACCAACCAACTGTTGGTTTCTTTGAAGGGGACTGGGTTCATTCCCTCACTCCCCATCGCAGCAAGTTATTTGTGTTTGACTGCGTTATAAAGGAGAACAATTTGGCACCTCTACTAAAAATGGGTGCCAAACTGGGCGAACCAACAGGTCAAAAGGTCGATTCGCTTTGCGCAACTTGCCCATCCTCCAAAAGGGCCCTAAATGGAATATGGATCAACCGCCGTTGGGGATATCACCTGGGCGTATAATCCTCAAGCGCGTGAAACCAAAGCGCACCTCCAGCCTGAACTTACACGAATTTTGAGCCGTACCCATCAACACACACCAAGTCCGAGGTGATATCCACACATTATACACTTGTATGTACACTTGACCCATGTACAAACCCATGTATGTATATCAACACACACACACACACACCGCCCAAGCCGACGCCAAATCCGCGTTTCTCGCTGGCCAAGCTGCGGTGATCACCTCCGGCAAAGGAACCGAGCGATTGGAGTCCACAGGCCGAAGGGACAGGATCTCGTCTCCTGGGCCCATGGAGGTTGAAACGGCGCCATGATGCTTCGGTTTAAAAAATGTGATTACTATTATGGTTATCATTATACATATTGTGTGTGTGCGTGTTTGACTTTCTTTTGTCTTGCCGGTGTTTGTTTCTTGATTTGTTTTGGGGTGTCAAAATATGATTCTTCAATTTTATGTTGGGGAGTTGGGAAGGGCGAAATCATGTGTGGATGCCAAGATTGCAGGCAGGCCCCTTACTGTTTGAACTTATTGGTTTATTTTGCAAGATGACAGGCCCCCTGAAATCGAGTTGGCAACGGCCCAAGACACTGACAGCCGGGCGTACGCAGAGCCTCCGAGGGCTCTGTGAAACCATGCAGGGTGCCTATGCCGCAACCGGCTACGCGACGCGTAGTGCCTGCGCAGACTTTCTCCGGAGCTACTCATTGAGTTTCTGTAAGGCAAAACCTGTCTAGGTGAACGTGTCTACCTGGAGTCTCCATGACCCTTCAAAAAATGGTTGGTCATTACCCCAAATAAAGGGCTAGGGGGCTGCTCTGGGGTGCTGTTTGGGGCGCATTGTTGTAAAATTGACCGTCGGGCTAGGGTGCTGATGCAGGTGCTGCCTTGGGGTGCTGTTTGGGGCAGAAGCACCCGTGCTGCCCACACAAATGGAGCAAACAAAAACACCTAAGGTTTTGCTCTTTCAGTTGTATCCAGAAGTCCCTGAATTTGATATGATCTGGCCACCAACGAGCAGTGCCATCCTCGGCCTATTTATTGTATCTGCGGTCTATGATGGTGTAAGGGGTTTGGTCTACAATAAGATCATGGCACATCTCTTTGCCCTGCATGATGGTAAGATGTTAAGTGGGTGATCTTTATTACCCAACTCTTGTTCACATACTACCTTTGGATCATTTCATCGACAACATCCCTTCCATGCCTTTCACACGTTCTCATTCTTCGCAGCACACACAGCCAGCCATTCTTTGCGGCTCCTTTCATGTTCAGCGCCATCAAGCACAAGTCCACCTGGCGTCATTTTCGGCAACGAGCCTTCGGATGCGAAGACAAACGTGAGGAGCCGACCAATTTCCCGGGACCTTGATAAGTGACAGGTGCGCTCCTTATCTAGAACCTCCAGATTTGAGAGGCTAGAATAAGGCTACCAACTTTTTCTGTAGTCTATTTTTAGTAGGGGAACCTCCCCCACAAAAAGGGTAAAAGGGAACTACTGGGGGACCTAGTTGTGAAAATCAAGCTGCTGTCTCAATCCAATCCCTGGTAACACCTCGGAAGCCCGACCAGGGACTAGTTTTCATATTGGTTTCAGATTCGTGTCAGCAAGTCATTCCCTCAACATCTCCATCTACATGGCAAGCAAGATTTATCCGTCCTTAAGGGAAAGGTTCACCTTCTGATGACTGCCAGGTGTTCAAATGGGTGTAATTCTGCTACAAATAGGTGCAACCATTTTGGAGGTTCCTCATTGGATTTCAGTGCCTATTGCACCTCTGAAGGAGTCAAGAGTGGTTGAAACCAAACAAGATCTGGTTGAATCAGCTTCCCTTGGCTTCTCAAGGTCTCGAAAGGATACCTTCACCAGCTGAAGAGAACGGCTCATGTAAATCAGGTGGGTTTTTGGGTGCAAGACATCGACCCTGACAGTTCACCTAAGCGAAACCATGGCAAAGGACATGGGAAACTCGATGAGTCGCCTTGTTTCTTTGACTGCACCTCGCATGTGGAGCCGCGGTTCCGACAAGGATCCTGAACACTGGGCTGAACTTAGACACCCCGCGGAAAAAGTCTTAGCCTGTTAACTTGTTCAAGCGACATTGAAACGACAAACACGTCAAAAGGGCCAGCTATGGTTTTTCCAGTTCTCTTCGACAGGGCTTGACATTCGGCCTGTGACTTGGCGTTGGAAGGCCACAGGCCCAGGGAGTCGCCCTGCTCGTAGCTCAGGCCGCTGCCTACGGAGATGCTGACGAACTCTATGGGCCAACTCGCGCAACCCAAATCGACATACCCCACGATTAGTGGTTCCTGGGTTGTACAGGGTACCCCAAACACCACCCTGGTATAAGCCCTATAGGTGGGGTATGTCCATTTGGGCTATGTAAGTTGGCGCTTGGATTGAAAATAAGATCAATACACATATGTAGCCCAGGAAATCCAACCCGAACCGTGTTGACAATCCTATACTTAGACTTTTCCAACCCTATACCGCTTTGACAATAGCATACATAGATATGTTAACCCCCGTATGTTGTTTACAATACTATATCTATCTATAAATAAATAAATATATATATATATATGTATATATATGTAAATATATATATATATATATGGGTATGCGTCACACTAGGGGGTTGGGTGGTGTTCCTTTGTGGCTTCCCTTTGAACCAAGCTGAATGGGAACCCTCAAACAGAATGCGCATATATATATATATATATACATATATATGTATATACACATCGTGATACTGTCCAACCCTTGGTATGGTAGCAAATATACAGTTGTTTGTACTGACCATGAACAGAGCGAAACAAACAACAATGCCTAACAACATGCCAGCAACGGTGCATACTATATGTACACATGTATAATATATATGTATATATGTGTATATATGTATATATGTGTATATATGTATATGTATATATGTGCGTGTATATGGATGTATTAATATATATATATATATATTATACTATGGTATAATATGCTATGTATGTACTTCCCTGTCTGGAGTCCATGACAACGATCTGAGCTGACCCTGCTCGGCCGCGGGAAAACCAAAGGGTTCCCTGGCTTTGGCATAGCCGGCTGAAGATTGGCGCACACATGCATTTGCTGACGTCTCCTGGGAAAAAAATAAATAAATAAAAAAAAAAGTCCAGTAGTGATAGATTCCCATTAGAACCAACAGAACTCTTCTCCTAAGCAAATGCAGGTTTCACCAATTTTGTGGCAAAGGTGTGTTGGTAAAACACCCCTTTGCGGAAGAAAGGTTTTTGGCGCTGAACATAGGAGACACCCACAACCTAATCATATGTTCTGACATTGTTCCATATGCAGTCTAAGATGTGACTATATAATTGAGCCATTCTGTCCCCGATTTTGTCAGCATCAAAGTCGGTGGTAGGTTAAAGGGGACCCCCCCCAGTTTCTGACAACACGACCCCCAATCAACATGACCAGAGGCATTGCCTTTGAGGTCAAACTCGAAGTGGTCGATGGCGCGTTCGTAGCCATCTGGGACAGTGGACCTGCCCACCATGGGCCCCGCGCCCGTGTCCCAGGGGATTTCAGGCTGCGATTTTTGAGGGTCCCCCTTTTGAGGTTGGTATCTGTTACAGGAAAACAAAAGGAATGCCAGCATGCGTTTGCAGCCCTACATATTGGTACACACCCATTTGGAGAAAGCCACAGGGTTAGGAAAGGGACTTTTCAATCCCCGCGGAACCCCAAAACGGCAACTTGGCAAATCCCCTCACATCCTTACTAACAATTGCCAGGGGACAGGGGAGCCAAGGTTCTTGGCAATGGCTCTATAGCCGGTCACAATGATAACCTGCCCGCCTTGAGCTACCATTAATGTTCAACTGGCCTGTTCCAAGTGGAGATGTGTCGTTCAATCCTTCTGAGGGTACTCCTGCTTGGTGGGTTTTAAAGGAAAACCACGAGGAAAGCTCGCCATTTTGGAGGGTCCCCTAAAAAGCGACACACCCATATTTGAACACCACTACAAAACCAAACCTTGGGCGACCGAAGGTAAGCATCCGGAGTGCCTGGGGCTGCGAATTTCTCCAGACTCATCACACCCTGACGCTTGAGCAAAGCCCAACGAGCAAAACACGACATGAACCCTCAACTGCCCACAAGTGTTTTTTTCCTCGGGTCCAAACCCATGTCCTCAACTGAGCTGTCAAAGTTTACCATTTAGTGGGTTAACTTCGGAAACCTCACCACTAAACCAACGAACAAGCTCTAAGAAGCTAAGTCGAACCAAACCGGACGGCTGAGTTCAACCAGCAAGGTTTTCACGCCGCCCTCCTTACTCTTTGCTATGAGCTCATGTGCTCATGGCTTGTTGGCACACACCCATTTGAACTGGGCTGTCCTCAGATCCCAAACTAAAAGTTGGACTTTTGGTGGGTTAAGTATGGAAAAGGACTCCGAAACTTTTCCCGCCTCTTGATGTTCATCTGCACTGGCTTGGAGCCATGGGGCACGTAGGGCTCCGCGGCGAGCTTCGCCTAGCGGCGAGCGGCGGAGCGCTTTTGGCGGAGTTTGGAGGATGAGTTGGGAAGTGGAAAACGTCACTTGAGTCATAATCAAAATCCGGTGCAAAAAAAGGTCGACCCAGAACCATGTAAAGAATTAAGAAGGCGGCCGCAGCTTTTTCTGGTTGGGATTTTGTTCCTTACTAACCTTCATCTACCCGGGCTTTGATTGTGGCTCACTTGGGGTGTTCTTCACCCCCCCCACATAGCAAGCTTGACGCATAGGGGACTTATGAGTATGGGCTATGACCATCTATGACCTATGACACTAACAACTCACAAGGTTAACGCTAACGAGGTTGACCCCATAGCCAGGTGAACCCTACATGCACAGACAACTCATAAGTGGGTCACGAAGCAGGCCACCAACAACTTACCAACTTCACAAACAACACTGAACCATCTCTTGCAATACTGTGGATGGATGAAACCCTGCACCACTTTGAAACCATGGAAGCCACAACTTGTGTAGGGTATTTAAAGGAGAATCAAATCATTCCAGGGTTTCTTAGGTGCGATGGACTTCCTTCAGCAACAGTATTTGAATTGCAATGAACAATCGCTGGTTTCAACCATGGTTTCATTTCGTGGTGCGAGAAGCGATTTTCGCAACCATCCGCAGAATCCCCACGTATCTCTCTCAGAAACCATTGATTGATTGTATTTATAGGGGGTTATCGAATCATTCCGTTGGGTTGGGTGGTGCGAACTGCGGGATTTCGCAACCCTCCGCATTATCAATTTTATTTTCACCAGAATTCCAAACCTGAAATATATGAGTCCCTTAGTAAAGGATGGCTGCATTCCCAGGTGTCGCCACAAAATTTTGGTTCCCCAAAGACGTCCTTCCCGAGGGCAATTCACAAGCCGCGCCTTGGAGTCGTCGGCCGGCAGGATCTCCACCAAGTGCGAGGGGGGGCTGAGCTCCTTTGCCGTTCGTTGAGAAATGGGCGTTGCTGAACCCGAAATGTTGTTTGTATACTTGTTTTTTTCTAGATACATCAATATTATGTATACGCACACATATATATATATAATATATAATATATATATATACATATATAATATATATATATATATATATTAAACACCCAATGTGTATTTTTGGTGTCCTACTGCTCAATACGGCATCCGCCATTTTGATAACCATCCAAACGGGGCCCAGGATGCGAAAAGCACATGACTCTCCTTTGGTGCAAGCTGGATTTGGCTTGTTGGAACTCGTTAAATGGGGTCCCCATGGACGATTTTCTCACTTGAATCAGACACTGTCAAACCTCCTCGAGCCTTGGGCATTGGGTCCCAAGGGTGTATCAAACGTCCCGTGAATACTTCACATTTTGTTCCAGAAACCCACCCAAAACCGTTAACCTGGTAACATTGTCAAAAGTCATTTGCTGGCTTGCCTGATGCAAGCATCGGAAAGCTTGCTTGCTTATAATCATGAAACGTACAGGGCAATCTGAAAGCAAAATCGAAGGAGCTCAGAGTCTTCTGCTGGACACTTCGTCTATTTTGCGCACGCTCAGCCTACAAAAAATGCTCCACGCCGAGCAAACGGTTGCAGACTCTAGGTGCCATGCGGGGCTGGGGGTGCCACATGTCCCAGATCTCCTGGGGAGGCTCGGGCGCCTCGATGTTGTCATAGAAGTCAGGGCTCCACTCCTTGGCCAATCCCGTGGCAAGTCGGCTGGTTTTGAAAGTACTCGTTTTCGGGTCGCGGTGAAGCGAAAAGCCAGCCACATGCCTTTGAGAGCATCCTTCTTGATGGCAAAACAAAGATCCCATCTTGGCCAAGCTCGGGTTCATCAAGCATGTATAGACATATTAATCATGTTCAAATGCTGCTTCATACCCCAACAAATAACGTTGGTCTCAAGTTGATGTCCTTTGCAAGCTGTCCCCAAACGGGTTCCGCTTGTTTGTTTTGACACACAACCAAAGAAATGGCGTCACCGACCACAAAAACGGGCTCCTTTCCCCAAATGAGATTCCGATGGCCCTGGGGTTCCATGTTGATGGCTCAAAAATCCAGCTCGGGTTGCGCAGGTCCTAAGGTCGTGCCCAGAAAAGAAAACAGGGCACAACTGTGTTGGGTACCATTCCGTGTCCATTCAAAAAAACAGGGTGCAACTTGCTGGGGAATCCATTTGGTGAGCCACCGCCATTTAGGGAAGCGAGTGGCACCCTTCCGTGACTAGAAGTCAAGATGCCTCCAGCTCGGTGTCGAAGCGTGCCTCGGCGCGAGGAGGCGAAAAGCCGATCCCAAAGAGCGAGACAAGCCTAACATGCATGGCTCGTCTTTTTTGTGAACCACCCCGTCCTAAATGGTGCTTTCCCTCCTGGTTTCCCTTTAAAACCACAAAAAAAGGTACCAACTCCAAAAGAAGGACGGGCGTTTACTGCTTCCCTCAAAAACCGGACACACCTCCGCACTTCCCCATCATTTGAGGGGTGATTTCCCATTTTAGGGTCCAAGGTATCCTCAAAGAAAGAGAAAATAACACACCAAAAAAAAAAAACACCCGGGGTTTTCCCCTGGGCCCGCCGCCCATCCCCCAGACCCCCATCCCCAGACCTTCCAGCCGCTGGGGCAGGCGCGGGGTGCTGGTCGTCGCCCTGGCCCATCTGCTGCACGCGCTGGCCCCCCAGCTTCTCGAAGGCCTCGTCGATCTTGCGGGCCGCCTGATCGTGCGCATCGGCGCGAGACCAGCGGAGCGCAGCGGAGCGGAGTGGCGGCAGATGGGTTGGGACGTGGGACCCTTTAGAAGTTGGTTGAAGAAATGTGGACCGTGGAATTCTTGTGAAAATGAAGGGCGGACACTTGAATGTACCCTGTCTTTTTGAACCCTGGAGTCTGTTGAACTTGATTGAACTTGAATGTACCCTCTTGACTCTTGAATGACACATGCAACTCCGTGTCTGTCACAGGCATACCTCATGCAGCCTGCTCCCTTGAAAGCATATTCCCAGCTCCAACGGCTCCGGGAATCACCCCAGCTCCAACCACATTCCTAAAGCAACCCTAAAGGCACCGCTAAACCAGCGACACCCCCAACACCAATCAGCTCCAAGCCAGCCGCAAATCCACCCAAAGTCACTAAACTCGCCCAACAGCAGCCTGGATGTCGGCCCGTCGCCTCGCCTAAATCAACCCCAAACCACCCCAAGACCCACCCTCATGAAGATCTAAGCCAGCCAAAAGCCCCCCTAACTTAAACTAACTCCCAACTGCCTCTCAATAAGAGCCAATAGGCAACCCCTTGGCCAAGTGAGGCTGGTGATGCCAAGGATGCGACAAGCCAACCAAACAACCAAACAACCAAACAACCAAACAACCAACCAACCAACCAACCAACCAACCAACCAACCAACCAACCAACCCACCAACCCACCAACCCACCAACCCACCAACCCACCAACCCACCAACCCACCAACCCACCAACCCACCAACCCACCAACCCACCAACCCACCAACCCACCAACCCACCAACCAACCAACCAACCAATCAACCAACCAACCAACCCAGCCCTAGTAAAACAAAAAAAAACCCTAGGAAAGAAACAAAAAGCACCGGATCCCTTCCGGAGCGGATCCATGAACTCCGGGAGCGAGGAAGACGGTGGTCTTCCACAGGCCACTTTCAGGTTCTACGCTTGAGTTTGAACAGCTCTGGAGCAGCTCACGAGTACGTTCCACCATCTTCTCGCCTCGTTGAAGAAGACGTAGGAAGAGTCTCCCAGGCCGAAGACGGCGAACTGCGTGTCCTAGCGGAGTGCATCTGTCAGCCCAAAGGTGTTTTTGAGTCCCACCTAGAAGGGTGGCACTTTGTGCGCCAAACATATCTTCAGACTTTGCTTCCGAACACATAAGACCATTTCGTAAAAGACTCCCAAACACGACTTTGGAGAAGGACTTTGTGCAGCTCTGGCGTCCGTTTCAAAAGCCGGCTGCAGGCTAAGGCCCCCCTTGGCAAAAAGGCTTTCAGTTTCCAATGCTTGCTTTGAACCCACAACAAAAGATGTTTCGGGCTTGCAAACCGTTCTTTCTGCGAACAAACAGACCCAATGGGATGCTTTCCACTTCTTGGGGACCCAAACAATGCATTTTCCAACACGTTGGATGTTGCAGCAGGGGCAACTCTCATCAACATCAAGGCCATCTCTGGACATGGTGCGGGATAAATTCGTTGCGTTGAATGCATTGGGTATGTGGCCCCCCTGAAAACAAATTCTTGGCTTTCGAAAGAGATCATGGTTGATATCCATTTCGCTGCTCCATGAAAGGGTCCCAATCCCATTTCGAGAACGGGTCCCTCATTCAGTTGACCCACAAAACACAAATATATTGTCACCTTCTGGGGCCATGACTAAACTCGGAAAGCCAAAATGGGAATGCCAAGGTAAAAAGCTCGATTCGCTGACCGTGACTCACAATGAGTCGGGAATAACCTTCCGGGTTTTGGGAGTGAACCGGAAGGGGATTCCCTGAAAAGAAGCCAACTCGGGGGTGGTTTTTCTCGGGGTCATTCCATGTCACGTCCATGTCTCATTTGCCCATCGAATACCATGCCCCCCACTCCCTACCATCCCCCCCCCCCCAACCCCTGCAACACCCAAACCACCAGCAAGAAAATGAAACCATCCCCCCCCCCCACCCCATCCCCCAAACCCCCCCACCCCGCACCTGCAACACCCCACCCACCCTCCCTCCCACCCACCAATCGGAGTCCTTGAGGTAGTCCTCCGGCGCGGTCTCCAAAAAGGTCTCCATGTCCTGACCCAAGGCCAGGTCCCTCAGACGTTTGCTCTCTGCAACCCGGCCAAGTGGGACTGAGCTTCACCCCATGTCCATCCAAATCCTCTAAAACATGGTTGAAGCCCCCACACACACACAAAAAAAAAGAAAGTGGGGAGAACCCGGTGGGGGAGGTAGATTAGGGAAAAACATGTTTGGACCAAAGAACCCAGCTACTGAGTTCCAAGAAATACACCTGCTTGGTTTTGAGTACCCTATGCTGGCCTGCGACCATGTTCCTTCGGTCAGCTTCGATGTTCGGGAGGGAACATGCTAATACTAGCATGGCTTCTTTTTCCATGTCCACAATCTCAGGAACTGAGGTTGGAGATGGGAAACTTCCATTTGCTTGAGTCTCATGCAAAGAACACCATATTTCCAGAAGTGATAGATCCCCTTTAAACCCACAAGGGAAAATAACTATTTTTCTTAAGCAAACGGAAGATCGCTTCAACTTGTTGGAGACAGGGGAGGGGGGGGGGGGGGGTACTGAGAACTGAGACAGGTCCCGTGGCCTGAGTTCAACACTTGACGTCTTGGTAAGTGTTGCGTAAGAAGCTCAAGCGAATCTGCGTGGATCTCACCTGTGCCATCTACAAACCATATTCTTCTGTGTTTCTTCTTCTGAGCAAGATACAGCATGTTTAGCGTCAATTTGTCACAAGCATTCTAAATGAAACAATGAACTGGCAAACAGCTTTGTGACTCAAGATCGAGCTGACAATCGCATCAGGTGAATGTCTGATGCAGGGTGGAGCTCATGCGTCCTCTTCAAAGGTCTGCAATGGGTGTTTCACACAATTCGGCCTCTTTCTGAACAAGCTCAGGTGATATCCCCAACAGCCCCGGAACACTCTGGAACCCTCTTGTGAACCCTCGCTGAAAGCTGCCCCAACCCAATTCAGAGCCTATCTTTTTAGGTGTTAAAAAACACGTGCCTTCAATTCGGAACTCAACTTTCCTTTTTCTCAAACCGATTCTAACTTTACGACCAGGTCTTGGGACCTACCTTCAGGGGGAGCCCAATTCCATTCTTCTATTTGCTTCACAGGGCAAGTGGGTTGCCATGAATGCCCTCCCCAATCAACCTCGTTTTCCCTTGAAAACTCAGCCCATTTGAGTCATAATCAAAACCGGGAAATAACATGGTCGTAATCCCAGAACCGTCGGACAGATTAACCAGGCACAAATTCGCACCCGTTTTTATGTCTGGGAGTGTCCCTTACTACCCTCCAATTACCTCACTTCCTGAGTCTCTTGGCCAACAACAAGTCAACTTGTGATTCACCCACTAAGTCCGAACGCAAAAAGCGGCGATCAGAGTCCGAACCGGACCTCAGGAAGTCCGGGTCCCAAAAGAAGGCCCCAACTCGGCTTTGAGGTGACTCAAACATAGGTGTCCTTTTGAAGAGAAAAAAAGGGCCCTGGCAAATGGAATCAAAAACCCATCTGGACCAGTGGAACCCTTCTATTTTTTACCTATGGACTCCAATTTCGGGGCCCCCGGGCCCGCGCGCTCGACTCGAGTCTCGAGTCGCGTGTCCTGCCAGAACTTCACGGCGCTCTTGGGCATCTCTCCCTGCCCCGCCGTGGCGACGATGGCCAGGACCTTCGACTCCTGCCGTCGCGGCTTGGTCGTGGTTTGGTCGCGGTTTCTGCGCGGTTTGGTCGTGGCGGCGAAATTTTCGTGTGGGCCAGTTGGGAGCTTTTCGTTTTTTGTTTTTGGTATGTATATATTTTGATGGTTGGTTCAGAGGGAATTAGGTGGTTGTTGACCATACCCACGTGAACTGGTCGTGTGGTGGGCTGGGTGGGAGTGTTTCGTCCAGTTGGCTTGAGAGTTCCCGGCGAAATCTGGAACCCAAGAGTATCCAGTTGGAATTTTGGGTCATGCAGGTGCTGTTCCCTTTTCTGGAGGGTATACCCTCCCTCCCACGGTTGCCATGGCACCTGGCAGAGTAGGAAATTCATCTTCTAGGTAATTCAGAGGTGCCATGTTGATGGGAGGAAGGGTATTACTACCCATTTCAGGTTGGTTCAACAGTGATGACCATCCCTACCCCCGTAAACGGGTGTTGACAGTTGTTGATCCAAGATGTGTGTTGTTTCGAAAGCTCGATATCCTCTTCAGGTTTGTCCAAAGGGAACCCCCTCCCAAACAAGGTAAAGTAGGTCTATTACAGATACATCCCAAGACTCACCCGATTCACAGGTCCTGTGGGAATCCTCTAAGCCGGCTCGCGTCTGGCTGGAGTCTGCCAAAAGAATCGAAAGGTTGTGTCGTTTTTTAGCGAAACCCTCCTCCCCCCCAAAAAAAAAACATCGCTTTGGTTATCCTTTTGGCTTCCCTTTAAAACACACAAAAACAGGGTACCCACTGACCGGACCCCCCCATCCCCAAAAGAGCTGAGGAAGTGCCCTTCCGGGAAGTTCGTAACTGGTCGCTCGGAGCCTCCGGCAGGTCGCTGATGGCGACATCGTTGAGGGAGAGGCACTTGGCCTTCATTCCTGACAAAACCCAATCCCACCCTCCCCTTCCCCCCCTGGAAGGCTTCTTAGAACCTTAGATGGGACACAAACCGGCCGGGGCCATCGGATTTCTGGAAAAGCTGATCGATGGACTGGTGGTGTCCAATTGAAGGTGCGCCCTCCCGGCTTCTTACCTTTGGGTTTTAAGGGCTCTCAGCGATCAGGGGTTTCATGTTTCTCCTTCCAAACCCTTTCCTTGACCCCTCAAGTGGTTCGTACCGCAAGTCCTCTAAGTGAAGGCAAGCCGTACCCTTCCTCCAACATGGAAGCTGCCAGGAGGGTTTAAGAAGAGCATAGTCTTTGTGGGGAAGCTCGAAACCCCATTCCACGTCCATTCTTGCGAAGGAAATTTGCGGAATGTGTTTCTGCAAGTTTAAGCCAAGCCCAAAGAGGACGCAGAATCACGTCCTTCAGCCCTTGGCCCAACTCCAAGACACATTTCCAATTGTCACATGATGGTTTATTTAGATTTTGTCATACTAACCTACACTATCCTCACTCGGGAGACGCAGGGAAAGTGAACAAAATGGTCCCAAGCAACAAGTCCAGGAACTGGTTGTTTCGTCCCAGCTGTTCGCCTTTTAGTTTCCTTACAACCCTTGGTATGGTAGCAACAAACATTGCTTTTTGCAACCCCCTCCTAAAATGAACAGAACCGCACAAACCACAAAAGCAAACGCTTGCCAACAACATCCTCCTACTAAGAATACACAGAACCCACAAAAACAAAAACAACAAAAACAGCAAACCACTTGCCAACAACAGCAGAGCTTCCCCACAAACGGCCCCCCCCCCCATTCCCCCCCCACCCGCAACCCCCCCCCCCGTTCGCCGCCTAAGCCCCGACTCTCCGCGCCTCGGCGCTTGAACTCGAACTGGAAGTTCTTGGCCACCATCTCGGCGTTGCCTACCGCCCCGATCCCACGCTTCGCTTCCATGTGCACAAACATGTTGAACTGAGTCAATACATATCGACCCCCGACAAGCTCAAAGAAAGAATTGCACGGGACTCAATGGCAACTGGGCATGTCCAGTCCATCTTCTTCTCCAGCTGAATTAGCTGGGCTTGCTGTGACCGACACTAACCAACGTGATGTGGTGTTTCTTGAGGGTGGGTCCAAAGCGAAAAGGAAAACCAATTTTGGGGCCATATGCCCATTATACATACATACATACATATATATATATATATATATACCTGGAGATTCATTCTCCATGAATTTCCTGGTAGTTCTCGGCTTTGACTTGCTTTTCGTAAATCTCGATGTCTTTTTCGTGAAGTCGCCTAAAACTACTAAAGCTTCTATATTTTTGTGAGATTTCAGAATTGGTACGGTTTCACGTTTTCCCCGCCCAGAATTACCCGCAAAACGCCCGCAAAAAGCCCGCCAACGCCCTCAAAACCCCGCAAACGCCCGCAAATCAGAAAAAGACACTTTTTGGGCTCGGGGGTCGCGCAAAACTCCTAGAAACCACTTAGAACGCCCAGCACGCCCAAAACTACCAGGAAACTAAAACGCCTAGGAAAAGGCCGGAGAATGAATCTCCAGGTACATATATATTGAATATAGGGAACCAGCACAAAAGTGGATCTGAACCCCGAACTTCCACCAAAAAGTCCCCCCATCAACTGGAGGCCCTTCAAGCGCCGAGAATTGTCGCGCCTGTGTCGGTGCCATAGAGCACCGTCACCCGCTCTCCGGTCACCTCCCGTCAGCAAGCGCTTCATTCTTTTCCACGAGGAGGATCTTCGAAATACCGGGTTGCTTCCCCCGAAAATGCAATTACACCAACCACAAAACCCTGGTAAAGTACGGCAAATGAGAGGGCTCCCTTATTCCGTACTTGCGAAAATTGACAAATTGAGGGCATCCGCCATACTGTGGGTGGACAAAAACCTGCACCAGTCATGATGGATGAGGATGAATCCCTGGGCATACTGAGATAAACCACCTACCAAGTGGGGCAAGATTCTGTCCTCCCACAGCAGTGGCGTGTGTCAGATCTCCCAATGATCCTATCCTTCGAAGCGTTGCGCGCAGGGAGATGGCAACTTTCGGAGTTTCATGTTGCCTCTTTGTATGACAAGCCGATACCTTGATGGCAAGTAGCGCAACCGAACATGGTATTTTCAGGCATCTAGGTGGACCAGCTGCGACTACTTGAGAACCTGGACAAACCTCCATGAGAGGTTCTCAGCATGGTGGACCCCTGCTGGTTAATGTTGAAAGGCAACCCGACAGGAAAACCACCCATTTTTCGGTCCCTGTTCTGAGAGACACATTTTGCTTGCAAAAGAGCCCTTAGACACATATATTCTGGAAGGAACTGCTGTGTTGTTTGGGTGCCACAAGCCCAGCTATCGACCTACATGGGGTCTATCAATTCAAATAGGTTCTAGGATGCTACACACATGATTGTCCGTTGGTGCAAGCTGGAACCCATTTACTAGAACCCGTTTAAGTTTAACGGGCCCCCCAACTCTTGAAAGTCACGTCCATCCCGTTGAACTGCAATTTCTGTGAAGAACGTCAAGGCAGTTGCCAGGCGCCCAAATTGGTAAGCCACCTGACTCGCCGCAGGTCGAATGGTCTGCCAGTTCGATGGATCTATTGCTTTGGCCTGGTCACTTTGAGCTGAGTTGCCGTTTCTTAGAGATGATTAAGGACTGCCTCTTAGTGAACACATGTGGGTGTCTGCGGTTTTGAAGGTTATCCTCTCACATTGGTTTGAAGGGAAGTCAACAGGAGACCCACCTTTTGGGAGGTCCTCCCATTTTGATAAGTACCCATGTCTGACATGAGGCACCGAGGTCTCCTGCGAGAACGTGGTTTGCCACTTCTGCTTATAGGGGTCCGCACGAGTCTTCAGCTCTCCCTTCAGCATTGGGGTCATTTGCTCTTCTCCTCCACACCCCAAAAATTAGACCACCCGCAAGCCCGCTCGACCGGACCACCCCACATAGATGACCACCCCACATAGCACGTGCTTCCAGCAATACTCCCCAGTTCGCGGGCCCTGTGAATTGGGGGTATTCACCAAGTGGGGTGGTCCAAGCGGTGATACCAAAGCGTTGGTCATGCGAGGGCATTCCTCATCTAGGTCCTCCAGTAGACATGATAGAATAAGGGTACCCTTTCTTCTGCAGCCTCTTTTAGTAGGGTTCGGAACCCTCCCCCAAAAAGTTGGTAAAAGAACGGGCACCATTCGCTGGGGGGCCAGTCCTCATTAAACCTCAAAAATCCCCCATCGCAAACGCACGGCTGCACCGAGAAAAGGAGTGAGAAAGGGCACTACTGGGGGACCATTAGTCATCAAACCTCAAAACTCCCCATTGCAAACGAACTCTGCGCACCAGTAGGGGTTTCCCTCCCCCAAAAAAGTTGTCAAAAGGGCACTACTGGGGGACCTAGTCATCAAACCTCAAAAATCCCCATGCAAACGAACGCCTGCACCCACCCACCGAAGCGAAGGCCTGCTCGCCCATCTGCTTCTTCAGGTACTCCAAGAGGTCCTCGTCGCCCATGGCTTTCCTCTTCCGCGTCTCGTGGCGCGCGTGGAACCTCGGGCGGAATGGGAGTGGAGAGGGGGCAGCGTGCTCTGAAAATCGACTTCTGGGGGTGGGAAACCGCTTTCAACCGCCATAGAGGGCAAACTAGAAGACTCCAATAAGGCCCCAAAGGGTCGGGGGGGCTACCCGTTTTTTGTATGCAAGGGGGTCCCTGTAAACCCTGAAGGAGGAACCGGGTCACAAGCACAGTGGGGCAAAACGTGATAATATTTTTTCCACCTTTAGAAGAAGCCTGGTTTCAAGAGGGTGAGGATGCCCAACCCTGAGCAGTTCCATCCATGTCTCCCGTTCCTGTGCAAGCAGCAAGCTGTGAGTACATTGGCATACATGTATACGGGTGTGTCTTTTCTTGAGGGTACCTTTTCTTGATGGTACCTTTTTGTGGCTTTAAAGGGAAACCAAAAGGATACCAACTCTTCGGGGCCCCCTAAGAAAACACACACACACACAGTACCTACACCCATATGTTTATGTGTTCAGACGCACACGGAGTTCGATCGGTTGTCCCCAAGTAAAACAGTTTTGGCAGCCGCCTTATGCATGGTCGAAGTGGCTAGCTGTCCACGGCACACTTCCATCAGAAATTATCCAACTAAACGCGGGGAAAACGGGGTACATATTTGGGGTCGTGATTGGGGTGTCGGAAACATGCAAAAACCATAGAAACCACACCCCAGTTAGTAAAGTGGCACAAATCCTCAGTTCATAAGTCCTGATATTTTCCCCATTTTGGGGAACCTTGGCCGAACATATGTTCATCACTGACTTGACTCCGTGGGTCCTCGCCAAGGCGAAGGAACCCGGCGGCGTTCCGAATGCTTCAATCGCGTGGCTCATGCTTCATGGCGCCCTGCAGCATGGAGGCATACTCCGGGGCGGAGCGCTGAAGCGAGGTGAAGCGATTCCTGACTTCAAGCGTCTGCCCGGCCGAAACACACGGCTCTAGGTCCTCCAGTAGAGAGGTTAGAATAAGGGTACCTTTTTTTTTTACTTATTTGTTTTTACTTTTTTTAGGTAGTCGATTTCAGTAGGGAAACCCTCGCCCAAACAAGGGTGAAAGGGCACTACTGGGGCACCTAGTCTTGGCCAAATCTGATGGGTTTGTCTCAAAATTGGAGCCCCAACATGGTTGGTGTCGGACCTTGCTTCTCCTCTAAACCAGCTCAAAGGGCGGTGTTGAGCCACAGGCCTTGGCGCCTCTTCAGGGCAAGTCCCCATGCCTCAATCACTGGCTGGGACTGGCTCCGCCCTGTTTCGGCACCGGCCATTCACAGCGTGGGACGAGGGCAATTCTGGATCCAGGCGTCAATTGTACTCGATGGGCCCGATGCTAATTCGCTTGCTTACCCTTCAACTTGCTAGCTCGCAGCTTCCCTGTACTTTCCCTCTTGGTGGTTTGCTGGGCAGTTTCCCATTTACCCTCTGCAGCCCAAACTTCAAATCCCCAAGCCAATCCCAACCACAAAGAAAGTGCCTGACAGTTCGCAGCTCCCCCTGAACAAATTACACCTGCATAGACCCCACATAGCGACAAACAGGCCGATGATTACACCGGCCGGCACCTCGAGTAGCACCACCCAAAGAGCGCCCAAAAAAGAACCGTTTGGCCATGGGTCAAAAGCCCGCACCCCCAGTGAACATCCCAATCTCCACCAGAAAAAGGTTCTAAAATGGGTGGTGCACCAACCCCAAAATGGGATCCCATTGGTTTTGACCCAGAACCATTTCGAGGCGCTCGTTGCGCACGAACTCCTCCATGGCATCTGGGGAGATGCGCTTGTTGTCCAGCTCAAAGCCGTTGAACTCCCCCTTCACCTCGAAACTGGGGAGAAGGGGGGGGGGACCTTTTGGGCTGTTGGAATGCTGGGTGTCATGGATTTCCCACTTGGAAACCCAGAAAACTACCTTGTTATGACCTGTGCAGTGAAACCCACAGGAAACAACACCAAGGGTGTATTTTGGGCAAAACGGGGCTCCAAGAGGCGAGGGTACCTCGTGTCTACATGGCCAGTGTCCGCATTAGCTCTTCAGCTGCAGTCACTGATTGGTGACCTGCCCCTTGGCTGCTTGCCCTTGAAAACCCATCAACCAACAATCAGCCACCATTTGAGCGGCCTACTGAGAAATTTGGGCCGGCTCCCTTTTCCCCCGCTCCCAACAGGCTTTGATTGCGTGTTTTCAGTGCCTTGTCCGGGTTGTAGCGATACAGCGGCCAGTAGCCACTCTCCACAGCCTGCACCTGCAATTGCCCATTGGTCACCCAGCGAAGCGAACGGAACAACAACAAAGGGAAGAAGACCTTGACTTCCCTTGACTCGAATGTTGAATTCGCGAGATACCTTGACTAACACTGTTTGCAACTTCCCTTGACTCGAATGTCCTCCGTCTTGAATCAGGCAGTCGCCACCCCGATTGCTTGGATTGATGGCCTGGAGATATGTCGCCCGTTGAACATGGATGGTATATGATGCCTCAACTCGCCAAGTTACCAGTCTTTTGCACCCGGAGGGGGTTGTCTTTGTCGACCCGTGAAGAAAATGAGCGAAGAGCAGGGCCATCTTGATGCCATTGGAACAACGATGACCGGTGGCCAGGCTGTAGTGCTGCAAAGCAAAACGGTGAAGGAGTCCTGTTCTAGAGTACTTTAACCCGCCAACCCCTCATCCCTTTGAACAAACAACCGATCTATGCGCACATGTGACACGAGGATAAACAAATGCCGAACGGTCGGTTGTTCAAGCAAGTCATCCCGTAAGCAAAGCCCACCCAAAACGGAAAACCAAGAGGGGTCCATTTCTTTTTGGACATATGCCCATGTGGGCCAAACGAACCCCTTACTTAGGGTTACCCTCAGGGATGGTCATGTCCAAGTGTTGTCTGCAGCATCCCGGTCCCTCAATCCCTGAAATGATTGGGAAAAGAGTTTCGGTCACTGCCTACCACCGTAATAGTGTACGACTTCATGCAAACAACATGAGCCAGCATGGAATCGCCTCGAAGGCAGGTTGAACCGAAAAGTACACTAGTATCCTCATGCAACACAAAGCCACATGCGCCGCAGCGTCCAAAACTCATCTAGGCATATCTAGGCCCGCCAAATTGCATCAGGGGAGGCATCGAATCTGCAAAACACAATTCCCGCAGTGAACGCGGCGAAACAAGAACAATTTCATGGGTACTTTCTTTTGGTACCAAATGTTCAATGGGGTTCCCCCCCCCCAAACAAAAGCACATAATAAACATAAGAAAAGACCGAAGAAACAACCACAAAACACAAAAAAACAATCCAACACCAAAAAAACAGGTTGGACAAAGGAAGCAACACGTTGGTTTCCTGAGCTCCCAAACGCCTCGGGTTTTCGACGGCAAGGAACGCACCCAGTCGCCCGCCTGTTGCTGGACCATGGCCTTGTCTCCGGCCCGGTGGCCCCAATCCACGCAGGTGGCATAGGCGATGATGATGGAGGGGCCTCCGCGTGCGCCATGGAGACCGGGGGGTAGAGACAAACCAAAAGGGCGCGGCGATTTTGTAGGGTTTAGACTTTTTCTTTCATGAAATGGATTCTGCTCTATGTGTTTGTCTTTTTGTGTGGGATCCTGGCGGATGAACAAAGAATTGAAGTAGGCGGCTGAATCCCACCACCACCGATGTGTTTGACATTCTATCTCTTGGGTACACCAACGGTAAACTGTTCAGATAACACATCATAATTCAGAATATATAGATATATGTGTTGATAATCATGTTCAAATAAAATGTGCATGTTCGAACGAACAAAGGTTTGGGGGTGTTTGCCCTGGCCAGCCCATAAACTTTAGTGAACTTCTTGCAAACAATGGGAAACCAACCCATTTGGGTCGGTCTCACAATCGGTTGGCTTCCAAGCCACATCCTTTCAAGTTCAGGCTCCAACAAAGGTCCGGTTTCCCTTCGCTTTCCCATCGCTTCACTTCTCTATCCAACAACCAGCTGATTTTCAAGAAATCCTCTTAACTAGCTGGTCGTCTGGTCCCTTTTCACTGGCCACGCTTTGTATCTGTCAAGGGGCCTTGAGGCTTCTGGAAAGCACTATAGTGGTCGGAATCACAAATGGGCTTTGCAGCACCAGGCGATATAAATTCAACAAAGGTCGTTCTGCTTTCAGACGAACATCCTCGCAAATCTAGGCTGCAGGACCCGTTCTCCTAAGCTGCCCTTTACTGGTCACACGGCAGACTGGCAGAAAAACAGCCTAGAGCTGGCTGAATGTGTCAAAATAGGGTAACCCTCCAACTGATGACTTTCCTGGCTGGTTTTCCTTCAACGCTCCCTCCCCCCTCCCAAAAAAAAGAAAGACGCCTCGTCTGGTTCATTTTCCTTTAACACCAAACAAGGTACCTCCCCCCAAAAAAAACTCACACCCAGCTGGACCCTCCGAATGGTGATTTGCCTGGCGGGTTCTCCTTTAAGCCCCCGCTACCAAAAAAAAACAAAGTACCTACCCTAGAAACAAAAACAAATATATTTTCCTCTAAGCCCCCCCCGGAAAAAAGAAAAGAACAAAAGAATCAAAACAATTTCTCAGACCGTCCCTCCCCTGTGAATTTTTGCCTTGGTTGGTTTTCCTTGGGTGGTTTTCCTCTACCCCCAAAAAAAAGGGTACCCCCTTTCCACCCCCCCCCCCCTCAAAGGAAGAATGCCCTAGCTGCCATTTCCCCGCGACTCTTTTGGCGCCCGCGCCTTTGTAGGCCTCCGCCTCCTTGAAGGCCTTCACTGTTTGGTTCACGTCCGCGGAGAGGGACACCGAGGCCACGTAGGCGTTCTCGTGCATCATGGCCTCGGGTGCTCGTGCTGGACGTGCTGGACGTGACCAACGCGCGGCCCGTGGAGTCCCGTGGGTCCCCACAACAGTTTCGCGGGTTTCGTGGGTGTCCGGTGTCCGGTTGGACGTGAAGTTGAATTCCGAAAAGAGAAACGCGTGGTGTCAAAATGAGGGGCGCCTTTCGTTTGATTCCCTGAACCGTTAACCGATCAACTGGGGATCCCCCCAAGAAAAAAGAAAAAAAGAAAAACACTTCCCTTTCATTTGCTTCCCAGTATCGCCATTTAAAAAGGGTTCACCCCAAAAAGCCCATACATGAGTGACAATCGGAACCCTGGTGTCGAAGTGCTCTACCCAAAAAGCATGCATGTACCTTTATGACACGGAAGCTGAGAGGGCGCGTGCTTAAGCACTTGCTTGTGATGGGAATCTAAACAGAAGGCTCCTTTTATGGAGCATGGTCTTCCAGGCTCTGTGCTTGTTAATGGCAGGGTGCTTCTTCCCTCTGCAAAAAGCGTTTAACTTTTGTGGGGCCACTGGAACATCCCCTGTTTCCGAAGTCCAAACATCCCACCAAATACTGGCTGGGAAGGTGTGAACAGTTGATCAAGATCTTCTATCAACAAATGACTCAAGGAAACCATGCTGTCAGTGGCTATTACATGCGATTCCAGATGACATGTACTTGAGGCATGCCCAACACGTAGGAATCGCGTAGTGCGCTTAGTGCCTTCCATCCCCCTTGCCAACTGCTGAGGGATCCGAGCTCGAGAAAGTGTTCAACCCCGCTTGCTACAAAGGGTTCCGCAAAGCTTCTCCGAGCGTGGATACTTACCCACATGGCCATGGGTCAAAATCCAAATCGTACCCCCAGTGAACATCCCAATCCCCACTAAAATAGGTTCTAAAATGGGTGGTGCACCTACCCCAAAAGGGATCCCATTGGTTTTGACAACCACTTCCCCACATGATGGGTCACCGACACGGAATCACCGGGATCCCTTCTAGTGCTTCCGAATCCAACTTCGAGGCGCGATGGCACCAAGGTCCTTCTTCTTGGCCTTGTTGCCTCCCGCGGCCATCTTCATGGTCGCTCCCTGGGAGCAAATGGCAGTTTCGGGAGCCAAGTCGAGCGAACGGAGCGAAGAGAAGCGGCAGAGTTTTGGAGATGCCTTGGGGAAAATGCAGGACGTATTTGCTGGTGAAGTGAGCTTAGGATCCTTTCGGGTTGGATGGTCGCATGATTTGTGAGTGATCTCTGCCTACTCCTTGCAACTGCAGCTCAGGCACCACACCTGGACAGGATCAACCCCCAAGCGAACATCCCTTGAACCAAAAAGAACACCCCACTTCCCCAACGTGGGGAAGACGTTGGGCTCGCCCCCTAGTCTTCGTGTTCGTGGTTGAAATGTCCAGGTCGTTCAAAAGGGTTCCATGCCTCTCCCAAATGAACCGTAGACTGCTGGTAAATATTCCATCCACACGTTGCGAACCTCCCTCGCAGCACAGAATGAGGTAATGCCCCCCATAAACCATCCCCGTTTTGGTTTCCTTTCTTCGCGAATCCCAACACGGCTCATTTCCAACACCAGAATCGGAAAAGCATATCCCTACCCGTCGCCGGCCGCGATCGCAAGACTTTCTTCTTTTGGCGCCTTAGGGGTGGCCTTGGAGATCTGAGCGCCAGTGTTGCTGTAGCCCTCGGTGTCCAGCACCAAGATGTTCACGTCCTGACCTGCCAGGCCAAGCTGCTCCCACTTGTTCAATTGGATTCATTCCATTTGTTTGGGCTTCTAAGGGAACAACTCACATCAAGCTTTCTACGTTCTGCTGGGCTGCTGGGCAAGGGGGCTGTTCCGGGCTGCTGTGCAACGTATCATTTCTGGGCACACCTAGGATTGAACACAAGTCTACCACGCACCAACGTTCTAGTGGGTGAAGATGCAGAATCTGAAGCATCGATAGGAAAGAATCTCCTGCATGGGTAAGCTCGTGTTGTGTGGTGAAATCGCTTGCCAAACTTCCAGCAAAGGGACCTTAGCGCATCTTTGAACATGTCGGATTTCCGTTCGCTTTGAACAGGCAACTTTTGCTTTTTCCCATTGAAACGTGCTTTCCTCCATTGCCCTCCATTTCAAGAGCATCTTCCTTGGGTCCTGCTCCAAAAACCGCAACCCAGGTTTGCCTCTCGGCGCCCTGAGAATCAAAGGCCTGTAGGGCTGCTCATCCCATCCCAGGCACGTGAGTTTTGCATATGCAGTCTCTGGAGTTCGAAACATGGGTATACGTCAAAATACGGAAGGACATACTGTGGATGGGCGCAATTCTGCAGCACCCAAAAAACCTTCGAATGATGAGCCCCCCTACAAATACCAACAAACGATATGGTTCCAACCATATGGTTTCATTCCGTGGTGCGAGAAGAGGACTTCGACCCATCCAATTTCTGGCCCAAAAGTGCCGCTGGGTTGGCCCGAAACGAAAGTGGAGGGACCCCGCCAAGCCCCCGTCGGGAACGGATCTGGCTCAGCTTTGGATGGGTGGTTAAGTATGGTTTTTGGGTTCCCCTCAAGAACCCGGGCTTCAACTCCCCCAAATGCACACCACCAGGTAGGGGTCAAGAAAGATATCAAAGAGGGTGGTGGTGTTCCTTTTGGTTTCCCTTGAACACCGACAACAAATTGGGTAATGGTACTAACTCCAAACAAGAGACGAGCCACACCCAATCCAAACCACCAAGTAACGGTAAGACCCCCACCAAAACAAAAACATGGCTGTGGCTCAAAAAACCGGAATGCCAAAATGAAAGCCTGGTAAGTGGAAACATGGGTACCCAAACCTGCGGTTTGCCCCTCCTGTTTAACTTTTTTGAGCCACACCCGCATGGCTTCCTTTGGCTTTTGTGGATTTCCAGGGGGTTCAAACCCCCCAGGCCCCACATCCACCAAGAGCTTCTCGGCTTCGACGCCAACCGCTCGATTCCTCCGCGCCCGGCGCCTGTGGCGAGCACGTGGTCCAGGCCGCCGAAGCCGATGTCGTAGGCCCAGCCGTCGCCGCCGATGATCCAATGGGAAGGGGCCACCAACATGTCCTAAGTGAAGCAACCAACGGCCCCCCTTTTAAAAAAAGAAGAAGCAACAGAAGACAACAACAAAACAAGGAACAACAAAAGCAAACCATGTGGAACAACCATTAGGTAACCAGCTTAAATTGGCATGTCCTAATGGCGAAGCAGCAACCAACGGCCCCTGAGACGCGACCAACCCCAACCCCCAACCCCTCCCGGCCGAGCAACAGAAAACAAAACACAAAGAATAACTACAGCAAACCATGTTCAATCGTTGTAACCAGGTTGTTCCCTTGAAATCGGAACTCTTTCTTCCCTCCACAATTTAACCTTACCAGTTCAAATAAACAACAATTGCATGTGAGCCATGGTGAAAAGGAACCTTTCGCCAACATGGGGGGGGAATTGAGTTTTTGTGGGCAGGGAAAGCCAAAGAAATGAGCCACGGTTAAAATAACGAACGTTTCCCCGAGAGGACATGGGAAACTTGAGGCTCGCCTTCTGGTTTTGTGGGGGACATGATGGGGACATGTAGAGCTGTTCCCCTCGTGTCATCCATTGCAACCGTTGATTTCAAGATCCCCACAAGAAGACTACACCAAACTCGGCACTGACGCCCCCCTTTCAAATACTGCCCTCCCACGGAAGCACCGGCCCCCTTGGTACCTTATTCGGCACTATCAAGTGCTGTTTAGCCCTGATGGCTCGGTAATCGGCCCCGTTATGTATTTTTTTTGGGGGGGAGCAACCTGAGGACCCTCACTTCCTGAGTTGTTTGTGCAAACAACAACTGTCTTTTTAAACTCGCGATGAATAAACCCGTCCTATTGGAGGGTGTCACCCACACAAGTGGTCTCAACCCCAACATTCAACGGGGACTCCTGATCAAAATCAACAAGGGGTGCCACTCGATCCGGGGTGAACCATATAGCAGGTAGCCATTGTTGGTCGACCATCCGAGCGGGTTCTTGTCCCCAGTGGTGGAAGCTAATAGAAGGCTTTTGGAAGACAGGCCTTCGGAAGCCCCCGGAACAGGTTAATAACCTCGTATCCCCAAGGGCAATGTCAAACCAGTGCTTCCAGTTGCCATAGGTAAAGCTCGTAAGTGGAAAGCGCCACTTGGGTGTTTGCACTCCCCCCTCCCCACATTCAGACTGATAAGTGGGCTATAACCCAGGTCGGCAACAATTTCAAACTTGGCAACGGACAATACGACCATCCCAGAAACAACACAGTCCCCACTTGCTGCTCATCCAAAAGCAACTACCACCCAAGCACTAACTTGGCCGGCAACCCACTTTCATGATTAAAGGGAGGGTAAGGGAAACCTGACAACCTCAAAGCTTGACAACCTGGTAAGCTCAAAGGTAATCGTAAACCAGTGCTGCTAGTACCGCTACTTGGCTCCTTGGGCCCCTGGACATTCATCCCATCCTTTGGGTTTAACTAGAACTCAAAAAAAAGAAAAGCCCATTTAATGGGCATCAAATCAAACTGCGATTCTGGTCCAAATTTTTGCACACCCCACCAATTTGGTCGCATCTATCTTTGCTCAGGGGGGAGGGGAGGAGCAAATAAATCCTTGCAGTTAAGTGGGGATTTCAACCCTCAAAACATGTTTCCCAACAACCGCTCGCGCCCTCGCTGTCGCTCGGACTCTCGGCCGGCCGGGGCGCTGAGCCCCGCTTCACCGCCTGCAGCTGCGCGGGGCTGTCGCTGGTCTCCGGCTCCGCCTCCAGGGCCGCCTTCATCGGCCCGTGCAGCGCCTCACGCCAGCTGCGCGGGGAGACCGCGCGCCGAGGCACAGCGCGGGGCGGGGCGTCCATTTTTACCACCCCTTCAACCAGTCCTTAACTACTGGGCATTAGAATCCGACCCGGTTTGGGAGCTAATTTGGTCTCCATTTACAACAACCTTATTATACTCCTTTCTCAACCCAAACTGGTGAATCAAATGTAAGCGCCAATCTTGAGCCGCTTTTGGTGTTGAAATGCTGTTGTATTGAACTGCTTTTGGTGTTGAAACCCCCATTTATTGCCCCAAAACGTCCATTTGCTGAAATGATGTTGTATTTGATTTTCCCTTGTTGATTCTGAAGGGAATCTATCACTGGGCGTGTTTTTTTCTTTTTTCAAGGGCGAAAGCAGCTGGAAGTTTTTCCCGTGGATTCCAGGCAAACCAAAGGACCCTAATTTGGAGATACCTCGAGTCCCCCACATCACGTCATGGGCACATGTGGCCATGCTCAACATCGAGGCGAATCGAGCTAAATACATCCGAAATCTGAAATGGGTATGTGTTTTTGAGGCCAGATTTTTGGGGGTCTCTATTTCGATGCAAACCCAAAGACTCTGTTCTTGAAAACCTACCAAACGAGGAAGTAAGCTGTGGCTTTCCAACTTTGGGGTACGGAAATGGAACCGGTCTCTGTGTGTATGTGTGTTAGTCCATTTCCAACATTTTCGCACATTGCTTTGTTTTCAAATGGGGCCACATGGTGGTATACTTCCTTCAACACCTCGCAAATGAGGAAATATGGTTTTCCAATAGCGGAGGTGTAGAAGGGAACTTCTGAATGGTCTACAATTTGAACAATTGTGATTGGCCCTTTCAAGCCTACCAAGTGAGGAAAATGTGTCTGTCCCTGTCAGTCACCAGCTTTTCCCACAGTTGCAAACCGATTTCCATTCAAATCTGAGGGACCCCTAATTCACGTCTTGACAAATCCCTGCCAAAGAAGGGAAAGCCCTTTGTGGATAGTATTGTCGGGAAACGAGTTGGCCGGGCGTAACATCGAAACTCGTGAACTAGCTCGGAAACAAGGCCTGCAAAACACTAAGTGCTGAGGGAGACCTTCCTAACCTTTGCTTGGCTAGCGGACATCTAGTAGCAACCTTTGGCAAGGAAGAGACAGTGATACCAAGACGAGCTCACCATCTGAGAGGCAGGTTGACCCTTGACGTTTCACTCAGAACAGGCAATGACAATTTATTAGGGGCCCACCTCAAAGGAGCGAGCCGGTGGACATGAACCTGAAGAATAAATGACGTCCACGAGTCCCCAATTCATGGTCAGCCAAAATCGAAAACCGCCCCAGAAGCTGCAACCGCCCTTCGCGAAGAAGCGCGGCTTGACAAGGCACTCCGCATTTCGTTGCATCGTCCACGACGTCCAGCCACCTGAGTCTGATGCCGCTTGAGCCCATTGAGCGACGACGACAGGAGGCATTTGGCCAAGGGACGCGCGGCACTTTTGCCGTAAGCCATCCATGACTCTCATCGAAGACATACCCGAAGAAAAATACCGATCAACAAGTGAAGCCGCACTGCCTTGCTTGTTTACACGCAACCCAAGCATAATATGTAAGCTGGTTCGTGGATATGTTGCTTGTCTTAAGATATAATATGGCACCGCCACGCATTTCTTCCATCCGGTCTCAAAGCTCCTCGATAGATGTTTGAGACCCAGAATAACAAAGCGACTGAACCAAATGCTGCTCCCGAAACGTGCATTTCAGCGTCTTGCATCTCTAAATAGAGCCATGAAATCAGCCAACGTGACAATAGACCTTTTTGAGGGGTCCGACCGGAATCACCCAGCATAAGCAAAAATAACTCATTCACCAGTGCACCTCTCAGGGGCATCCCAGCCAACAAGCCAAGACCGGGACGGGCATCAACCAAAAACGGTTGTCCCAAGTCCACGAACACTTCCAGGCCCAAGCTAAATGAGTTTGCGTCAAAACAGGGGGAACTCCCAACATGGGCTAGGGTCCCTTTTGGTGTCCTTTAAAAAAGACAAACAAAAAAAGAAGAAAAAAAAGGAACACAAGGGAGGGCACCCTACAAAAAATCACAACTCCAGAAGGGGAGTTTCTCAAAATAGTCCCCTTTTGTTTGGCAGAAAGGCAATCAAACACTGTTACCATTCTTTTACACAAAGTGACACCAACCAACAAAAGAATGGGTGCACCCTTTTTTAGGGGGGAGCCCCCAAAATGGCTTCGGTTTTCCAACCAAAGACCAACCAAAGGGAAACCAAAGGACTTGCCATCTTAGGGCCCCATCCACGATGATTCCGATTTATCATGGACCCTTAAGCGGGAATACCTGGATCTTCTGAGGGTACGTAAATTCTGCCGCTTGGCCAAACTGCAGAAAATGTTGCCGTTTCAATTAATTTCAGCCGTTTCAATCAATACTTGCCGTTTTGCGAATTTCCTGCAGTTTCGTTCAATGTTGACAAAGCTGTTTTGCGTCATTGCCACAATTTAGTGCGGACAAATGCGCCTGGAGGTGTGTGTGAAGGGTATGGCGAGTAAAATGCCCAGATTGCAAAGTTGCTTAAAAGCTTCGGATAGCAGGATAAATCCTGCTACTGCCGCGCATCCCTGAGCAAAGCCAGTAGCGTTGTTCAAGCACGTGCGCAAGATTTGGGTCTGAGCATACTGTCTTTCGTATCTGTCAATGGTGGCGCTCAAGAGCCCCGAAGGGTCTGGAACCAACATCGTGAGAATTCCAGACTGCGTGCGCAAAGCAACTCTGCAGCACATGCAACTGTTCGTTCCAAGTTGACGTGTCAAGCAGTGCTCACCCAGGAGGACATGCGAGACCTGTAGCTTAAGCTCCTCACTCCTTTTTTTTCCGAGTCGCAGTCACCCCTCGCACCTTCTCAGCACAGCACGCCACCAACACGAATTACATCACCACTTAAGTATTGGTTTCAGACAGTGCCAACATCAGCAAGTTTAATTGAATTTAATATGTTGTGGCTGCTTACCCATATATTCTTGTCACAAATGACTGCAGCCAGAATGATGACCGACAGTCATTTCCGAGGACAACCCGTGCAACAGCTTGCTTCCTGGCAAAGCCCATGTGATAGAGCAGCGTGTGAAGTGAACCGGCAAGCGCTATGAATGTGGTTCGCTAAAAGTCGCCGTTTGGCCGCAAATTATCGCCGTTTGGCCGCAAATTATCGCCGTTTTGTTTCTGCAAATTTGGACACAGTTGCCTGAATCTTTCCAAGGCGACACAACTCGGGGTCTTTCCTTCTAGGGCTGCGATGGCAAGCCCCGTTGCAAGTTCAGAAACTGACGCTTCCCAGGTGTGCGCAGCAGTAAACAAAGCCATCCATCAGCAATATCACGGCAACTGCTGAAGTAGCAACTTACATTTTTATGTGTTGGCGTGGTTCCCTCATATTTCCTCGTTTCGCACGCTTCCAACCTTCTTAGGCTTGCATGCAAACCAGCCTAAAGCGGATTGGCCTTCCATCCTATTGTGCCGATAACCACTATGCAAGACTTGCCCTTCTGACGTTAGGAAGCCATTTCAAGCTAAACATGCGCCAAGTTTTAGTCGCGAGTCTCAACAACTCAGCAAAAACACTTGACATTGTGTGATTCGTGAGGCCATTAGAGATCTTACCACTCCCACTGTGAGTGTTGCTTGAAATGGCTATAACCTTCGCCGCGCAGCAGCAGTAAAACCAGTTCATGCCCCAGTCCTGCGCCTGCAACAAGTGGTTGGATGCTGTTTGCTGGACCTCCAATACTCAAGAGGCGTGATAAAGAAACAAATAGATCACTGCGGCGATAGTGCTGCGAAGTCAAGTGCATCACATTCGACCAGAACCAGCATACTGGCATGAGTTTCAAGCGCCACCTGACCTCGAAAATGCACCCTGATGCTGAAAAGAGGAAAAGCGCAGTTTGCATCAAAATGCGCCGTCTCAACTTAAAACATGGTTGTGCCCGAAACTGCTGAAATTATGCCCCACTTGGAAGATACAGGTATGGGGAGGGGGGGCTATCCCGTATCGAGCCCTTACGGGCTTATCCTTGGGTTATCCTGGGCTTATTAGGGATAGCCCCTCCCCATAGCACCCCTCGAAGATTCCATGAATTTAAGGAGACAACCAAAAGACGTCCCGTTCGATGCACCTCTCCAGGAGGTTCTGCAAAGGCGTGGAGATCTTGGCGCCAGAGCCCACCTGGAGGGCGTCTTTTCACGGCTTAAAGCTCGGTGAGAAGAAGCTAAAAGGAGACCACCCCCCTCCCCCCCCCCAAAAAAAAAGGAAGAAGCAACAAGGACGATATGGGGGGTTCCATAAATCCATACTTTAACTCAGAATGACTCAGACACCCATATGTTTCGTGTCGAGCTTTCAACATCGCCTTTTGGTTGGCAACTTCAATTTCGTGGTTGCTGCAACGACCCCTCTGCTTAGAAAGCACTTGTTGCGGGTCCAGTGCGTAAGATCTGGCCTGTTTCAACCAGCAAGTTGTCCAGTCAGATTCGCCACGCCTAGTGGTGCCCATTGAAACTGAGCCACTGAGGTTTGGATTGGAGGTCGTCTGTGGGTCGTTTCAACCATGTTCCCTTCAGAAACAAATCCACAAAGATTCGATGGCAAAAGGTGCACAAATTCCGTTGCCAAATGGCCAAAAGAAAAGTATACCACCATTTTTGGACCCCCATTGTCCAGTCCAAAGCTCCAACTATAAAGAATTCATTACTACCCGGGGGGGGGAGGGAAAACACCCTAAAAAGCAAAAAGCATATCCTTAAAACACATACCCTTAAACAACTTGCTTCAAACGCCTTGGGTAGACTTGGTTGAGCCCGGTTTCTGGGATGGTTCCTTTGGCCGGCTCCACATGGAATCCAGAGCAGTGGTCCCATGGCAAGGGAACACTTGGGTAGATCCAACCAAACAGCCATAAAAATTTATCATGGCAAACACCTCTACTCAGTTGACATACCCCCCGCAGAACACTTACTTGAAACCACCAGACCGGGCTCCAAACTGCCGGGCTCTAAACCGCCAACGAAGAGCTTCCTGAGAAACGTCCAAATCGAAAGCCAAACCAATCCATAGCAAGAAACACCTACTTCAAAGCACATGAATTTGGGTCTTTCTTGGATGGTTCCTTTAGCAAAGGTAACATGCGAAGGTCCCTTGCATAGGTGTCCTTGATAGAAAATAGATGGGCCTGGTAGATGATTGAACAGGGATCCTTACATTATACACCTGAACATTGCCTTGTAAATGGAGGTTTCCCTGTATTTTGGTGGAAAAAGATCCATGTTTCAAATGGTTGCAAAATATATCTTTTAAGGAGCCCTGTTGAACCACCAAGTAAACCACGAATCGAAACCCATCTATTTTTCGACCAAAACCACCAAAAAGGACACTTATGCCCTAAGTCTTTCCAGTAAAACCAACAGGGGTTGGTAAACAAATCAAAAAAAAACACATATATTCATTTCACCTTAAATGGAAGAACAAAAAGCCTCTACTAAAACCTCGCCAAAAATTGGACGGACCTCTGTTTTTTTCGGCGCTTTTTTCGCGCCTCCTCCATGAGCTCCCTGACGTCTTCCACCAGGCGCTCCCGGCGCTGCTGGGAGCCCAAGGCCATGCCCAGGCCATACTCCGCGGTGTCCTTCCGGCGCGAGCCGCCCGCGCGTCTGGCGTCTGCCCCCCCGGGGCTTCCCCCAGGGCGACCGGTCGAGTCCGAGGCTAAATGCCGAAAAAGGAGAGATCGGTTCTTGGGGTCCTTTCGTAAACAAAAAACTGCAGTCTTTTACGTGGCGAGTCTGAAAAGGGGGAGTGTTTAAAAAAGGGGAGTCCTCTCAAAAGTGGTGGGCTTTGTTTTTGTTTCTCCATGTTCAACTGGGGAGTACTTTCAGCAAACAGGAGGGTTGGATCCTGTGGCGTTTGTCGAAGGAAGTTTGTTGACCCTTCTGTCTACGCGGCCCTTCAACCTGGCGTTTCGGGTTCCTGGACGGTCCTTTTTAAGACGAGACCATTTCTCTGGCGGGTTCCATGTTAGTGGACAGGGCAAACAGCGAGTCAAACATGTCTCAAGAATGCTGTCCGTTTTCTGATCCCCTGAAAGTGTTGGGTAACTCTTAGTGGATTAGATGGACACCCAACCACTCAACCCGAAGAAAAACAAAAAAAACACGTCAAAAGCCTCAGGGACCAGATGGCTGGGAACCAAGAATAGTTTGGCTTAAACACTTGCAACTCGCTTGAAACGAGGCCAGGCATTGATCAGTTGGGTCGCAACGGGCTCTTGCCAGTCGGCTCGGAAGCAGTCGGTTGAAAATGGAGTGTGGGCCGAGCCAATCCAGAATTGTTACTGGCACTCCTACTTCAAAGGGGACCAACTCCACTCGGTTGCTGTTGACCCCCCCTGCAAAAAGTTTAACTTTTTGGGGGTTGTGGAAAACTCAAAAGGGTACTGAGCCTCAAAAAGACAGACCAGGAGGTCTAGTCTATGTGGTTTGGAGGTGTTCCAAAAGTGGTTTCCCGCTTGCGCCCCCAAAAATCCTCTGCTTCAAATCTGATCTACCTTGGCTTCTGCCATGACAAATTTTGTCAATTGCCTTTTTATTGTTTTGTTCTTTCGGTCTTCAGTTTACGTGTGGATTTCCATGTTGGGCTCTTGCATTGGAGAATTCTGGGAATTCTACATCGGGGCGTCAAATCAATCAAAGCAAAACACGTGACTCTCGGCTGATGTCTCGCCAAAGTCCTCGAAGAGACTCCTCGCCCACGCAGGACCTGCCGCTTTACTCGGAATCTTCTCCCCTTGGGGTCTGCGCCTCTTGACTTCCATTTGCTTAAGTCCCCGGGGAAAATAGAAATATTTATAGTAGTGATAGACTCCCTTTAAAACCAGCACACGAAAAAACCAATATTCTTAAGCAAATGGAAGTGCGCAAAACATGGAGACGTTCAGCTTTGAAGCCAGGTGCCCTCGTTGGATCTCAAATTTGTGGATCAACTTGCAGCTGGTTTGCTTTCCGGATTTCAGAGACGCCTTGGAAACAATTCTGACCCAAACACAAAAACAAACACAAACCTTACAACCTTTAACTCAATGCTGTGGTTGTCAGAGATCCGTCAACAAACTTCCAAGCAGGTACTCCCCCACAGTTGAACATGGAAAAACACAACCCCATTTTTAGAGGAATCCTCTTTTTAGGGGAGCTTCTTCTTGGGTTCCACGTTACCTGCAGGGGAGTCAGACCCCAATGACATCTTATTCATGCAAGGGGAAGGGCAGGGTTAGGGGAGCCACAGGGGTTGTTGCATCCCAGTGAGCAACTTGCACGTCCGAGTGGACGTGTCTTCCATGCGGAAGAAATCATTCTACCCCCCCCCCCTCCCCCGCCCCAGGCATTGCAGAACTTGGGTTGCCCCCCCCCCCGAAACGCCCCAGGCATCGCAGAACTGCACATGTTTTGACCTTGCCAAGACTTGGAAAGCCCTGGGCCCGAGCCGCCAGCTCCGCCAGCTCTCAGCAATGGGCTGGCCGGATTCGGAGAGATTTGAGAGGCGAAATCTCCACAAATCCGGGCCCCGGGGCCCCGGAAAAGGCATGTAAAAACGTAGGTCCTCCAGTAGAGAGGTGAGAATAAGGGTACCAACATTTTTCGGCTTTGTCTATTTTAGTACGGGAACCCTGCCCCAAAAAAGGTAAAAGGGCACTACTGGGGGAGTTAGAAACACAACCGCGCTCACTCGTTGAAGATGCCTAGGTGGTAGCAAGGAGCGGTGCAAGGGCCCACAAAGCTCGCTCGATGCTAAAGAGCTGCTCTTCGATAAGTGCGATCTTCTCACGCAACTTCCGTTGGGCATCTTTGGACGTCGCCCAGCTGTACGCTGCGTCTCCAACGGTCCATATCATGGCCCCGCCGGCGCAAACTTTGGCTGCTGTTCCGGCAGCCACCCGGGTGGCGACCGCACCTGCGGGGATGTCATCTGCCCATTGGGCGAACTGCCCGATGCCGGCAACAGTGGTCCGTGCAGCGGTGTAGGTGGACGGAGCGGGGTGAACACAACCGTTCATCACTGCAGCAATAAGCGCACGCCATGTGGCATTGTGTTCCTGCGGCAAATCCTGATCCGCAAGTCTCGCGCCAAGAACTTGATCTTGGCGCAGAATTCTCTGGAACTCCTCGTTGTTTATCTTTTCCATCCACCAGTCTGTGACGGAGGTGCCGGCCCCTGTCACTGCGGCGCCAATGCCCAGGCCAATGCCTACTGGAGGCAGCACAAACAAAGTGACAAAGGCGGCAATGGACAACCCTGCCGTGGCGGTCTTGGCTGTGCTCACGCCCACCCATTGCCGCGTAAAGTCCTGATCAAGCTGCCGAAGAGCAGGAAGCAACTGCGTCACCCGATGATGGCGGAAATCGTTTAGCGCCTGCATGAAGGCTCGTACGACGTCCATAGCTTCACGCGTGATCAGTATGATCAGGATGTACGCTCAAGCTGCGCAAGACATGGACACAATGTGGATATGTGTGTCAAAATACGGGGACCCCAAAATGGTGGGTAGGTATCACTTCAAAAACACCCAACAAGCGTATCCGCAACAACATACAGCCATATAGACAACACTTCCTGCACATTGGCTTGACAGCCTGTGGCACGAAGACATGCAACGCTCCCTCAGTGCTTGCAAGAATCAACGTTGGCCCATCGGGAAAAACACAAGCGGCCCTCATGGCGGAAAAAAAAGGGAGCAAACATTTTGCGAACCCGTCCAAAATTGTAGGCTTTCTTATTTGACCTGTGGTTGCCTGGTGTCTAGTTTCCCGGGCCGCAGCAAGCATCCGAAGGCATGGACAGATTTTTCTGCGGAACTGGTTCGGCGCCTAAGGAACCCTAAAGAACCCTAAGGAACCCTAAGGAACCCTAAAGAACCCTAAGGAACCCCAAGGAACCCTAACGACCGCTAAGGAACCCTAGGGAACCCTAAGGAACCCTAAGGAACCCTAAAGAACCCTAAGGAACCCTAGGGAACCCGACGCGTGGGTTCGGCGCCTTGGCCGTGGCGATTCTTCTTGAAGGGGCTGAGCCCATAGGAGCCGCCCCACACGGAGGAGCAGCCGCTGCTATTGGCGATGACCATTCCTGGCACCCGCGAAACAGCGCGTTTCACGAGTCACGAGGCCCTCCTTGTTGCGCAGAAAAGGATGCTATGCGGTGGCTCCAAGGCGGTTCCAATTCCCATTTCCAGTCCCATGATTGCATTTGTTGCTTCAACTGTTCTATGCCAAATAATATCGTCCAATTGACTTGCTTAATTTCCTAATCTTGAAGGTTCCCTTTTTGGGATAACCTTCACAAGGCGGCACCAGCGTCACTGGGGTTGCAAAGAGCAACTGCAAAGGGCACCCCTTTCCGTACCCAAGGTAAGGGCACAGATCCTCTCAAGAATTCCGGATGCGTGCACCCCATGCCATACTGCTTAGGGCCAAAATCCACGCCGATGGGCAACAGTTGGGATAGATGAAACTTATAAATGCATGCTGAACCACCTACTGACGCGAGGCGGATGTTGTTCATCTAGTATGACAGCAATCATTTAAGAATTCAGTTATGGCCAGGGTCGACCTCAGAGTTGCTCGACAAATGCCAACCCGAAATGCATTCAGCACGGACACGAGCCATTACTGTTGAAGTGACCTTCGCGGTGAGGGGCAGCGTTCAGGGAAGAAACGGCGCTTCGGTCGACTGTAAACAACCTGTTGCGGTTCATATCGCGACCACAGCCATGGTCAAATCATGCAGTCCCCCTGACAAGGAGTGAGTCCAGTGCGACTTCGTGGGTTTTTTTCGGGCTCCCCAATGTCCATCTTAGAATCACCATAGACTGGTTGTTGTTGACAGTAACATCGCACTCCTCGGCCGGGCATAGACCCCCTACGTGGTCGGTGGTTTGAACCACGTACAAAGGTACAAAGGGTCGGCGTGTCGTTTTTGCTGCATGACTTTAACTTGTTGCTGGTTAAAAAGGACCATGAAGGAAACCCAAGAGGGCAACCGGGCAAACAGAACATATACACTCCCGCCAATGAACATGCAACCCGACGTTCCCGGGGGTCCTGGAAGATCATTCTCCTTAAAAGGGACCGGGCCCCTGCCAGGTTCCGGCTGTTCATTCGTGGCCCTGCCAGGTTCCATGCGCTGATTGCGGCCGAACGGCGCTCTCCGAACATCTGGGTGAGTAGCTTCACGTATGGCGTCTCCCCGCATCCAGAGCAAGCACCACCTGAAGCGACACCATCCGCACGACTCGGTCTGATCCGCTTTCACTCAGCTTCCCTAGCCAGCTCGGCCAGAACAAATGCTCCAGGACTTGGAAGGCAAAGCGGCAAGGCCCGACTTCTTTTCTAAAACACCCCGGAAAACAATCTCATGGGTATTGCCCTTCCACCGACAAACATGAAAGTGCACAGACCCCTGTAGCAAGACTATACTTTCCTCTCGGAGAGGGGTCAAACGTGAGGGTACTCGAACCATTTGATCGCAAATCCGGGTGCGACTCCGGCCAGGGCGCTGAACTCAATCAGAGGCTCTTGGAACTGGGAGCCTTTCACGGTGTTGCGCTCAAGGAGGTTGTCCTTCACAGCCACCTGAGACTTCCAAGCGGCGAATGTGGTGTCAAGATCTAACCCCAAGCAACTCCACAACAATCCCAATCCAGGAGCCCTTTCGCATAATGTGTTTTTTACACTCACGGCAATCGTGCGGATGCGATTTCGACATTCAGGAGAGAATGGAGAGATCAAAACAGAGTGCATGCTTACTTCCTACAACCTTGTAATTGGTCACGCCTTGGTTTCGGAAAAAAAGAGATATTCTGCTTTCAAACGCAAAGGATAAGTCAAGGAAGACTCTGGTGCCTGCCTTGTTCAAGGAATACTCCCAGTGGTCATTGAAGGCCTGCTGAGACTTGCTGGCGGGCTCCATGATGAGCGCGTCGTCAGGGCACATCCTTAAGGACGCGCGACGGCGCATCCGGGAATCTGGTCTGACCTTGAGGCTTTGCCCTGCCGATCTGTGGGCCAGATCAGATCAAGAGTGGTCGCTGGTGAACATTACCGTATTTTTTGCGAATAGCTTTGCCCTGCTGATCTGTGGGCCAGATCGAGAGTGGTCCTTGGTCAAAGCTACGATCATTTGCCCCAAGAGGAAATATGAGAATTGGAGTCTCTCTTTTTTTTTGTAGGAAATTTAGAGCTCGGCCCCCCACCCCGCCCCGCCGTGTACATCCAAATGCAGCAATTGATTGACCGAGCCAAACATCTTGGCATCATCTTGCCCAAAAGCAGGCGGTCCAAGCGACAAAATGCCCAAACTCTAGGATGGGTTTCAAGACGAGTTGGACTGCTTGTTTGTTGTTGTTTGAGTTGCGTGCTCGCTTGTTTGTTTGTTGGTTGAATTTCTTGTTTCTTTGTTTGTGTGTTTGTTTATTTGTTTTGCTGTTTGCTCTAAGAAGAGTATTACAGAGAACACCAACATGAAACCGACAATTCTGTGGACGAAATCCACTTCGCACCGGCTGGAATGGATGAAACCTCATGAATGGTTGGCAAGCCACCTATGAACTGGGCCCGGCACATATTTTGTCCATCCATCCACAGTTTGAATCACTTGGTACGTCAATGGGTGGACCCCCTAAACTGAGTGGTTTTTCTTTGGATTTCCGAAACGAAACAAAACCAACACACAAAGGGAACCCTCAGAAACCCAGACGCACAACAACACAACACACAAAACACACACACACACACAACAGGCACACAAGACACACACCAATTTGGCAGCCGCCCACTTGAACCGAGCATCTCCACGCAAACTGCGCAGCCGGTGCAGTCGAAGGGGGCCAGCTGGATGGTGTAGTTGAGGCCTCGAGAGTTCAATCCCCAAAACATCCCACCTGCCAGCATCATCTCTGTCTCCTAAGCCATGGAACCTGGAGGTATTTTGATTTGATTGGCCCCCTTCATCCTAGGCTTCAAACAATAGTTGGCTTAATTTGGATGAAGAAACTCAGGTAAACATTGGCGGTAACCCCAATTGCTTGGATGCCTGGGCTGGCAAAAGAGAGACAAGGCTCCCGCGGGGTTCAACAGGTGGAATTTGGAGAAATACAGTGGATGGACGACATCCTGCACCACTTTGAAACCATGGTTGAAACCATCGCTTCGTGGTACTTACAGGAAAATCATCCAACCAGGCTTTCTCCTCGGTGGTGCGAAATGGATTCCGTCCATCCGCAGTCCTTCTTCACTTTGAAAACAGGGGAAACACTGTTTGTTGGTTTTTAGAGGGACTCGAATCATTCTATTTCTTGACTGGAACCGGCACCGGCGGAACCCGAAGCTTCCGCTCTCCGCCCGCCTCCCACATCGCCGCCCTTGGCCTTGCGGGCCATGTAGCCCTCCGGAGCAGCCTCCATCTCCTGAAAGCCGAGCTGCTTTGGGAAGAATCAGACATACTGTGGATGGACATTTTGAGACAAAGAGAAGCCATTGCTTGGTATGTACAGAGGAATCATCATTCAAGGGATTCTTAGGTCGTGCAGGATTGCTTCCATCCACAGTACGTCTGCGCGTCAAAGCTGCATGTTCTGCCAAAGGTTTAATAGGCTGAAAGAAGAAATGGATGCCGCAAGCAAAGGTCATACTTCATGGGCGAGCTTGCTTTGCCAGGTGAGCCTGTCTTACAATAGACTGTGCCCTATGTTCCAAACTGTCGTCGTGATAGTGTGTATATATATATAATATGTATATTATACTCATTGCTTGTAATGTTGAACAGAAAACGTGGATCTATTGCCGTTTGCAGCACTTTGTAGGCTGCACGTATGGAAAGCACATCGCGTTTTGGCCTCTTCTGCAATGGTAATCAGGGCCCGCCTTGTTATACATTCAAAACACTGCGTTCCATTTACAAACCACATGACATGGGAACGGTCTAAAAGGCGCCCCCCATGGATTTGCATAATCCCTGTACATTCGTTCGGGCTTGTGGATTCCCGCAGGGTTGTTGGAAGGCTTGCAAAATGCAAGAACGCAAGCGAAGGGGAACCTACTTGTTGTCTCACCCACTAGAGCCATGGCAAAGGTAGGATGTCTTCGTCGGCAATGGATCAAAAGGGTGTGGGTCCAAAATCTGTACCCAAAATGAAACTCTGGTAGAAACATTACATTGGCTCAAACCTGCGTTCCCCTGGCTTGATTTTGACCCATACCCAAATGGAGTTCAACGGTGGTTGGCACTTACACTTACCAACAGTCCGTGAATTGCAACCAAGGACGTGGCCAGGGCTGGGGATGCCCAGCTGAAGAGCACTGGGAGTCCGGGGCAATACCCCTAAGGGTCCCGATTGATTTTGGGGCCTCAATATGGGATGTTTTTGAGGGCCCATGAGGGACTTTGGGTTTCTTTCAAGGAAATTGACAATTCAGTATCAGTATATTGTTTAGCACCCAGGACAAGTACAGCGAACAATCCATCCAAACCACTGAAAGGCTGGGCAGGCAACCAAACCTTATCCTCAGAGCTCTTCACTGAGTGCGATACGCATTCTCCAAAATGATGCCTCCAACATGGATCTGCTGAGTGCCATGTTAGCGGACTAGAGGGTATCATTTGTGGGCTCTCAACTGTTTTTGTGAGAAAGCTTTTCGGAAGCCGATAACATTCAGCATAGGTTGCTTACATCCAGCTTCACCGTTGCAAAGATCAGAGAGCTCCTTCTTGTCCAGCAGGAACGGTCGGACCTGGAACGAAGATGACAGGCTTCCGTTTGGGCAGTGAAAGACTCGACTCAGACTGTGGATGGACAAACTCCATTTTGCATCCCTGTTCAGAGACAGAGTGATTTGATTCCATGTAAAACCCGACGCAGCGGTTTGCCAGTGGTGCAGGATATTATCCATCCACAGTATGCCACCACGTATCTCTACATAACACCAAACATCACCACACATCAGACGCATACCACCAAACGCAACTTCGCAATTGTTCGGTGCTCCGCAACTCCAAAAGAAAACAGCGAGCATGGCAGAACCGCCCCTTCCCCAAGGCAATCACATGGGATCAGGCCGAAACCCTAGAAGTTCATCAAATGTTTGATCCAGCATTCAACCTTTTGATGGGTCTGCTGGGAGTTGTCAAACATAGGGGCTACCCCTGGTGAGGATAGAAACACAAGCGTATGGCCTTGCAAGGAAGGGTGACCAAACAGTGCCGCCATGTTGGCCAAACCCGCATGTGAGTCCACTCCACAGAAAGGGTCCTATGTGGCTATCTTGTCGCATACGGTCGCTGTTTGAAATGCTCCACCGTCCTGTCTCTCTAATGGCAACCACTGGGTTCTTTGCCCGGAAGGATATTTAATTCGCATGGTCTCAATCAGCATCTGGAAGCCAAGCTCACAAATTCATGAACAGCCAGGTCCAAATGCCTCGAAGCAAGGCAGAATAGACATAGGTGTGTCTCCAACCGAGATTCTAAAACAGTAATCCCTTCCCCCTAATAATAAAATTTGCCTTTTCCAATTGAAAACAACACATCCCTGCCTGCCTGGAGGGCAGGTTTTGGAGGCACCCCTTGTTCTTAGCAAGCTTTGCTGCAACTGCGGCCCCCTTTCCGGGCTGTCAAATCGCGTCAAACGGCCATTTCCGAGTAAGGAATCTAAGCAGCAGAAGAAAAGGTTGTGTTTGTTCTTTTGTTGTGGGTTTTGCTGCCTTTTCCGGGCTCGAAAGTCGCCACTTTGTAGTGCAGCCGTAGTAACGGAAACGTACCTGGTCCCCCCAAAAGGGCTGGATTTGAGTGTGGGCAGGAAAATACCTACTGTAGAATTGGTTTAGTATTGGCTTATTCTAAAAATAGTATTCTCGGATTTGGGATTTCCGAAAACAAAGCTTATTATTAGGATTATTAGGGAGACCTTTATTATTGGGGGGGAAAGGACCAAGGGCACCCTCAAAGACACATCCCCCCGCATTGCTACCATAGGTGTTGGAACCCCAGAGGGGACCTGCGACCGCGGCATCCCATAGGACCCCCGGCCACTGCGTGGGGGCATACCACACTGCAGAGGTTGCACTGAGTGCAGTTGTCAGGGATCCAGACCTGAGCAACAACAACGCGATACCCATGCGGACCATCCTTTATGACTACTTTGACGGCGGGGGTTCGTTTGAGACCCGGACCCCCGGTGGCCGATAAAATTTAAAAGGGAAATACATCCAAGAAAAAGTTGCTAAAAGGTTACAGGGTGTCTGGTATCACAGAAAGCGGGGCTACCCCATTTGTCGTGCCCACTTTGACTTGTGGCTCTGACTTCATGCATCGAGCCCAGCTTTTTGCCTGCAACTCTGAGGCACAAGCTGCTCAAGGCAAGATGTGGTTCGCTTCCATTGCCCAAACAAGTCAAGAGTGCGAGCATGCGCTCTAGGTCCTCCAGTAGACAGCATAGAATAAGGGTACCAACTTTTTTCTGTAGTCTACTGTAGTAGGGGAACCCTCCCCCGGAAAGCTGGTAAAAGGGCACTACTGGGGGAGCTTTAATGTGTTCTGCTTCCACTGCCCAGACAAATCAAGATCACAAGGGAGCAGGATCAACGGTGCGACCATGCACCTGAATCCATCGGGCATCAGTCAGCTTGATCCCATGCCCCTCCCTCTGGGCAACATGTCTGTTGCTTGGTGTGTTAAAGGGTTTGCAACATGACCCAAAGAAGACACACTGAATGATGTTCAGCGGGCGTCAGCCGTCTCAAACAGGCTTCGAGCGCGCACACACACACACACAGAGAGAGAGTAGGCACACACCGACTCAAGCACAGTCTTGAGCAACTTCATGCTCCAACCATGTTCAACTCGCCAAGCAAATGCAACGGAATTCCAATGGATCAGGAACGCCAGTGCATGTTCTTCCTATCTCATAAACCGCTGAACACTTGTTCCACCTGTCCGAGACGAGCTTCTTGCACGCAACTGACATCTGCCAGGCCCTTGATAGAAGAACTCCGTAGTTGGAGTTGATCAGACTGGACAGGTGTTTGTGGCCCTAGTCAAAGTGACATCCTCCAATCCCTGAAGTGACGCAGCCCAAAGTAAAACGCAGCTCAAGTGGACTAACCGCTGAAGGTGTGCAGAGCAGGCCCCCAGCAACACCAACATGATCCACTTCTCCTGCCGAAAAAACCCTTCCTGGATCTTCCAAATCATGCAAATTTCACGTACAATCCGGAGACTACCAGTTTTTGGAGGGTCTCAGTGAAAAAACACGGAGTTTTTAAACTCCTGGTTTTTGAGGTAAAACTCCTAGAAATTGATTGTCGCTTCTGGAACTGGTTTGCACACCTGAAACCCCTAGAAATCGCAATTATTCGGTACTTGACGGAAGGAACTCTCCAATTCAGACATATTCTGAATCAGAATCATTCACCTGAATCAGAATTTTTCACCTGAATCAGAATTACTTATTCAGAATTCAGAATTATTCTGAATTCGGAATTATTGCCTTTGGGCGACAAATTGGCAAAACCGGAAAGCACCACACCTGAAACTCAGCGCAAAACACCCGCAAAAAGCCCGCAAAACACCCGCAAAAAGCCCGCAAACTCCCACAAAAACCCGCAAACTCCCGCAAATCAAAAAAAGACTGAGTTTCCGGATTGTGCGTAGTAAAATCAGTGGAATACCCACTCCAGTGCAGAGTTGCAGAATTGCTGAGATAGTGTACAGAGTTGCACAATTGCGCACCCAAACAACGAAAAAAGACAACACAACTTGAATCCAATTGTTTCCCCCAAGAAGCACTCCTAGTTTTTGATGTTCACTCCTGCCTTTTGCAAGCCACTCCTGCTTTTTGATTCCTGCATTTGAAACACCTGAAACTCCTAGTTTTCAGAGGGTCTCCTGGAAATTGCCCGGAGAACGGAAAAACAGAAAAATAGCCCGGAGACGGAGGACCCAGGTTGCCAGACCTTCCCTTCCCCGATTTAAGTCAAGTCTCCTCACCCCTCACCCGAAAAATTGTGGCGGGCTGAATCGCTCGAGGAGCTTGTGGCCACTAGGTGGCCCAAAGGACCCAGAAATAAGAGCTTGACCTTTTGGGGCCTTTACTAAAATAGACCAAAATTGGAAAACCTAAAGGTTAAAAGGTCGATTCGCTGGCAACTGAGCTGGGGCCGTCTGGGGTTCCGGGCGGGCACCTCCTCGGCCAAGGCGCGCTTCTGGTACTGGGACTGGCCGATGGGTTGCTCGCCGCCCGGGGAGAAGGCGCTCACCTCGGCGCGAGCGAGCGAGCGAGCTCGCGAGCGAGGTGGTGTGCCTCCCAAAGGGGGGGGTGGTCCAAGCAAACAAACACAAAGAGAACACACCGCAAACAAACAATACAAAACAAACCAACCAAACAAGCAAACACCGACTCACCACAGCGGTGTTTATGACCATCGGAAAAGTTTCATGTCTGTTACCTCAACCGGCGTCCATGGCATCAGGCTGCTTCTCCCAAACAAAAAGTGAGACTTCGACCTCCCGGGCCTCCGGTCGCCATAGATCAGTTTGTTTCGTTTCTGGGGGAAGGGAAGCGCAAGCAACCGGACTTCCTTCAACGATCGAGCTGTTTCTCGGTCTTTCTCGCGTTTTTCCTTATTTTTTTTGGGAGAGTTCCTGTTTTTCAGGCGTGATCACCACGAAGGTCAGGCGTCAGCACCACCACCCCCCCCCCCCCTCTCGCTGCGTTGCTTCCAGTCACCACCACCACCCCCCCCCCCCTCTCGCTGCGTTGCTTCCTGTCTAACCCCAACCCCTTCGCCGCCACCACCACCACCCCCCCCCCCCTGCACATCTTTTCCTTCACTACCACCACCCCCCCCCCCCCACAATCTTTCCTTTGCTAGAACCACCACCCCCCCCCCCCCCCCCACCATCTTTTCCCTCGCTAGAACCACCACCCCCCCCCCCCCCCCACCACAATCTTTTCCTTGCTAGAACCACCCACCCCCCCCCCCCCCCCCCACCATCTTTTCCCTCGCTAGAACCACCACCCCCCCCCCCCCGCCCAACTATGATCACCACCACCACCACCCCCCCCCCCCCCACAACCACTACCCACGCAACCACCACCACCACCCTCCATTTCCATCACCACTTTTCGGGCTTGCCTGAAGAAGACTGTGGAACCCCGAAACGACTAGCTTAGTACATTTTGCAACAAGCTTTAACTGCGCCCCTGCTCGAATCATCACTTCGAACATCCGCCCGTCCTCTTTGAAACATCACACCTTCACCCTTGAAAAAAGAATTTGCATTGCGCGCCTAATTGAATCACCGCTTCTTCGAGCATCATGGGGGGGGCTGCCGCCCCCCCCAACCCCCCCGCTGCTTAGTACATTTGGCAACAAGCTCTTCTTCGAGCCCCCGCTACCCCCCAACCCCCCCGCCACTTAGTACATTTGGCAACAAGCTCTTCTTCGAGCATCATGGGGGGGGCTGCCGCCCCCCCAACCCCCCCGCTACTTAGTACATTTTGCAACAAGCTTTAACTGCGCCTCTACTCGAATCATCACTTCGAACATCCGCCCGTCCTCTTTGAATCATCACACCTTCACCCTTGAAAAAAGAATTTGCATTGCGCGCCTATTTGAATCATCACTTCTTCGAGCATCATGGGGGGGGCTGCCGCCCCCCCCAACCCCCCCGCTACTTAGTACATTTGGCAACAAGCTCTTCTTCGAGCATCATGGGGGGGGCTGCCGCCCCCCACAACCCCCCCGCTACTGAGTACATTTTGCAACAAGCTTTAACTGCGCCTCTACTCGAATCATCACTTCGAACATCCGCCCGCCCTCTTTGAATCATCACACCTTCACCCTTGAAACATCATAGGGGGGCTGCCCGCCACTTTTGAAGATTTTTTGTAGCAAGATTTAGTTGCACCCCTGCTCACATGTGGCACCAAGATTTAGCTGCACAGCTGCTCAAGGTCGGGGGGGGGTGGTGGTACCCCCCCCCCCAAAGTTGCGCGGGGGGGGGGGGGGGTCCAACCTCCCCCCCCTTGCTGTGCGGGGGGGGGGCGGGGGGGTGGTGGTGGACCTCCCCCGCCTGAGGGTGGGGGGGCTTGCTGTGCGGGGGGGGGGGGGTGGTGGTGGACCCCGCCCCCCTTCTTTAAGGTGAGGGGGGGGTTGCTGCGTAAGGGGGGGGGGGTGGGGGGGGGGGTGGTGGTGCGGGACAGACCTGAAAAAGTCCAGCGCCACATCTGCGGGCACTATCTTTTTTGGGGGGGGGCCTTCAACGAGACCATCTACTTGTTCCATCTGGTCATCCGGAATGCTAAGACAGAGCCTTCCGGCGCGTCTCCGCCACATCTGTGCGTCGGACTTGCGCCTGCTGCCGAGCGGCGGACAGGTTGTCCGCGGTGCGCGAGTCGATGCTCCTCATCCCGAGATGCTCGCCACAATTCGGACTCATCCGGAATGCTAAGACAGAGCCTTCCGGCGCGTCTCCGCCACATCTGTGCGTCGGACTTGCGCCTGCTGCCGAGCGGCGGACAGGTTGTCCGCGGTGCGCGAGTCGATGCTCCTCATCCCGAGATGCTCGCCACAATTCGGACTCCCCAAGGAACCTTCACAGGCTCCTTTGCGCTTAGGTCAAGCTTGCGCTGAGTTGCCCAATGGGAAGCTTTTACATGCGGATGTTGGAGTCTGAAAGACACTTGACATCCCCCGTTTAGCTTTTCTAAGACTCTGGGGGGTGGATCTCAATTCAAGAGACAAACCATTGTACGAAGGACACAGCGGTGTTCTACAAGATTGATGCTGCCATGACACCCCTCACGAAACTTGCATCTCAACTTCAGCAGCGAATGTGTCATCTTGAGGCAACTGACATGGCGCAATAAGAGCACGGCCAACATACCTCGTCCTTAGCCTTGCAAATGAGATTGAAGCTATGAGAAGCACTACAGTACCCAACAGCCAAGACTTCAGAAAAACGGCCGGCGACAGTCTTCTGTCACTATCTTCGTGGATTCGGCTTGCTTCAATCATAATCATATGTGCCGTGTTCCCAAAGACTTGTTAGAGCAACCCTACTGGTCCCATCCCTTTGTAATACATGTATTTTATAATCATTATTCTCAATTGGACTTGGCCAATACTAACCAATCCTAAACCAGCAAATGTCCCGCCGACCCCAATTCCAGTCGTATTGCGGTAGCAGAGAACACCTCAGAACTTGTACGAAACACTTATGAAGCAGCCACTAAACAAATACTGAACCAACGGCCAATCAGGCCGTCCATCACAATGTTGTTTGTGCTTGAAACCCGGTGTTTTCATTGCCCCCAAACCACTACGCCCAGGGGAAAGCGGGGTATATACCCCGAATATGGGCCACATAGTGGCTGCAAATCCAATTGAACCTCTGGATACTGTGGTCTGCGGGTGAATAGTTCTACTGAGATTGCTGTAGAGGTTTACATAGGCCTTACAATCCCAACTAAAGACCAACTCGCTTCAGTCCTAGTGTCAATGAGTCAAGCATGCGTTTGCCACGTTCGCCGCGATTCGTTCTGGTTTGTTTTGGTTCCCCTTGAAATTCAAAGGGAAACCAAAAGGACAACCAGAATCCGTTTTGGCTTTTTTCCTCTGCAAAAAGTTGAAGTGGGTCCAATGGAACATCCGTCATTTCCCAACCAAATAGCCATAAAGTTGGGGGGGTTCAAATGCTGCTTTGCCGCGACTCCGCCACTTCCCTCCCCTCATTTTCTGACGGCCCAAGTGTCCTGAGGAAGGTGGAGCTGAACTCATCCACGTCCGGAGAGTACCTTGGTTGACGTTGGAAGGGGAGCAACCATTATCCAATTTCAGCAGTTAAGTGGTTGGATTTCAACCACTAAACCACAATAAGTAAAAATATGAAAACCAAAAAAACGTTTCCAACAACAACCATGGTACTGGCTCCCCGCCGGGTTCATCTTCTTTAGCGAGCTCTCGTTGTCCTCGCGAAGCGGTCATGGGTCTGATGCGTCCGGGACCCAAACCGGCCGAACAAAAAACACGTCGAGGGAAGAACCCCTAGGTAGACCCCGAGAATGGAGTTCGGTTTTCCACTGGAAGTCACGGTTGGACTTGCATTCTTTGAGGGTATTTTTGGTGATGGATTGACAACCACGACGAAACCAACCGGTTTGTGAGTTCAGTTCCATACGACTCACAACTGGACGGCACTTGTCAGGGACTGGCCATGTTTCCGCAGCTGGCCTGTTCTCACTCCGAGCCCAGTTGAATGTGAAGCGTCTACATTCTTGCGTGATTCTAGAAGGTTTCAAACACATGAGCTCCTTTCGGATGCGAAAAAAACACCTGGTTGTCCTTTGGTGCAAGCAGGAACGCGTTTATTCGAACCCGTCCCTGACAGCGCGTTGACCTGTCCTCAGCGTTGATCCAGGACTCCGGATACTGGATCCTGGCTTGCGACTCGACTAAAAAATGCGCCGGCCATGACAGGTAACACTCGGATGCGAAGCGCTGGCGGCAATGCGGCCGCATCTTCCAAACGAGGGGTTGTAGAAAGTAGGCCACCCCGAAGCTTGCAAAGGAACATCCTCGGAATCCGAGCCAAGTATTCCGCGACCGTGTTGCACTTCCAAACACCAGGCCTGTTCAGATTCTCCGGCGCGGCCGCCAATGCCGCCTTGTTTTGCCTCACGATCTCTGGAGACCTTAGCCCGGTCTCGGATGGCACAGAGTCTGAGCAGGCCTTGCTTGAGCTGTGGGTATATCATTTGGCTAGTCAAGAAGTTGGTACCAGCAGATTGAGGTTGGTCTCCATTCAACATTGAAGCCAGGGGCCTTCAGAGTAAAACACAAATACCCGCTTTGTCTTTCTGGCCAGTGCGCAGGCAGAGCAAACCTGCTGGGATCGGGACTCACAGACATGACGGGGGGCAGATCGGATCCGTCTGTTTCGCTTTGGCTGCAACAGAGCAAATACAAATTGGTCATCTACCCGGGTTTTGATTTTGGCTCATGTAAAAAAAGTGGCCGGTTTGACATAGGCGCAACAAAAAAACCAAACATGTTGATCCGAAAGAGCTGAGTCAAACCCAATGTTCGACCCAACGATAAACGATACCTAACGGGTCACCGAATCTAAAGATCGTGGAGCCCACCTCTGGGGTACAATCCTGATTGTGCTTCTATTGATTATATTCCATACTTGGCCTAAGATATCTAAAAAAATATAGGAAAAGGCCAATAAGCGATAGAAGGGAGTGTTGCCCCAACCATCTACCTGCAAACAAGATTGAAAAGGGCTCCATGGGATTCCTGCTGCATGCCTGCTTCCCGGCTTCTTGGCCTCCCTCAAACATAGCTTTGGGTCTAGAACACGGTTTGGATGTGGCTTTTGTGGACCCACCCCCGTAGAGAGTACTAAGAGATTACTAAGAATAACACCAACGGCGGGAATAACTTTTTTGAAATCCACGAAAGGCGCATCCAAACCTTTTACTAGATTGTAAGAGTTTCCTAGACGGGTTCTCAGAATCTGGAGGGCGGTGTCCTAGTTTCTTGCTGGGGTCCGTATGCAAATTCAAAGACTGAACAACAAGAAATCCACCATGGAACCTTCATCATGGGTGAGCTCACAGGTGACCTTTCAACAACTAGATGGGTCCTGCAGGCTCATTTGTTTGCACCCCCCCCCAACTAATCATGAAGACTAAGTCCTCGAGTAGAGAGGTTAGAATAAGGGTACCCTTTTCTCTGTGGTCTATTATAGCAGGGGAATCAACCAAAAAAGGGGTGAGAAAGGGCACCTAGCTGGGGGACCTAGAAGAGAACCTAATTGGGTGGAGAGCCCGTGGCATAGCGCTATGCAGTCCTGGGCGTCCCGGGCTTCTTGCCGTACATGCGGTCGATGGCGCCCTCCAACTGCTCCTTGGCATCCTGACGAAAGTGTAAAAAACACATATATATATATATATATGTATGTGTGTCTTTGCCGTGTTTGTTTTTGATGTATACACGATATATATATATATATATACTACATATATATATGTATGATTATTAACTGGTCACCCTCTTGTCAAGGGCCCACCTTGCTACTTTTGCGTAGAAGATAATCATCTGCAGTAGTTGAGTTTTCACTTGGTTTGCAGGTGCCTGGGTGGGGGGGGGCAAGGAGCATATTGTATATTTTTACGTGTATATATATATATACTTCTGGTGGTAAAGAGACATACCAGGATCCGGGATATCCCCTCCCTAAAACGGGTGGGGAGGGGGATCCCAAAATCCCACGGTTTTCCGGCAGAAAGAACCCCCCCAACCCTGAAGGCGGGGATCCCTTGATTCATGGCCGCCGTCCCCGAGCCAGGGCTAGTCTAAAAAAACAAACAGAAAACAACACCGCCCGCAAGGTCCCGATGGATTTTGGGCCATCAATATGGCTTGTTTTTGAGGGCCCATGAGGAATTGGTCGGGGTTCTCCATTGGAGGGTCCTGGGGTCTGCATTGGAGGGGTCATGACCCTTAGGGCGGTTCCTGAAATGCCCCCCTCCAAACACAAGTTGCAAAAAGGAACTAGGTCCTCCAGTAGAGAGATTAGAATAAGGGTGCCAACTTTTCTCTGTAGTAGGGGAACCCCCCCCCTCAAAAAAAAAGGCGGTGAGAAAGGGCACCTAGCTGGCGGTTGAGCAGCGCCCAAAGCCCATTGACTTTTGGTTGCAAGACAGTTGAGCCACCTACAAAACTGGCCAATGATTTGCGCGCTGATCACTTTTCACGTGGCCTCACTTGGTACAACTCAGGTGAGGAACTGGCGCGATCGATGGCACATTTGTTGGTCGCTCCTCCGGGGGCAGAATGCCCGAGAGGTTGAAGAAGGTGGCCTGGGCGAGTCGAAAGCCCATGGACAGCATGGATCGTCCTGATTGTTGGGGGAGGTGGAGGGGGGGGGGGAGGTTGTCGGGAGGGGCAGGTTGGATTCTCAAGACAAACCGCAAAAAGGACTGGAGTCCTTTCGGATGCGAAAAACACATGATTGTCCTTCCTGTAGCTTGCTATTCTTGTCAAGCGCAGGAATCGACCCTTGGCAACGGTTAGTCCCCCTGTGAAATGAGGAAAGGCATCCAACTCTTCTTTACACATACCCCCTAGTAACTGCCCGCCTGTTTTCAAGGGTATATTGAGAAAGCCTGTTTTCTTGGCAAATACCTCCTGTTCTTGTCAGGGGCTGACTGACGCCGGTGAAAGTTTGTCGGGTTCAATGTGCCAACGGTCTTGCCATCTAAGGCGCCTGGAATCTGTTCCAAAAATCAATATCAATACAACTGGGGTGAAGTTGCAATCAACAAGAGACCTAGGGACGTGACTGCAAACCTCAATGCACACCGAAGCACGCCCGCAACATCCTTGTCAATCAATGCCACTCTTGCCATTCGTTTAGAGCATGTTTCCTGCCCCAAAGTACGGCCATGCTGTGTTCAATCCTCGGCATGCTACCCCCACTCGGTTGCATGTCTGCTCCCCTGCTAAAAGTTTAACTTTTAGTGGCTTAATACGGAAAACCCATTAGTTGGCCAAAAGTTAAAGTTCTAACATCCCTTGGCAAAATGCACCAACGCCCAGACTGCCACACGGCCCAATTCGGGCAGGCCTGCATGACTTGATTGATGCGCTTGGCAGGCAAGCCTGGCGGCAAGGGCATAGTTTTCGCCGATCAAAACTGGGAACATTGCCTCAACACATGGGATTCTTAGGGCTCGCCCCCTTCGCTGTCTGCGCGACATTTGGTGAGCCCCCGACGTTCCTCCCGAATGAACCATACACAACCAAGCATTTTGAGCGTACCTCACAGGCACCAACTTCACGGAGTCGGCCATAGTCGACCAGCTCACCTAGCTCAGCCTACTTGATACGCTTCCAGCCTCCCTTTGGAGAGCTAACATTGCTTGCCGTTTCGGCATGCGAAGACAAGCCGCACAATCAAAGACTTGTATTGAAATGAGTCATAATCAAAACCCGGTAATAAAGTGGTCTGCCCAGAATCATGTAAAGGATTACTGTAAGAAGGCGGCCGCAGCTATTTATGGTCGGGATTGTCCATTACTAACCTTCATCGTCCCGGGCTCAAATGGCCCCATTTCAATGCAAAGACTCAAGAGGACGGCTGCACCCATTGGCTGTGACCATCTCGGTTCAGTGTTCGGGCGACATGCGGACGAGCCAAGGAACCCGAGATATTTGCTAGTCCGGCTGATGGTGCCAACTGCGGCCTAGATGCACCTGGCTCTCCTTATCAGCACCCGTTTTTTGCGTTCCATGTCAACTTACAAGGGATGGCCAACCAGGCAACTGTCACTTTCAAAAGGCCTCAACGTTGCCTCAGGATTAATAAACCCGTCCCATTCTTCCAGGGGTGTTCCCTCCAACAGTGGTCTGAATCCCCACTTTTTCGGGGACACCCTATTCATCAACCAGGGGTTCTGCTCAATGTCAACCTTCAAACAATCAGCACCCACCAGCCACTCTCCGACCGCAAGTTCCGGGCGCCGGACCCACGGAGCTTGCCACCGCATGTGCATCGATCGTGTACAGCTCCGCCTCACGTTGCGGGAAGCAGTGGAGTTGCAAGGAGCCTGCTTTGCAAGGATTGCAGTTGGGACAGCCAGTGGACTGCGAGCGTTGGGTTGCAAACGGGCTCAAGCCTGACGTTGCGGGAAGCAACTGAAAGAGTTTGTTCAGGTCCTCCAGATTTGAGAGCTTAGAAGAAGGGTACCCACTGTTTTCTGCTTATTTTAGTAGGGGAACCCTCTCAAAACAGCGGTGAGAAAGGGCTCGGTTGGGGGACCTAGTTGTGCAAAGACAGCTGTCTTAAACAAGTGAGTTTTTTGACAGGATTTCGTGTCAGTAGCTGGTAGACTGGCAGCACAAAGATATAGGTGGGCTCTCAAGATATGGGGACCCTTAAAATGGTCTGTTGGCCAATTGAATTTCCCTTGAACATCTGCAAGACCCCCCCCCCCCGCCATTTGAGCTTTATAGTCAAACTCGTGGGTAATAGTCATGTTTGGAACCCTTGCCATGGCTGTCTAAGCCTTGTATTGAGGGGTTGACAAGCAAACGGCTGCTTTGACATGCATTTGCAGGATCTTTTGCACTCGGCCACTCGGTGTGTATTCGCATCACATGGCTTCCTCGGTTAAATATATACCAAAGCTTCCGTGCTGGAATGTTTACACCCAAATGGATATGGCTGTGGGTCAAGAATAGGTGCCCAAAATGGAAACCCGGTAAATGGAACCAAGGACTAAAACCCTGCGGTCCAATTCCTGGTGGTTTGAGTTTGACCAATACCCATATGAATTTCCCGCACGGTCCGCAAAGGTCACGGATTCGTACACCTTCCATCGTTCGATGGCACGCTGGCGCGCCTTCTTCTCAGCTATCGCTTGCCGTAGTTTTGCCGGGAACTCTTGTTCCAGTTCCTGCGGCCGGAAACGCATCTGTAGGGGGGCCTTCCCAGGTAGACTGATAGGCAAGTTTTGTTGGTCATACTGTGGATGGACAAAATCCATTTCGCATCACTTTGAAAACATGGGAAACCATTCTTTGTTGGTATTTACAGGGGAATCATCATTTTAGGGTTTCTTAGGTGGTGCAGGATTTCGTCCACCCACAGTATGGATATGTAGCAGAAATTGTGGCTTACCTTCAAAGCTAACCCCAAAACAGGTACCCTAAAACCTCATCCCCAGATTCAGCTGTCGTTGTCGGAGCTGAGTTCTCCTTGCCTTTCGTCATTCCAGGGAGCCACTACGTTTGGGAGTACACTCAACAAATCAAACAAAGACCTACCACAGCATGGCAGTGTCAGTGAATCATTTGAGTAACCGCTTGACGGCAAAACAACGGAGGAGTTTGTTTCCCCTGTAAATACCAACAAACGTTATGGTTTCAACCACGGCGGTGCGAAATGGATTTCGCAACAATCCACGGAAACTTTTGCATATGTCCAAGGAACGACAGCTCTCGAGAGCCATGAAGGACTTGCGCGCCTCCACTGTACTCCAGGGGCAGTTCACCACAAAAGCGCCTCCTTCCCTGACCTGGCGGCGGCTGGATCTCATGACCCAAATTGCATGGCGAGCGCTTTGCCTTTCAAACCTGCTGAAGTTTCCACAGCGCGTGTCCAAAGCGCAACACATCGACACCTGGCAATATGCATGCCAGTCGATCTTGACTCCTGTCCGATTGCGAGAGCAAGTGAACGGCCAAGGTGGAGTCGCTGAGCGATGCTGGAAAAATACAATTGGAATACCTGGAGTCTCCATGACCCTTCAAAAATGGTTGGTCATTATCCAAAATAAAGGGGTCATGGACCCATTTGTATTTCGGGTCATGGAGACTCCAGGTATGCATGGAGAGCGCTCGCCATTGGGCGACGTATGGCCTTGGAGAGCATGTCGAACTTGGCAAGGAAGGACCTGAGTTGCCAAATTCAGCGTTGCACCTTGTGGCACCCTCCACCAGCACTTCAAGCTTCAAGGTCAGTGACGGCAAAGAAACAAATCCCATCAAGCCGCCTAGGTTTGGAGTGCCCAAGTATCTGGTATGCTTCCATTTGCTCAAGTCCCCTGGAAACAAAGCACAAAAACAAAACCATGTCCAGTATAAACTAGCTAAAAGCCAAACAGAAAACAAAACAAATGTTCTTAGGCAAATGGAAGCCATGTAGCTTCAAACATGTGCCAAGGCGACGGCCCGCCCCCGGATTTTGCGAGCAATCCTGTGCTACATGAATCACTAGATATTTCACCAAACCACATTGTAGTTGTGTCAAACTAGGGTGACCCAAAGAAATTATTGCCGTCCTTTTGGTTTTCCCTCTGAACCCCGCCTTCCCTCCAAACCTCTCCAGTCCATCAACAAAAACCGCCTCCGCTTTCTTTTTTCGCCAAGTGGGCGTGTGGTGGCAGGCCACATAGTCGGCCCCAGGGCTGCCCTCGATCTCGTACTCGCTGCGGATGGGCTTGGGCCCAAAGCCTCGGCCCCATCTCTCATCTAGGTCCAGATTTGAGAGGTTAGAATAACTTACTTGCCCCAAGGACCTGGAACTCAAAGGTGATCACCTTTTGGGACCTCTAAAAATGGACCAAAAAGGGAAAACCAAAAGGTCAAAAGGTCGGCTTTGAACAACTGAGATAAGTTAGGGTACCAACTCTTGTTCTGTCTATTTTAGTAGGGGAAACCTCCCAACCAAAGAGGGGTGAGAAAGGGCACTTCTGGTGGACCTAGTCATGGCTATCCACAGGGCTGTGGTTGAAATGGAATCGAGGCCCAAAGACGAATTGTCCCCCCACAAGGGGCGCAAATGCCCTTGTATCACAGAAGTGGAGAGACACCCCACTTGGCTGTGGCTGAAAAGTTGAAGAGCTAGGGCAAACCGCAGGTTTTAGGCTTTGGCGGTGCCAGTTTGGTGCATGTTTTTGAGCCACATCCACTTCTGTGACACAACAGAAGTGCGACGCCCAAAAACGAATTTTGCCCCCATATAGAAGAGAGATTTCCCCGAAAGTATCAGAGAGTGGAGATCAACCCCTTGCTCCCGCAACCCTACCCTCCAACACTGAAGCGCTGGACACTGAGCACCACCGGAAGACTGAACTGGAGCACTGGACACTACACTTGAACGCCCCGCATGGAACACAAGTAACATGGATCACGTTCGGCGGGGTTCTGGTTTGGACGTTCTCCTTTTAAAGGGACCTGAGTTCCATGTGACAAGGGGAGGGTACAAGGGTTTTTTATAGACCTTACTATAGCCAAAAGGAAAACCAGGTAGAACCAGCTGCCAAAATGATCTCAAACGCCAAGAATCGGTTTGGGGCGCTCAAGTGAACTCGCACTTCGCTTCCCGTTTGGCTTCGACTTCTCAAGTCCACAGGAAAGCCAGAAATGGCTCGCCCAAATTCAACGGGGTCAGATGTGTGAATCTTAACATGGGGAAGCCAATTTGGACATCAGAATTCGCTTTCTGAAAGGGACTTTTAATGACTGCCATCTGATCCTCTCTAAGACCTGGTTTCCAGTGGCTCGGATCCGGGTGGTAGCTCTCTTTCCAAGGGTCTTGACCGGTTGAAAGGATTTGAGCTGGCTTGGGACACCAGGAAGAAGCTGAGCAAGACTTGCTCCTCTGGTCTTGTGACTCTGCTCATCTCCATCCGGATGGAGCCACATCATCAAACCTTGACTTTGGAACGCTGGGACTTGCCATCTGCATTACCCTTTCTCCCACTAACATGGCATCTGTGGGAGGGATCCAGTTTCATCTTGGAGGGTAAAGTGCCGTGGCAACGTGGCAGACACAATAAAGACTTGATGACTTTAATTCGCCAAGAACCAAGGAGTTGTTCAAGGGATCTTCATGGGTGGAATCGCTCATCTTTACAAGCTGCCCTCATTGAGTGAAGCCACTTCCAAATCCGCTGCTTCCAAGCTTTAAACACATCACCCCAAATTCCCACAAAAAAAGGAAAAAGAAGAAACATCCCTATATAGCCAACCAGCCACCTCTACACCAACGAAGGGGCTCTCTCTTTTTTTTTCCCCGTCTCGCCACCTCGACCAACCGCTGTCGCGTCAGAGTCACGAAGGTGCGAGACGGTGGAGGCGCCGGCCTTCTGCGAGGAGTAGTTGAAGTGGCCCTGCGAGCATCTCTCATGCAACTGCTCGACATTGGCAGACTTCACATTGTGCAGTGGGAGCATATTCATTGTCCATTTCTCCCAAAGTTAAGGGAAAAATCAAGAAGTGACAAATTCCTTTGAGACTTTCCTGAGCATCTTTCCTATGTGGCTGTGGGGCAAAATGAAACCACCAGGAATTGGACCGCAGCTTTGAATGTCCATGTTTCCATTCACCAGGGTTCTGTTTTGGGTACCTTTTTTGGACCCACAGCCATGTGGCGATCCCTCTAAAAATCCAAGAAGTGACAGATTCCCTTTGGATTCCCTTTAGCAAAACATCCGGGCTGCCCTAATCCCTGCTGAAAGTAACTAACTTTGAGTGGGTTAAATTCGGCAATTGTTCGGTAGTCCGGGCCATGGACCGGTTAACATCTGCAGGCTAGCGGGAGCACATTAATTTTACCAAAGTTAAAGGCAACGGTTTTGGCTAAAGATCTAATCCAATAGCATTCAAGCGTCATCGTTCCATAGCTGGCACTGGCACATGTGTACCAAACCGAAGCCCGCGCAACGACTAGTGCCCACGTGATGTGAGCGGGGTGGAAGCAAGAGCAGCACACAACACGCACTACGTGAATGGACAAAATATATTTCACACCACCTAAGAAACCCTGGAATGATTCGACACCTGTAATTGCCAACAAGCGTTGTGGTTTCAGCCGTGGCTTCATTTCGCATTGCGAAATTAATTTCCTCCATCCGCAGCTACAAACCTCACACCTGTGCATCATATCAATCTAAAGCAGTGGAACCCATCTATGTCATTCCCCAAACCAAGCGATCAACAGGACACCTACTGTTGGATGAACTCCTACACCACGAAATGAAACCGTGGTTTTTCAACCGTCACGGTCTTGGTATTTACCTTGTAGAGCGAAATGGAGCAAACAGAAAACGCGTCGCATCTCTAGAAAAACGCGTCGTGTCGTATTCTCAAACCCGAACTTATGTGGTTCATTATTTCTTGCGACCCCCCAAATGTTCTTGGAGTTTGAGCAAACCTTTGGTGAGTATGTCATGTTCGAACAACTTATAAACAAAAAAAAAGCAGCCGTCGATCCCTTTCGAACGACCCCGTCGAACGACCCCGTCGTTCGCAGCCGCCGGGTCCCCGTCGACCCCTCGCGCCTGGGAGTAGAACTCCGTGCGCTCGCCGATGATGGCGGCCGCGGCCTTGTTGGCGCCCACCGTGCCGTCGGAGCCCAGGCCGAAGAAGATGGCCTGCGCGAGTCGGGGCCCTCCTTGTTCATGTTTTCATATTTTGTTTTGGGAGGGGGGGGGGGGATTCGGAAAAGACATGGCCTGTTGCCTTCTTTGTTTTTTTTTTTTTTGGGGGGGGGTGGGTGGGTGGGGGGTTCGTTTTGTTTCTTTGTTTTCTCTTTCTGGTTGGTTTTCTGGATTTTCTTTTTTGTAGGTGAGGTGGTTGTGTCATGGGAACTTGAGTGCTTGCTTTACCAACAGGAAACTCAGAGCCGAGAGCCGACTGACAAGAACCCCTAAGTTCCAGGACTACTCGGCCCCTGTCTTTTTTTTGGTTGACTGCGTAAAAAACAACACCCTTCCCTCCCGTTTTCAGGCGTACCCTGGCCTAAGACAACCTCCACCCCTAAAACACCTGTCACTAGGGGCCGGGCAGTGAAGAATAACCGCGGACATAACCTAGGACCCTGCAAGCCGCTTGCGTACCCTGCCCCCTCAAGTATATGAGGTAATCACCCAAGGATACTTCCTTGCGTCTTAAGTCGTGAACCCATTGTGGAAATTGGAAGCACTGGGCCCTGAAACGCGTGACGGAAGACTTTGAACCAACAGCTGCTTTTTTCTGCAAACATCTCACCCTGGGCCCAATATGTGTTTTAAGTTTCCACCCAATTTGTGGGTTAAAGTCTGTCAAGCCCAATGGCGGCACTTCCGATGTTGGTTTCCGCCTTTGTAAATCCGGCACCACCCGGTGGCCACGGAGAAACGTGAGCACCTTTGGAAGAAGGGGACGCAAAAAACTTTCTTTTTTTTTGGTTGGCCTGGTGTTCGTGGAAAACAAAGAGGGAACCCCCAAAAAAGCAAAAAAAAAAAAAAAGTAATTCTGGGGAAGCTTTTTTGGTAGTTGATGCCAAAAGGTGTTCCCCCCTCCAAAAATAAGGAACTTTCACGGCAGTGCTGGCACTTTCACGAGGCAGCGCTGGCACTTTGACGAACCAAAGGATGCAAAGACGTTTGAGGGTCGTCAGGCTTCCAGTTGCTTCAGTCCACTGGAAAATTGATTCCTTTCAAAGCCAAAGGGGAACATCACTTGAATATATCCTTTTCAGCCACTCGTTTCGCGTTTCGGTCCAACCCCATGGCCACGTGTCATTCGCTTTTCTCGTGGTTGGTTTCGCGTGGCGCGTTGATTTCGATTTTGTTTTCTCCGTGTCGCCTGTGTCACCTCAGGGTCCTGGGTGTTGATGATGGGCCCCACTTGGAGGGAGGTGTTCGTCACGTCGTCGTTGATGCCCACGGTGAAGTGGCGCTTGGGCACCTCGCTCGGTGCACGGATCGGTGGGCGTCGTATCGGTGGCTTGGGGGTTGAGAAGGGGTTCGATGAAAAATGGCACCCCAAGCACTGCTTCAACGGTACATGGGAGTTTAAGAAAACGGGGAAAAAACAAAACAAAAAAGGAAGTCGTTGGGTGGTGGGGGTGGGGGTGGGGCGGAAGGGGGGTTGCTGGTGAAAGAAGCGTTTTCAAGGCGGCTAATGTCGATCTGCAAAGGAAAAACGGACATGGATGGACGATCATCCGAGACTCAATGGACTCACACCTCAGTCCAAAGACATCAACTTGTTCTCCAGCTTGGACCCGTTGCATGGGGTCCGGTTCCAATTGGAGCAAGCGATCGGAACCCCTTCAACGGGCCCGCGATTGGAAGAAGACAAACGGATGGGGGAAACCACCAGTGGGCAACCTGTGGCTGCGGTAGCTTCGCATTGTCCAATGATTTGCTAGGTCCTCCAGTAGAGAGGTTACAATAAGGGCACCCTTTTTTTCTGTAGTCTATTTTAGTAGGGGAACCCTCCCCCAAAAAAGGGTAAAAGTGCACTGATGGGGGACCTAGGCTTGGTTATGTGGTACCAGGCGCCGACATAGCACGCAACGGTATGGACTATTTGCCGACCTCAGGCTCCTTGAGGCCTTGCCAAAAACGATGTGCGACGTGGAATACATGTTTGATTCCCTGTGCTCGTAAGCCGCAACCCGCGGCTTGAGCAAAGCAAACAACTCAAATTCCTGAGTGGATCGGACAGAAGAACGTCTGAGCTGGTTGTTGAGCACGTAAATAGTCTTCCTAAAAAGCAAGTCCAGGAATTCAGGGAGTGAGACGGATGATGTGGATGGATTGTCCTTGCTTGCAAGGTGCTTGTATGTGTCCGGGGCCGTGGCACGATGCGACTGGGGCCAAACGCGACCCACCACGCCAGCAACAACAACCAGACGCAAGTTTGAGTATGTTCTTCATGTCCTTCCTGCGCGAATAGATGCGCCAAAGGCAACACATAACTCAAGCAGGCATGTCCACGGGCGGGTGGCTGCGCAAAAAAAATGGAAACACCAGAAGGTGATGATGCGAAATGTTGCAGGTTCTTCCCCTACCATGGGCAAATGACGGCATCTACTTGCCCCGATGTATCCCGAACTGCCTGGCACCGATGCATCCGAGCAGCTTCATTCGACAGGTTGTCAAACACAGCCTTCACGTGGCCTCGCGCACCATGGCAAGAATTTCGGAGGATACTCGCATCCCGTAAAATCAGCCCCACTTTGGTGTTCGGGCCAAGTTAGTAAGTTGTTGGTAACCTAAGTTACTTCACACTTATGAGTTCCCCTAAGCTAACCTCATCGTACTTCAAGTGCCAATCACTTGCTAACTTTGCCGAATACCAAGGGACTCACCTCAAATGGAAGCCTTGCGATAAACGTGGAAAACTCACCCATATGGGACGAGTGGTCCACTAGCCAAGCGCTTGCAAATGGTTGCGCCGGATGGTTTCAGAGCTAGACGTCCTCGACTTTTTCTTGTCTCATGAAATGAGTTCTATGGGAAACGTGAGGAGGGGAGGATATTTTGGAATGTGTCCATCGAATCCAAATGGATTCCAACCTTGCAGCTGGTTTCCCTTCTAACTAGTCCCTAGGATCCTCAGGGCATTCTGAGGCTCAATCGTCGAAGGCATGGAATTCGGCATACAAGATACAAGCCGCATCCTCACTTCCTGTCTGCCCAAACAACATCTTATCGATTTTCTTTACCTCACCCCCCCCCCCCTTCACCCATCTCACCCCCACCCCCCAACCACCACCCACCCCCACTCCCCACCCACCACCCATCCCCCCCCACCACCCCACCACCCATGAATCACCCGGATCCGGATCCAGCCCCCGCAACGTTCTCGCGGCGAGCGGCGGGGGGCGAACTCCTTGCTGCCCAGCCCGTAGTTCCCACCCACCACCTTCTTGTAGACCCCCGCCTGCCAACGCTAACTCCGATCCGAGCCACTCGGGACACGATCCCATGGAAACGAAGAACACCCAAAACCGAGCAGAGGAATCGAGCCAACCGACTCCGATCTTGTGGAAACGAGCTTAACCCCCCCCCAAAAAAAAGAGGACAGAGGAGTCATCGTAAGTTTCGACAGCTCGAACAAATGGTTGGACAGCACCATAGATCTTGTTTTGTCAGCTCAGAAAATAGTCAGATACAGGTTTGACTCAAACTTTGGACACTCCTTGGCTGGGCTCCTTCAAATAGAATGCGAGCCAACGTCTTGGAATTTCCTGAAGCGTGTCCAAGTGGGACTTTCTCATTAAAAATAAAAACGAACGCACACGGGTGTTTTTCTTTCGGCTCACGCAATTCCAAAAAGGCAAACCAAGAAAGCCGCGATGCACAAGCTGCCGCGTGCTCTTGGAAAATCGGGTCAGAACATGGGGAAGCCACAACCAAATTCCTGGTGTTAACGTCTCAGCAGCAACCTCCAAGAAGTCGTCCACTGTTTCAAAGCCGCAATCAAAACATATCACCCTGCAGTGTCTGCTTTGTTGACCCACATCCAAAAGCCATGGTGAAAACCATGGACAGGCGACCAGCGGATACCTGGGTCTTCCGTGGGCACTTTTTTCTTGGATTTTCCCGTTTCGAGCAAAAATAACGCTCATTTCATCCAAAAACGCTCAATTGGAAAGAAAACGCTCAATTGGAAAGTGGTTCTGGTGCGGGTCCGCCGATTTCCGCTCATTTCCCGCCGATTTCCGCTCATTTCCCGCCAATTTCCGCTCATTTTCCGGGAGACAACTTGCCAAATCATGCCAAATCAAGATTTCCGTTAATTTTTAGTTTTTCCGCTCAAAATCTGAAACAAATGCCCAGAGCCCTAAAAAGTGACCAACTGGAAGACCCAGGTATCCGCACATGGGGTTTTGATTGTGGCACCTGGGGTCATGGCGTGACATGTTAATGCAATCACCAGGGACACACTAATTCCGTCCAAACAAACATTTTGTGAAAGGGGTAGACATGAGCAATGGGCAGGTCCGATGTCAGCTGCTGGTGGCCATGTCTAACTTCACCATACCCTACCAACCGAAATTAACCGAATCGGTGTTTGATCTGCAGAATGGAGACAAATTTCCCAATGGGGGATGCCCAAGCAAAGGACAGCCACTCTGAGCTTGATTGGAAGTGGGAATGTCTCAAAATAGGTGACCCCCACTGCTTGTTCTCCTGATGGTTTTTACTAAACATCCGCCAGGGTAGCCCCGAATGCTGCCGCTTGCCTCACTCATGGCCGTCAGCACATCGGCGTGCAGTGGCAATGACGGAGCCAAGTCTTCCTGGCACCGGCTGATTCACGCTGTAAAGGGAAACCAAACGGACACCGATGTTGGAAAGAGTGCCCTGGACCGGTGAATTTCGAAGAGAAGGCACAGAAAACAAGGTGCCCCTGGCGGCCGGTTGCGGGGGGGGGTACTGTGTCTAGGTCCTCCAGTAGAGAGGGTAGAATAACGGTACCATTTTTTGTCTGTCTATTTTAGTAGGGGAATCCTCCCCTAAAAAAGGGTAAAAGGCAACTACTACAAAACCTAGGACAACTGAAATCTCCTGTCACCCGAAGACATCCTTGCGCGCGCGTCGCGCGCTTCCCGGTCCTTTGTCCGGTCCAAAACTGCGATGGCCTTGACCTTGGCGAGAAGTGAAGTCCCGTCGCTTTGGGGCTCGGAAATTGCCCTTTTTAGGTTGGCTTAAATTCAAAGGGAGGCTTAAAGGCACACCAAAGGGAGACCAACGGTTAAAAGGAAACAGGTTGGTTTCAAGGGAGAAAAGGAAAATCGAAGAGCACTTTTGCGGGGCTCTCTGGCCTTTGTGCTTGCAGCTCCTCTCACATACGCTTCAACAGGCAGAGCTCGCAGGGACGCATGCCATCAGCCAAAGGTATGCTCACTTCCGACCGAGTGGATTGACCAAAAAAGTACCCAAACATTCAAGTTTCCACTAAAAATTGATCTAAGCCCAGAAAGTGACTCAAGTCCATGCACTCAGGAGCCGAGTGCGCTTGATGTTTTACTTGGCCCCAGTTGACTTTGCCCAAGCTCCGCTCCCGGAAAGCATAAACTTAAACGGCGACTTTCCAACCAGGAGGGTCCTTTTTGCCAGCTTTTGTGAGAACATTTGCGACCCCCTCAACAAGGAATGCTTCACTTCCTGGGGGGTCGATCATTTTTCCACCTTTTTGGTGGCAAAACGACCCCCGTTTCGGCGTTTCGGCTCAGCTCTGGGCGCTTTCAGGCAGCTCTGCCAAGAAGTGCTCGGTGGAGAAGGGCCGGAAAAGATGCACCTTCAAAATCCCCACCTGGGCAAAAGGCGCGGATCGCTTTGTTTGTTTAACGTGTCGGCAAACATCTGAGGACAACAAACAAGCGGTTGTCTTGAAAATGGTAACCCGGCGCGAAAGAGTGTTTTTTGTTGTTCTTTCTGGGGATGGCAACAAATCTTGGTTCCGGAAATTGGTTTGCACCCAACCAAAAAGGTTTTTTTTCACCGGAATGGCAAACACTTTGGTTATCGAAATTAAAGGCGCGATTGCTTTGAATGTTTAAGGGGATGCAACAGCAAATAATTAGTTCCCCGACATTGGCAACCCCAGAATGGCTTGAAGCGTGGCCGTTCTTCGGGGATGGCAACAAAGCGTCGGTAAGCCGAATGAGCGGTGCCCAGTGGCCAACATCACTCGACGGTAGTATAGCTATGAAGGTGTATATGGCTGTCACTGTCAAAAATATGTACCAAAAATGGCTTGCCCTGGTAAATGGAACTATGGACTAAACCTGCGGTCCAATTCCTGGTGATTTAGTTTTGACCCATACCCATTTTGACTTTGGTAGAACCTTTGAAGGTAAACAGTTTTTGTTCTGGTCACCGAAGCAACATTATGGGGCAACCAAGCTAGGTAGTAGCCTCCAACCTCACTATCCTTGCTGTTCCTCCTTTGCCACGTGCTTTTCTTGGGGCTGCCTTTTGCAACCACAACACCAAAACGCATAAAACCAATCCATCCAAAAATCACACACTAGTACACACTCCAAATAAGGGAAGCAACATCATGAATCAACACAATTACATAAATCCGACACATCAACCAAACCACCAACTGAAACAGCCTGCCCCCCCCCCAAAGGAAAACCTTAAATTAAATAGGACTAAACACACACACACACACACCAACAAAAACCCGGCCGCAATTTGTCACCTCTCCCACTTCCTCCCTCCCCGGCACCGCATGAGTCGCGATTTCATATCGGTGCCTTCTCCCCCTGGGCCCGGAGATAGTCCACCGTCTCCTCCGCTGTCTTGGCCGCCGACCCCATGAGCACCACCGCGCGCTCCGCCTCGGCGTCCGGACTCGAAGCGTCCGGATCGGCATCGGAACCGACGTCCCGCGGGAAAAGTGTCCTTTGAGGCTTTTGTTCTCGCCCTTCCGGAGAAAATGAGAACAGATATATTCCAGTGAAATGGTTTCCCTTTAAAATCAACAGTTCAGCAAATAAAAGCTAACTTATAAGGTTAATAGTGTGGTTACAAAATGGCTCAGGGATTAATTTGACACGGGCTACTAAAATTGGAACCAAAGGAACCCATCGGTTCGTAATCAGTTCTGGCTCAGCTTCACAAAAAGCCTTATGGGAAAGAACTTCCTGAAATACCCCCCCCCTATTGTGTGGGTCAGCTGAAGTGACGAAAGCTTTCTTAACCCGGGTGTGGGCTCTCGGGTGTTCACGGTCACAAAACCAACACCGATCTGCGGAGCTTTGCTAGCAGTCTCATGATCCATGATATTGAAAGGGTAAGCGGAGAACCCCAAAAACCGAATGGTTGGCCTTTTCGTGTTGCAAAAAAAAAGTGGGACAATTGGGGTGTTCTTGGGAGTTGTCCCCCCATTTCCTCCCCAAAGCGCAGTAGACTACCAATACTTTGTGTAGCTGGCCACTGCAACCAATGGCCTGGAAATGCAGCTGGCAAATGGGGCTTTGATCAAACTGGGGGCCCGCGCTATTTTGGGTGACCAAACAGGGGACATAATTATGCCACTCCGAACCGCCGATTCAAGGCAAAGAACGAAGCGGACAGTCAATCAGCTCCCCTTTTCAACCCAAAACATGGCACAACTAGACAAGGTCCTCCAGTAGAGGGGTTAGAATAAGGGTACCCTTCTTTTCTGTGGTCGATTTTAGTAGGGGAACCCTCCCCTACAAAAAAAGGGTACAGGGGCATTGGGGGACCTAGACCTAGTAAAAACAAGGGATCCTGACTTTCCAGTGGGTTTGCATTTACTTCTCCGTGTGCAGCTTGACATCCCAGCTGCGGGCCTACCATGGCTGACACCATAACGTCTGTGGGCATTTACCTCGGGGAATCGAATCATTCCGTTGGGTTTCCTCAGTGGTGCAGAGAGTTGTCATTCACGGTATGACTTTGTTGTTCTTTCTTTTTTCTTCGGGTGAAGGTGACGGGGAGCTCGTTTCCCAGAGCTCACCGCAGAACAAACAAATGCATCTCAAGCAGTGCCCACACCACCGACAGAAAGAAAGAGCCTGCGATACCAGTGTCCGGAGAGGGCCATCCACCATAGATAGCCGGAGTCAAGGTTTGCTGTTGCTGCTTACCCCAGAAACGTCACACTATCTTGAAGCAACACACCGTTTTTGGCAAGCGACAAAGCTCTGCAGGCCTTTGCTAAAGCAAGCATCATACTCCCTACCACCTCACATCTCTGGTTTTTTGAGGAATCTCTTTTCATGACCTCCTGGGCCAACCACCACCCTCCCTCCCCAACCAATCAAACAAATATGGATGCTTCTCAAACTAGGACTCTGTCCTTCAAAGCGGCAACAGTTTCCTTTCCCACCCAATTGATTCATGGCGGGTTGGTTTTTGGCCCCTCGAGCACCACCCGGCTTGGACCACCATGCGACCGCCGAAGACCCCGGCCTCCGGGTCTCCGTAGTACTCGAAGAGCTTGTACTGGCGACCGGTGATCACCGCGACCTCCGGCGAATGGCGTTGGGTTCGCTGGGCTGTGCAATGTTGACCCCATATGGCCATGGGTCAAACCCAAATCGTACCCCCAGTGAACATCCCAATCCAAACACTAAAATAGGTTCTAAAATAGGTGGTGCACCTACCCAAAATGGTACCATTGGTTTTGACTCGCAGCCATATTAGTCAACCCCTGTTTATTAATATGGGGGGTGTCCCTGGGTTTAGTGGGGAATCATCACTATTGGAGGGGAACACCCCCGTATTAATAAACTGGGTTGAGTATTATGGGGTCAACATTAAACCTTAGAACGGTTGCCGTAGAATCAGAGGTTCAAATCCCCAAACCACCCACCAAAGGGTTACCCGAATAAACCTTATGGAGGACAAAGTAAAGCCCAGGTTCTTCTTGCTGCTGAAGCCCCCCGCAAAAAGCGCGAACAGATTTGAAGTGACAGATACCCTTTAAAACCAACAGGGGAAAACAAACCATATTCTTAAGCACATGGAGGGTTGCAGAAAACCTGCTTCCCTCCAATGTGGTTTGGAGGTGTGGAGTGTGGAGGTTGGGTGGCTTCCCCTTTACCCCCTAGAAGAACCACAGGTCCCAATGCCCAACCACCAATCGAAACCACCAACTAAGGGTTACCTGGGTAAACCTTATTGAGGACAAACTAAGGCTACCCCAAATCGCGACCAAACCAAGACCAACGCTGCTCGGAGGTCATAACGGTTTAAGGCCTCACGACTTGCTGGTGCGACAAGCAGGGAATTTGGGAATGAACCTGGGGATTCCCTTAAAGGAAACCACCAGGTTGAGCGTTGCTTTTTATTCCCTACAAACTTGATTGGACAATACTCAAGCTTCTGCCGCATCCTTGCCGTGTTTTTGTTTTTTTTGCGGGCGCCCATCGCACTCGAACCAGCAAGTTGCATCTCTCTTTTTTTGGCGCTTACGACTCACCTGATCCATCACGTCTTGCACGATGCCAGGCACTGCGTCGTAGAACCTGGCCGAACCCCTGGCAGGCCCAGAAACGATGCCAAGTTTTGCTTCGCAGCAAACAAACGTGGCAAACAAGCCATGGGATGGTCCTGAAACAAAAAAGAGATAACAACACAGCCAGTGTTGGTGTCCGCGTTGCGGCCATGGCACACCCCGCAAAGTGTGCTTGGCCCAGCCCTTGGCTAATCCTTGCATTCTTGCAACAAAAAGGCAGCAACATTAGGCAAAGCCACTGGGTTGTCCATTGAGTTTCCGCTGAAACAACCAATGATCACTAGCTTTCTTCCAGTCTGCAACAAGTCGCAAATCATTGCAAGTTCAAACCACCTTCGAAAGGCGCGCTGCCTTTAGCTGGTACTTGTAGTCTACAAAGGACTTCACTTGCGGCCTCACGTCTATTCTGCGATGCGCCCTCTGTCGCCTATGAAAAAAAAACGCGGCGAAGCCCGCGCCTGTTCGCCGAAACGGCGGACTGGTAGTACGTCTGCCTGGGACAAAGCATGCTGAGTTTTCATTCCGTTGTCCAAATACCGCGGCTTGTACGCTGCGCATTGATTCAACCTCAATCAATGCAGAAGCTAACAAGGAAGGACATCCACTAGGTCCTCCAGTAGAGAGGTTAGAATAAGGGTACGCTTTTGTTTCTGTAGTCCATTTTAGTAGGGGAGCCCTCGCAACCAAAAAAGGGGAGAGAAGGGCACCTAGCTGTGGGACCTTGTCCAGAGGCCGGCTCAACAACGCCATGTCTGCTTGCCCATTGACCTCTCTCTCTCTCTCTGCCAGGTGCGCCCCACGCACTGTCTCCCCTCGGCCCTGAGCCAACGTTGTTGCTGGAAAGCGTGCAAGCATGCGATGTGAGCCATGGTCAAACTTACGAACATTCTCTTTGAAGGACATGGGACAATTATTCCCTGATTTGTGTGAGGGGAAACTGGACCCCACCTCATGCAAGACGCACTTTCAACGCATGCGATGGGCGGTTGCGTCTGTTGGAGCATTTCCGCAAACATCACCTCAAAACGAAGCTCACTAATCAAAGTGGCAACCAACAAGTCATGTTTAAACAGGCTTAACAGGGACATACCCGGAAAACTCTCAGCTGGATTCCGAACTCTGCAAATTGGGCCATAGCATGTAAGTTACCAAAGTGGCCTTACCAGGATGAGCTGTTTCAGTCTCCAACAACATGATCCGTTGGAGGCGGTTTGCTTGGCTTGGGAGTTGTGAAGGAAGTGTCGAAGCAACGGGTCTCACAGTCTGCCTGCACGACGTGGCAAATAACTACTCTGCAACCCCGAGCCAGGGTGTTGTTTCACCTGCACGTCTTGCCATATTCCCTCTACGGGCGATCCCTGTCATTCTTTGAAACAGTCCAATGACCCAACGGCCCCACAAGGGATACTTGTATCTTCCTTCGAAACATCACCCGGCAGAAGTTTGTTTTTGCTACGTTCGGCGGGCGCCTTTGTTCGGCGGGCAGTGACATGCTGTATTTCACAGCGTGCTCCAACTAAAATGCACTTGCTTTACACCGGCGTCAACATTCCCAGCATCGTGGTTGATCCCCCCCCACATCGCCCTGGCATCGGGAAGGTTGAGGGTTGGTTTAGTGCTGGTTCAGTGCTGGTGTTCGCAGCCTTTGTTGGCAAAGACCCCAAAGCCTTCAGATGCTCAAACAAAAAAACTGGAACACCAGAAAGGGGTCTCTTGAGACGGACCAAGCAAACAACGCTAGAAAAAGGGCCTCTTGACACGGACTCACCCCTTGGTGGGGAAAAACGGGAACCCCCAAAAACAGGGCCCCTTGAAACCCCCCCCCCTTATGCCGGGATCCAGGTGAAGCCCTGAGGCCGCGATCCGCATCCAGGTGCCCGGGCGGATCCTGGCCGAGGCCGCGCATCATGGGGTGCTGGGGGTTGAGGCCTCGCTGCCGGAAGGTGTCCAACTCATCCCAGGGCACGATGCTCCTCCGAGGACTTGTTTTTCCGAAATGTTCGGAAGAAGGAGCGCGAGTTCCGTGTTCCGCGGGCGGGAGGCTGGGGGCATGATCTTCAGTTGTGTGGGGGCATGATGTTGGACGAGTTTGTCCGGAGTTGATGTTTCCGGAGTTGATGTTTCACTGCTGGAATAAGGCATGTTGAAATCAAGTGCCTTCAACATGACAGAGCTCCGCTCGTGAAGCACTCATGCTCACGTTGTGGTCATACACATCGGCAGCACAACAACAGAACGCCGGCGTTGGATTCACCTTGAAAGGGACATGAATCCCCACCCGCCACTTCAATTTGCTTAAGCCGCCTGGAACAAACTATGTCCAGTAGTGATAAATTATCTTTAAAGCCAACAGGGAAGCATAAAAAAAAGATAACTAACTAGGTCCTCCAGTAGAGAGGTTAGAATAAAGGTACCAACTTTTTCTGTAGTCTATTTTAGTAGGGGAACCCTCCCACGCACAAATGGTAAAAGGGCACTATTGGGGGACCTAGAATGGCAAGGGCTTTCCTTTGGTTTCCCAAAAATTCCAAAAGCGGAGTCCACCGAAAAAGACGGGTGATCTGAGAATCAAGTCCCTCATATGTGTCTAAATTGGGGGGGCCTCCTAAAAAGGTTGGCTTCCTTTTGGTGGGTTTCTTTGCGCCAAACAAAAGGCGGGAGGGGGACTCGAATCCCAGAACTCACATGCGGGCGAGTGTCTTCATGGTGCTGTAGGGGATCGGCTTCACGCACTCAATCACACCCGAGGTGCGCCTGAAAGCTTCTGGTGCTGAACAGCGGGTTGCGAAAAGAAGGCGCTGGCACCATGGAACCATGGAGCAGCTTCCCGGCCAGCGTTGCTTCAACCCTCTTCCGTTTGAAGCTCCCTCTCCCTCTCTCTCTCCCTTTTTTCTCCCTCCCTCCCTCCTCCCTCCCTCCCTCCCTCCCTCCCTCTCTCCCACTTGTTTGATTTCCCAAGCACCTCTCTCTCCTTGCCCCCTTTCTTGGCTTGGTCCCAACAAATCCCCAACCCCCCCAGGATCTCACGCTCGGCATGTCGCATCCCGCACCCTCGGCCCGTCACGGACCGCCCGAGGACCCGAGGCGTGGGCGTGCCATCGAAGAAGTGCACGAAGGGCACCGAGGCCCTCAGCGACGCCAGGTGCGCCACGAGGCCCAGATCCATCACCTCCAGCCACACGGGTCCCAAGAGCCAGGAGAGAGAGAGGCCCACAAAGCTCCGCACGGAAGGAAGTAGCAAAAAACCCGGAGGTTCAGAAATACGTCAAGGGAACCACCTGGAACAGAAAAAAGCCATGAACCAAAGAAAAGGGGATTTGTAGCGGCCAGCAAGGAAGTCGCTTCAGGACATGCCAAAAATATAATATCGGAGCTTCGGAGGTCAGCTTTTTCTCGCTTGCCTTTAAGGGACCTGGACAATTGGGAAAAAAAAAGAGCCACCTTTCGGCACCTCTAATTACTGAAAATGGGCGCGTGCAACATGGGAACACCGTCCACGGATCCAAAATTGGTGGGCTTTGGGAGACTGAGACAAGCCAAAGAAGCCGAGTTTCTCATCGGTTTCCACTTTTGGTTTCAAGTTGTGTGAACTTGATTCAAGCAAGTACAGTATATTCCCCCGGATTGCCAGCAGTATACTGCGCCTTTTATTGACTTCAAGCATGAAGTAAAGTATAAATTCCCCCGGGTTGCCAGCAGTATAATGAGCCTATTGGCTCTTGGCACAATGTGGAATTGGCAGATTCATCAGATAGATGTAGATTCCGCTTGTCTGAACAGTACGAGTGAGTACGACATCTGCTTCTCAATTCCTGATGCATACGACAAATGCAACCATGAAACGCATCCCAACCGTAAGGAACTCTTTGGTTGCCGTGCTCTGAAGCTAGACAAACTAGAGAAAGTCTATTCTGACATACCAAGTCCCCACCTTTCTTGACGGGGGGCAAGCATCATGTTTGTCTGAACTGAAAACAGGGAAGTCGCCAAGGTTGGGGGGGAGGGGGTTCCCTATTTTTTTGTTGTCGAAATAGGGGAAGCCCCTCCACCAAAAAAGAGAGGCTCTCCTTTGGTTCCCTAAACACCCTAAAATGGGTACCTTCAAAACACATACCCAAACCAAACCAAACAACCAAACAGCGATGCATGCTGAATGGCTTTGAACTTCACAATCCTCGCAAGGTCTTGGGGGCGTATGAAAGGGAAACCAAGTGGAAACCGCTATATGTTGGGAGCACACCCTCCGACGCCCTGCCTCCTGGGGGTTGTGAGCACTCAACAGCGCGCAGCCGGTCGAACGCACCTAGAGCGCGAGAAAGCCGTCGGACTGGCCACCCGTGGACCAAACTTCTTGTTTATCAGTATGAGTTTTCCGAAGGTCTAGCAATTTGATTGGTTGGAACCACCTCCAGGGTGGGTGGACATGAATTTTGTTTCACTTCATTGATGCGCACCCTTTGGGGTTTTGGGACCCATTCAAACTCGCCGCTTCAGACTTGCGCTCCGATCTGACGGCTACCAAGTGATTGGACATGGTAAGAAGCAGGGGGTTGGTGACACATATCTTTGATTTGTCGCAAGATCTAGCCCAATCAACCAGGTCCCTTGGTGCAAAACAGGGTGGGTCTGAGGAAAAAGGCTCCTTTTGGCTTACTTTGGTCCTTCTGGCTCGCCTTTTCGTTTTCCTTTTTGGTTTCCCCTGGATCATTTAGCACCCAGGTCCGAAGGGTCGATGATCCACACTTGAGTTCGACGACAGGCAGAGTGCAGGCAGATTGCCAAGTGCAGGCGGGTCTCGATGTGGTCATCCCCCGAAATTTTGGACCTCTCGAAGGTACGTTCAACGCAGACTTGGACACCTGACATGGAGCCCATAAAGCCTCCAAGGAATCCTCATACCTCCTGTTGGGGTCGCTGTTTGCTTCCAGTCACAAAAGTTGCCCTGGTGGGTTCGAACAATATCAGGGTTTCCTCCATTTTCGATAAGAAGATGGAACCTCCATTGTGGCAAATTGATTGACTCAAGGGGGAAGCCAGTGACCCCTTACAACTTTGGGAGGTCCCTTAAAAAAACTCAGGGGCCCCTGTGGGCCTCAGTGTTGCAGGACCCCCCGCAGATTGAAGCGGTCCACTGGCGAGTGACAAGGAGTCTACACATGGAACCCGCCAACGGGTCCCGCTTAAGGAAAGAACTCTTCCTTAGAAACCCATGTTACTGTGACGGGAGGGTAATTACCAGTTTCTCATATGAGTGGATTGCCAACAAAAAAAAGGTCCAAACTTTGTGTTTACCTCTAGAATGGTCCAAACCCAAAAAGTGACTAAAGTCCAGGAACTCAGGGAGGGAGGTAATCTCCGTCGGAGACCCGCAAACAGGAAGGTCCTAAGGTACTCTTTCAGAACCCCTCAGTGAGGTTCCAGGTACGGGGTACCAAAACTGGGGCTGCCTTCAGATCCACTGCAACAAGCGACTCACTTTTAGTGGGTGAAATTCGGACACCAAAAAGACTAAACCAAGCAGAAAGATCAAAAAAGCTAAGTTGAACCCAACCAAAAAGATCAAAAAAGCTAAGTTGAAACCACCCAAAAAGATCAAACAAGCTAAGTTGAACCCAACCAAAAATATCAAAAAAGCTAAGTTGAACCCCACCAAAAAGATCAAAAAAGCTAAGTTGAACCCACCCAAAAAGATCAAAAAAGCTAAGTTGAACCCCACCAAACAGATCAAAAAAGCAAAGTTGAACCCAACCAAAAAGATCTAAAAAGCTAAGTTGAACCCAACCAAAAAGATCAAAAAAGCTAAGTTGAACCCAACCAAAAAGATCTAAAAAGCTAAGTTGAACCCAACCAAAAATATCAAAAAAGCTAAGTTGAACCCCACCAAAAAGATCTAAAAAGCTAAGTTGAACCCACCCAAAAAGATCAAAAAAGCTAAGTTGAACCCAACCAAAAAGATCAAAAAAGCTAAGTTGAACCCAACCAAAAATATCAAGAAAGCTAAGTGAAACCCCACCCAAAAAGATCAAAAAAGCTAAGTTGAACCCACCCAAAAAGATCAAAAAAGCTTAGTTGAACCCCACCAAAAAGATCAAAAAAGCTAAGTTGAACCCAACCAAAAAGATCAAAAAAGCTAAGTTGAACCCCACCAAAAAGATCAAAAAAGCTAAGTTGAACCCAACCAAAAAGATCTAAAAAGCTAAGTTGAACCCAACCAAAAAGATCAAAAAAGCTTAGTTGAACCCAACCAAAAAGATCAAAAAAGCTAAGTTGAACCCAACCCAAAAAGATCAAAAAAGCTAAGTTGAACCCAACCCAAAAAGATCAAAAAAGCTAAGTTGAACCCAACCAAAAAGATCTAAAAAGCTAAGTTGAACCCAACCAAAAAGATCAAAAAAGCTTAGTTGGACCCCACCAAAAAGATCAAAAAAGCTAAGTTGAAACCACCCAAAAATATCAAAAAAGCTAAGTTGAACCCCACCAAAAAGATCAAAAAAGCTAAGTTGAACCCAACCAAAAAGATCAAAAAAGCTAAGTTGAACCCACCCAAAAAGATCAAAAAAGCTAAGTTGAACCCAACCAAAAATATCAAAAAAGCTAAGTTGAACCCAACCCAAAAAGATCAAAAAAGCTAAGTTGAACCCCACCAAAAAGATCTAAAAAGCTAAGTTGAACCCAACCAAAAAGGTCAAAAAAGCTAAGTTGAACCCACCCAAAAAGATCAAAAAAGCTAAGTTGAACCCACCCAAAAAGATCAAAAAAGCTTAGTTGAACCCCAGCAAAAAGATCAAAAAAGCTAAGTTGAACCCAACCAAAAAGATCAAAAAAGCTAAGTTGAACCCCACCAAAAAGATCAAAAAAGCTAAGTTGAACCCAACCAAAAAGATCAAAAAAGCTAAGTTGAACCCAACCAAAAAGATCAAAAAAGCGAAGTTGAACCCAACCAAAAAGATCAAAACAGCTAAGTTGAACCCAACCAAAAAGATCAAAAAAGCTAAGTTGAACCCCACCAAAAAGATCAAAAAAGCTAAGTTGAACCCAACCAAAAAGATCAAAACAAATCTGAGTTGAACCAACCAGATGGCCTTCGGCGGGCGCCACCAAGCAACAAAAAAAAACTCTCCGGAGACGCTGAGGAAAGGCCGAAGCCGAGCCGAGGCGCCGCCATGACGTCCGAGTGGTCGCAGAAGATGGAGAGGGACTGGCGCGCCAAGGCGCGGGCGGAGACATGGAACACCGCAGGCAGCAGCTCACCGGCGCAGAGGTACCTCTGAAAAAAAGGGGTGGGGCTAAGGAATCCCTAAGTAATTGAGGAACCCCTAAGTATTATTCTAGGTCCTCCAGATTTGAGAGGTTAGAATAAGTTGGTACCCTTTTTTTCTGTAGTCTATTTTAGTAGGGAAACCCTCTCCGGCCAAAAAAGGGGTAACAGGGCACTACTGGGGTCTCATTCGGGAAGGGGGGGGGGCCTGCCCTAGGTATTATGAAGGAACCCCTAAGGAATCCTAAGGATTAATGAACCCCTAGGTATTATGAAGGGTAGCTTCCCCTAACGATGTCTGGAGATCTGAAAAACCCGAACGAACCCGAAACGAACTCTCAACTACCCACCCCCCACTGTATCGGTGGATGCCCCGTTCGCCGTACTTGCTTTTTCCCCACAGTAGGCGTCCTTGTTGGTTTGATGGAAAATAGCGGGCAATGAGGGAAAATTCGGTTAAAACATCTAGGGCCATCTGCTTTCCCACCAAAGGATACTTTATCACTCGTGGAAGATTCCCTTGGCCACTCACAGAAAGTATCGCAGAAAGTACATCGGAAGCAGAATCCGGAAGTGAGATTGTCTTTGTAGGGGGACCTCCCAAAAAGGCGTCCTTCGTTCTTTTCTTTGGCTTCTCTTAACCAGGAAGTCAGTCGAAGAACAAATCGGACCCGCAACGGTTTTGCTGGAGTGAGTCCCTTCCCCATTAAGGTGTGTCTTCTTTTTCGGGGACTCAAGCAAGGCTTCTTTATTTCCCCTTTCAAGCCGAGTGAAAAGAAGAAATCGAACCCCCAACAATGGCGCAAAAAGGGCGCCCTCGAAAAAAGAGAAAAAAACACCACTCCCAATGGAGGAAGCGAGAGGAAGAATAAGTCGTGGGCTGAGAGGGCCCAACCAACGGCCTTGTTGTTTCTCCCTTTCAATGCAGGGAGTGAGAAGCAGAAAATCATCGGCTGGGGCGCATGTTGGGCGCACGCCTGTTCTCTTTCCACCCACCCTCAAAAAATCCAACACAAGACACCCACCTAAAAGAAAGAGAGGAGTAACCCAGTGGGCTGGGGCGCATGTTGGGGATCATCAGCAGCAGGCCCTGGGAGGCCGTGAAGGTGGTGCACAGCGCGCCGCCCGACAGCGCACCGTGCAGGGCACCCGCCTCGGAAGCGCCGGGTGCCGGGGGGATGGGGATCACGGCCCAAGGGGGGCGGGGCAAGCAAGGTGGATGTGTACCTATACACGTTGTACACGTATAGATATATACAGATAAATATATATATATATATATGTATATATATATATATACACTATATCTATATGGTATCATATTATATTATATATTATGTAGCTATACATGGTACGGATACATACATCTTATACAAGTATATCATACGTATCTATATATTATGTAGACCTAGACCCAGATAGTCTTGTCGTATACATCATACTAGTCGGAGCATGAAGTCTGATAACAAATTCCGACACCGGCGACTTTCTCACAGCAGTCCGGTGGCTCACGAATGAATGCTGAGCTACGCTACATAAATACGTGGTGTGTCGTTTGAGGGTACCAATCGTTGCCTTGGCTTAAAGGGACATCAAACGAAGTGCAACTTTCGTTGGCCTGCTTGGCTTAAAGGGATACCACAATGTGAAAGGTTTGACTTCGCCAGGTGAGTTTAATTGTGAATGGTTGGCACAGTGACAGGTAGTTTCCCACCGTTGAGTGACTGACCAGAGTCCCCAAATGAGTTTCCTCCCCCAACAAAAAGGGTGGTTTGGAGCCCTGTGGTTTGCTGGTTGAGGCGTTCCCCAGTTTTTTCCCCTGCAAAAGCCGTTTCACATCCCCAAGGCTCCAAACCACCACCTAGGAGGTTGCCTGACAGGGGAAGGAGGTGGCAACTCGCTGATGCCCATCCGCAAGCGCAGCCACCACGTGCACAAAAAAAAACGCTGAAACAAGTGTGGGACCCAGGCAGCAATATTGTATACTGAGCTGAATGATTACAAAGAGTCTGCTCCTATAATCATGACCAAATGTGGCTTCAAGTATGGGTGTCTCCAAATACGGGAACCCCAAAAATTGGTGTTTGCCTTGTGGCTTCCCTTCACAAGCAACCTAAAATGGGTACCCTCAAAAAAGGACACTCCCGTCTTATATCATCCCATTCGAGGCAACCAGCCGTCGACCAGAGATCACTGCCAAGGAGCAGAACCCAGCTCGGACTGCATCTGCCTCACCTAACATCGCCAAGGCTTCGGCCGTTTTCCATATACTTACGTCACGAGGTCCTCGAACTGATGTGAACATACATATCCGCAAGTTCCGGCGGCCTTTTGTGCCGCTTCGTGAAAAGACACTTTATTCACCCGTGTCATGAACAAATGTTTTGGTTCTGCAAAACCAGCTGTTTCGCAAAGTGCTCACCAACGGCCGCATGTTGGTCGGGAGAAGTTGTTGCTTGCACGGGAAATATATTATCGTCATGAGTGTTGCATATTTATATTTATACATGCATATATATATATACATATATATATATATATGTCAGTGTTTCTGCACTGCATGTTTGATCTAAACAAATGCATTTTAGTCCGAACGACGAGATCACAGATGCGTGGCTGGTCCATCTTCAACTAGCAGAGTCACTCCTAGCTTGAAATGTGCCAAATGTGTGTGTGTGTGAAAACAAGGGGGACACACACCCCCCCCAAACGAAGAATTCCCTCCGTAACAACAAGAGTGAAAGGGTTCTTTTCAGGCTTATTCCAGCCCGACATTTGTAAGCTTTCCTCTGGCGGTTTGGTGGCTTGGGAGGTTAGAGAGCAGGCTTTCCAATTTTCCCTCTACAAGAACCAGCGTTCAAATCCCCAAGCCATCATCCCCAAGCCATCATCCCCAATCCCTGGCCCGAATTCAGCGTCTGTGGGCTCCAGAAGCATCAGCTAATGCGACAAGGAAACTCACCCCGTCCCATCGTGTTCATCCCTAAACTAAAGCAGGCAAACACGAAGATACTTGACACTTCCGCCCAAACTTTGCTCAACCACGGCCTTTTGGCGAAGAAGCACGTCGACCTTATGTAGAAGGAGCGATGAGGCAAACTTGAGGCGAACATGGTTTCAGACGCAATAAGAGACATGCCAGCCAGAAGGCTCAGGATCTTACACAATAGCGAAGTAGTGTTCGAATCTTTGATGACCTGTAAGCTTCAGAAGGCTTGACCGCATCTATTCATGAAGCACCAAGCACACAAGCTCAGCAACACCAGTCCCGGCGCAGATTGGCAAGCCACCTTGACCTGTTGTCCAAACACGTTCTTCCGCCCGGCGGTTGCGAACTTATCCATGGTCTCACCCATACTCGTGGACGGGGAGATGGGGTAGATGAAAGACACGTCACCTGAGTCTCGGCTCCACGGAATACATGGCAATGCCTGACATAGGTATGATAGGGGGAGCCGTTACAAGGAAAATGGTCCAATCCAGGGCCCCACTGTCAGGATCCATGTTAGTTGGTGGGAGAGTAACCATGAGGATGTACCAAATGTTGACATCGTAAACTTATGTTGTGAATCAATATCTACATCTCCACAGAGTTTCACCAATGATGTGACTTTGTCGATCAAATTGCTTCCAGGGAAGAATCTTTATCCAACAATGTGATGGCAAGAGTCGTCCGCCTGAACACGCGGAACTTGCTTTGGAAGGCCCAAAACGGTGCGCTCTGTAACATGCCCTCAGCACAAGACAAGCGCCTGCCACCTTGCATGGGGCACTCAGTCTTCATTTTGGCATTCATGCCAGCCCTCTGCATCTGCCAATACCCGTTCAAAGAACACTTAACAGAGACCCACACACACACACAACCAAAAAAAACTAAAGCTAATCAAACAGAAGGTATAAAAACATAATAGGGACACACGCAGACACACAGACCAAACGGAACGTATGAAAACCTAGTAGGGACGCGCACACACAAACCAAAATAACAAACAACAACCATGGGTTAAAATCTAAATCGTACCCCCAGTGAACATCCCAATCCCCACTAAAATCCCGACTAACATGGGTGGTGAATTCACCTACCCCAACATGGGATCCCAAAACGGTTTTGACAACCACGGCCATATTCCAGCCGCTGCTTGGCCCACAAAAAACCTCCTTGCCGCGGGGCTCATAGCGTAGGCCACGTGTGCGGCAGCGGTGTTCCCATCGATGGCACGCTCGGACTTGCCCTCGTGAGAGAGCATGGGCATGTCGATGGAACCTGCCAGGATCCAACGCGCGTGAGCCGTTTGAGGCACTTCTCATGAGGCAACGACTCTTTCTGGAAGGCTATGAGACCAATGTGGACTCCACTTTGATTGAAATACTGCGAGAAGCTTGACATCTACTGTATTTGTGTTTTCATGCGGGTATGATTTCATGATGCGCCAGAAAAAGAAGTGGGTGACTTTTTTCCAGTCTGGCAAGTCATAGCATCACAAAGGGCTAGGTTTCAAAGTGTGACCTAGTCACAAGCACTGCCCAGCGATCTTGGTGGCAATTTGGCCCGACTGCCCATTTGCCGCCTGGCTTTTTTGGTTGTACTATGGGTATGGGTCAAAATCAAGCCAGCAGAAAACCGCCGGTTTCAGTCCTTGGTTCCATGTAGCCGGGGCAAGCCATTTTGGGGTTACCCGATTTTTTACCCACAGCATGTGTCAGCACAGCTTATATTTGGGTTTGTTCGGGGCTATCCGTTTCCCTTCGGGTTTCCATATCCATGGCTGTAGATCTTCTCCGAAGGCTTGGCGGATTGCTTCGAAGCTCTGCGTGGCAGCTATCCGGCGAAATTCGGCGTCTGAGTTGTCGCTCTAGGCCCCTGGCGACTGGATTTGATCTTCTTTGCAAAGGACAGGGTCGCGCCGGCTTGCGTCATCCTCGGCTGGCGCGTTAAAATCGACATGGGCTTCTGGGCTTGCCCAAGGGACTCGCTCGGAGAGAAACACGTCGAAACAGCGCCAAACTACGCCAAAGTCAAGCAGAGCAGCTGTGAAGGCCGAGCACAACCGCTCATCTACATCAGAGTTTCTATTTCTGTCATTGGACCGGCCGTCTTTCAGAGCTGTCACACCTGCTTAGCCTAACTGCTGCAGAAGCTAAAGGCCAATTCTCTCGTCTTGTTCACCACCAGATATTCAATCCAACAAATCATGTCGGCTTTGGATTCATCCAGACGGAAGTTCCTCACACCCGCAACTCAACAGCAAATGATGTCACTACTTGCAGTCGCAGCGGCGCACGTGCTGCGCTGTCAGAAGTTTGGGACACTTGCGTGGACGCATACTTGAGCGCCTGGTGCAGTTGACAGGAGGAAACCACAAGACAAAAGCGTAGCTTACTTGCAGACTGAAACCCCAGACAAACATGATGTCGCGTTCTGTGACATATCCTCACTCCAGATTTCACATTCCACGTGCCACCGCCAAACCTAGATATCTGTGGCTCGAATCCATCGGGAGCTGCTAGGAAGTGCCAAGTGCCCGCCCCACGACTTGTCTCTTCAGATGAGCAAACAATGACAAGTTACCATCATCGACGTTGGAAGGTGAGCAAAAATATAAGGTTTGGCAGTTCAGTGGTTGGATTTCAACCGCTATACCCCAGTGAGCAAAAATGGGGAAAAATGTCTCCCAACAACAACCAAGTTACACCCAGTGATTCCATGTCTCAGCTTTGTTGCCAAGGGACCGGGATCGGGGATTGACCAGTCGCAGGATCGCATGGCTGGAGTGTAACGAACGAAGCTTGTTTGGCCTCTTTGGCACGGCTTTCAAGTGCACTCCTCAACTGAATTGATGCCCCCCATGCTTCTCATCCATCGTTCTTTTCAGAACAGCCCACATTTTCACTGGCTTTGGGACATTTTCTAAGCACATTTATTCTTGAACAGAAAGGTGAGAAAAGCAGAGCTCTCGCCCCCTCCGGTCCGCAGTCGCTTTTAAGGCCTTCTGGAAGGGGCAAGGTACTCAAGTGGTCAGCATGCGCAAGTTCTGGCGTTTCCCTCCGCCTGCTTCGCGGCATTTCCACCCTTCACCATCTTGAAAAAGAGCTTGGCTGGAACCTGGCGGATTGGTCGATGCGAGTGCTGCGGCCGGGTCGTTCGGCGATTTCAGGGTGACCCCTTGAATTGGTAAAGCATGGGCTTCCTTCAAGATGCCAATGCGAAAGCTTCAGTGCAAGCCGAATTCGGATTTGCCGAGCCAGCCTAAGGGGTAGCCTTAAGCACTTCTCGCCCAAAAAAAACTCTTTGGTCCGAGTGGCTCCGCAGTGAACGCGGCTCAAAGCATTATGCAAAACTGTCATTTAGCCACATGGCGCATTCCTCATGACGTTTTCTCTCGCTTCGGTGCATGCGTTTCCCTGTTTCCGGGCAGGCAGTGTTGCAAACCCGGGAGCCCGGACAGGAACGTGTGCACAAGCAAGGAAGCTCCTGGCATCACGGATGCAACTGTGTCCACAGCAAATTCCTTGTCGCCAAAACTGATTACATCATCTGGTGCTTCACTCGTGTCCATCATGTCCAACTATGATCCAGCTGAGGCCACATCGACGCAACAGATTACTTGACTTCTGCATGCTGCATGCAGTCAGACATCCACAAACCGTCAGAAACCGGCTCCTGCGCTAGGGAACGCTTGCAGGGGCTCGTGTCGCACAAAATGGGCTACGCGGCGCGGCCGGTCTGATGCAGCATGATCACACGAGCAGAGGTTGAACCACTCACGAAAGAGCGGTATCTGCCGATAGTCATGCGATATAACCGGTTGCATATAACCCGCAAGATATGTTGTACCGGTTCATCTTGAATGTCCATTTTGACGTACAGCGTTTGAAGAAGCAATACCTCCTTTGCTCCTTTGGAGGAGGGTAATTAATCTCCTTACAAACGTCACCAAACTGCAGTTTCCTTTGTGGGGGGGTCTGGTTGAAGGGATTGAAGGTTGACCTTGGCACAGGTCAGCGTCTGCCCTCCCCTTAGACTCATACCATGAGCTCTGTGCGCTGGGCAAATCACAACTCCAGCGTTCTGACACCTAATGTTGGGGTCTTCCCAACTTTTAAGTCCCCCTTAGAAGTGTCCTTTGGGTCTTTCTCCAAATAGGGGCCCCGTGACATTGTTGGCCTCCTGATGTCCATTTCAGCACCAACCAAAAGGGCGTCCTTTTGGAGCAACTCCTTTGATTCTTTCGATTGTAACACATGGGTGTGGCTCAAAATTAAACAATCGGAGGGGCAAACCGCAGGTTTTGGTCCATGTTTCCACTTACAAGGGCAACCCATTTTGGAATTTTCCGGCTTGTTGCGCCACTGCCACCTGTCACCCCAAGCGCCGGTCGCCATCAAAGGCGTAGGTGTTGCGGATGCGCAACTCCTCGGGGCCTCGGGTCGGCGCTGGCAACGGACCATAGGCGCCCGAAAATGCCGAAGCTAACTCCTGGGGTTCAAGCCTTCATTAAATCAACGGGGGTTAAACATTTAATAGAACCACCATGATTGGCCAAAGAGCTTTCATCATCCAAATTGGGTCAACCTTTCATTTAATGGGGGGGTGAACCCCAGGGTTTCTCGCTAGGCATAGTTGGGGCCTTGTTTCGACACACGGGCACTGCAGGAGAAAAGGGTACCTTGAAAGATTGAAAGGCGGCGAAGGCGTCCATCTCTTGGGACTGCTCCTAACCTTCAACTGCCCAAGTTTTTCTTGTGGCTCATTTGTCCTCCGCAAGGCGGGGGCCTTCAGTGGCTGGGAAGCTATCCGAGAAGCCCCATGGATTGCACGGAGATCCTAGAAAAGCTTGCCTAGAAAACGCCACTTCTCCGGGGACCTGAATCTGGGGAGTAAAGGGTTTAATTACAGCAGTGAATTCTGGCTGTATTTGAAGCCTTTATTCATCAGATTCAGGTCCCACCCCCTTGAGTAAAGGGTTTGAAGCTTGGAATTCACATGGCCATGGGTCAAAAGCCCGTACCCCCAGCGAACATCCCAATCCCAACTAAAATAGACTAAAATGGGTGGTGCAGGATCCCTCACAGCCACATGTTCGGCTCCGCTGCTTCCATCGCCCGTCTTGGGATTTGGTGGGTCGAGGGGCTCATCTTCAGCGCTGCGGCGAGGTGCACGAGGTACGCCTCCGCCACCAAGAGCCCTGGCCGGAAAAGGAATCCCAGAGCCAAGGGAAAAAACATGGGCACCACTTGGCCATGGGTCAAAAGCCAAATCGTACCCCCAGCGAACATCCCAGTCCCCACTAAAATGAGTGGAGAATTCACCTACCCCAAAATGGGATCCCAAAACGGTTTTGACAACCACAGCCACTCTTGTTTTTGGCCCCCCTCCCACACAAAGGAAAAGCCCCCTCCCAGAAATGGGGCAAGTTTTGGGGCACCACTTTCTGTTTGGTGGCAGTTGATCCTACATGGGAAAACGCCCCCCGCCTCCCAAAAAAGGAAACCAGGGCATCGCGGAATCTGCACCAAACGTGGCACCCCTCCCAAAAAAGGAAAGCCCCCTCCCAAAAGTGGGAACATATTTCTGGGCACTTGATCCGAAATGGAAACTCGTCTTCCAGAAGGAGGTTGTTCACGGCCGTGCTTGTTCGCCTGCTGGTTTACTGGGCAGGAAAAGCAAATACGAGCTGTGTTGGGTCTTGACTCAAATGCAGACACCTCCAAACATAAGCTTCAAAGTTGGTCAACAGAACGGGTCAGGTCTGTAGACCCCACCAATGGCCCTTGAAGGGTTACTCCCCTGCAGATTAACGGGGCTCCTCCAAAAAACTGTCCTGTTTGTGGGAGTCCATGTCGTGAATCTTCAGGGGAGTAGAGCTGTTTCAAAACTATGAAACGTGTTGCTGCACTGCACCTATAATAATAATTGCTAGCTGTGCACTGGATATCGTTTTTTGAATGCATATGGAATATGGCAGAATATGGATGCCTGTGCGGTGCCAACTGACTTATCCCATCCCATCCGCACAATTGTGGACAGCCCATCGTGCCCCATACAACGAAGGCGCCTTGACTCTTGAGACTGAAGCGGTACCAAATGCAGCAGTGCATTCTACAGAGGATATCTGGCTGACACTTCACAGCACATTGCTTGGGCGGAACATGTAGCGCGGCTCGCAAACATCCCAGAAAGACACACTCACATTCAGCAAGCTAACATGTATACAGCCAGGAAGCTGTAAAATAGCATTGATCCCGCGCGAACAAACGCTTCATTTCTTTTCACGCTCTCTGCCGCTGCCAGCAACGCGCGTGTGCGTGTGCAGTTGCCTGCTTGCATCGTGGGCGTGTGTGCGGGTTGGGTGTGTGATCAGCTCTTGAGGGCCGCCCCCACCGGTCAAAACAGCAGCAACAAACGCAAGCCTTGCGGCCCTCCGAAGCCGCGGAACGCGGTGTTGGACCTTGGAAACAGGCAGTCAACTGTCAGTTTGACATCGCATGGGGCAGCGAATGAAAGAAGGGTGTCACGTCCCCAGCAAAAACCAGGGGCGGTTTTCCCTCCCTGAAAATCAGCTTCTGCTTTGCCTGTTAGGGCTCTGTGCTTTGTCATGGTCTGAAACCTGTTGCAGCTCCAGCAGTTTGGTATGCTCGAAGGATACATGTCTAGGTCCTCCAGTAGAGAGGTTAGAAGAAGGCTACCAACTTTTTTCTCTAGTCTATTTTAGTAGGGGAATCCTCCCCCAAAAAAGAATAAGAAAGGGCACTACTGGGGCACCTAGAAATGCGAAGTCCTCTTGGCCCCAAGCGAGGTGTGCGTGAGGCACATAAAGCCCTCCACTCGCACCTAAGCTGAAGGTGGCCGGTATTGCCGTGGATCCACAACCATATTTACGTGTCAACATTCGATCTACCCTCTATGGACACGAGGTTGCTCTGGGCTTTGGCAAATCTAGTGAGT